GCCCGATACAGGAAAAATAGAAGGTAAACGTACTTGTACGAATGATAAAAACCCGCGTGTATACGCGCCTTCCTGCTCTAGAAGGCGTCGCGATTATGCCCCAATTAGATTTTTTTAATTATCCTCGCGTACGGATCGACTCGAATAGCGAAAGACGCATGATGCGCAAACAAAGAGCTCTCTATAAGTACTCTCGGAATATGCATATACGTTTGAATAATCATCGATTGACGTCTCCGTCGAGGATAATTTAATGCGAAAACGCCGGCATTGCGAATAATATGAGGTCAACCTTTCTTTACTTAAACAATAAACGCTCCTATTTACGTATGCAGGAACGTTTTGTGCGCACAACGCGAACTTTGATACTCCCCGTTCGAAAATTTAAATCCATTCCGTTCCCCGATGTGGTCTCTCTTATTACCTTTTGTGCCCGTTATAGCTCGAATATAGCGCCTCGATATCCCGGCTCACCTTTGTCATTTCAGTCGCAGACAGTCTTTGACCTTTCGCCAGGAGGGGACCTTTTTCTACAGCTCTATACGGGACGTCCCGATTATTTACCACCCTGTATATGCAATCGCACGTTCGTTTAGCGAAAATCCTCCTCGAGACGTCGGCCAATTACGGATAATAAAACCGCATAAATTATATCCACGTTTTTGTTGTTGCGTATTAAACTGATTACTGTCAATGAACTTGCCGAAGAAAGTCGCTTTCAGATATTAAACCGATTAATTTATTTTTATGCGAGATTTATAGAAAAGAGTAACAACGCAAACAAAATTCCTGCGAGCGATATTAAAATCGAACGGTTTTTACGATTTCCACAAGTAATAACCCATCAGTATGAAAAAATATCGGTACAATTACAAGAGGCGCGTCCGAGGAGCGCAAGTTTAAAAAACGAAGTGCAATTTCCCCATGGATTTTGCGCGATTTCCAAATATCTGGATTCCATTGTGGTCGCGCTCGTGCCACACGTTTTCGTGTCGCGTTAACGAAAAATAAACGGTAATAAAACGAAAGTAAAAAAAAAAAAGGGGGTACCTATATAGGGTCTCGGGGATCTCCCAGCGTCGGCCCCACGTGAACTCCACCGAGCGTCTGGTCGATGACCCGCCACACACGCGTTCCCGTGGTGCCTCCGACCTGGCCGCCTGTCCGCCCATGCTCGAGGTTAGGTTTTTTTTTTTGCGCGCGCGGACATCTCTAATAAGAGCGATTAATTTTTAACGCTAATTGGCCGGATAACCGTTTCGTTAGGTACTCGAAGTAAACAGCGAATTTTTTTTTACCATGGGAATAACGAGCGGCTGTATAGCCTCAACTGTACGAGGCAGGTGAAAATTTGTTCGATTAGAATAATCGGGAGAACGATATTCGAAAAGTAACGGTTAATTTGTAACAGTCGTTACTGTAGCTCTATACCAAAAAAAACGATTCCCAACTTTATTAATCTTCTTGTCAAACGAAATGTCAATTTTGATAGTTTTTGTTTATGTTCCATGGAACGCGTTTTAAAATCCTACTCATTCCTGTAAGCGAAAAAAAAATAGTAATTTATCGTAGAGAATCAGGAGAACGATGTTTGAAGTAACGGTTATTTTGTAACAATCGTTACTGTACCTCTATACCAAAAATCGACTCACACCTCTATTAAACTACTGTCACACCAAATGTCAATGTCAATTTTAACCATTTCTGTTCATGTATCATCGAACGCATCTTAAAGTCCCACATTTTCGCTACAAAGCAAAAAAAGAAAAAATAAAGTAGAATAGAGTGCGATTAGTGGGCTATAAATAAACAATATACACATTGTGACACCCTACATAACACCGTATCGTTTTTATTTTACAAGTACCGCGCGTTTCCATCGTAATTAGATAAAGTAAATCAATCAATCGCGTAAACCACGTGATGTTTTATAGTCGTGCAATGCGATTACGGCGCGGCGTTGGATTTCGCAACTCCATCAACCCGTTGTACACGCCGTCGAGGCGTTTTAAATATTCAATTACACGCTAACGTATATATACGCGCGTATACATATTATAAACGTTGCGTTATTCGCAAAATGCTTGAATAAATCCGCGATGAAAAGAAACTTTCAATTTAGCCGAGTAACCTTGTTCCGCGGAGGACGCGGCTGATCCGTAATTCTCTACAATATACTCTTACTGAATGTTGTAACTTACTTATATCTATGTAGTAATAGGCCTTATGGAACTTGTTAACAAAACGTTTTTTTTTTCTCTACTGTAAACATTAATTAATTAATCAATAAACGATGTAGGTACAAGGAAGAATCATTCCTTGATAATTACTACTTCTTTTAGTTCTTTCTTTAATGGTATAAAGAAGTAGGAACGATCGAGGAATGATTTACATAATTAGGTATGAGAAACAATTCGATGAAGTGCATACAAAACCGGTCGCGATCGCGGGAAATCGATTTATTTCTCACCAAAGATAGGCGCGATTCTGGTCGCGAAAAAGGCGCCCCCGTCGACCTTCTAAGTGCACCGCCTCCTGACGTCGGTACCCGCGTCTACAAGCGTGTAAACAGCGCGACATCGACCCACCGTCGGCGGGCCGGAGCCAATCAATAGTTTTGCCCGCCGAAAATTTCACTCTTTCCCGCTGCGCCAATCCGGCCCGGGGGCCCCCTTTATTCTACGGTCCTTCGCCGTCAGCGGCGCGACCCCGCCAAATTTCATTAATACCCGCGATTGGCATCGCATCTATTTACGAGTACACCAGATAAAGGCAATATATAAAGCTGAGCTGAACAAGAAAAGCTTATTAGAACGACAGTGGTTAGAGTGATAGAGTTGCAATCAACCTATAACATCTCTTTGATATTCCTTTATACAAGCGACTAAATCGAAGTGTCTTGACGATACCCCGACGAAATGCCAATGAATCCCGATTCGAATGTGGCAGGTCAACAATCCGAATAAAAACAACGCAATCAGGGGGGGTAGTGTTTTCCGAAACGTTTTTAAAGCGGATAATCTTTTATCTGGCGGGCGAAATCGTCGCCCCCCCCCGGGCCCGTTCCCGACGCTTTCCAGACCCCGGCACGTTTAAAGGGGATGGATCCGACGGCGATCGGGACATAACACGTGTTCTCCGGACGTTCCCTTTCCAACTCTCTCTCTCTCTCTCGCTATATAGCTCTCTATATTAGGGTTAGAAGGCCTCGCGCGGACGTACTACAATTAAATCGATGTCATTAGTACTCGAGTATTACACTCGAGGAATCGAAAGGGGTCATCTAAGATACTACACGAAGAAAATTATCACATTAGTATGATTGGATTTAGGTATGAAAGGGCTCGAAAAGACCCATCGCCCAATGCCCAAAAATACGGGGCGGTCCATTTGAAATAACAATTTTAAACGCCTTGTAAATAGGTCATGGAAACCCATTTTAGTTTCATTTAGAACCTCAAAACATTCCCAAACTAGTACAACAATCTCTTCAATTTCCACCGCATGTTTAACAAACCCCCCTGTAATAATCCAATCGTTATCGAATTATACTCCGTTCGCTATCGGGAGAGTTTTTTGGGGGGGTGGATTTCGCGTTTTGGACGTGACGCCGCGGCGTTGGGGCGTCGAATTTATCGTATCGATCCGGCGTCCGACTAGGAGGCGATGCATTAAATCCCTTCAGAGGCGCAACAGGATAATTTAAATCGAACCACGTGATTCGGGCGACAGTACAAATAAAATTAGGCGACGATAAAAACGTCGCGTTATCGTACGATATCGTTTTACAATGGCGTTGTGTTCGAATCGAAAATTAGTCATACAAAACGATATTATACCTGGAAATGCGAGTAATCTATTCGACCTCCTACTTTGTTTTATTAGATGAGGTCTATACTACTTATACTAATTAATTTGTGGATAAAGCGAATATTTCTACATAATAAAGACTCCTATTAATAGAAAGCGCAATTCGATCTAGAGTTGCCAGGGCTTTATCTTGGCAAAGTCAGGGTACATTTCTTGGAATACCATCAAATTACCATTAATAAATCCGACTATATTAGAAAGTTAAATTTACAATTAGGCGTTCGTTTTTCGAAGGATCCTCCGGCCTTGTGTTATTCAAATAAATCTTATCAGTTTTTCGAGAATGACAATACGGAAAACGATAAATACGAAGTATTTACACGTGGCTAATTTTTCTAATATTAAAACGAAACGATCGCATTCAATGCCACAGTTTCGTACCCACACAGGAAGCCCAATCTCGACTCGGCTTAATTAGCGTAATCGTCGGCTTCGAAAAAATATACTTAATTACTTTAAGCATGGATTATTTGGAAATTACAACAGATTATATAATGTATCGAAATTATAATTACAAGTTAATTAGGAGCGCCAAATAGCAGACGAACGAAATTAATTTACCAGTCGAAAAAAAAAAATGCAAATAATCCAATAACGTATTTTTTTGCCCGTATCGTGCATAATAATTAGCGAATCGTGTGCGTTATGTAATTAGAATTTCTAAAAATTATTATGCAGAAAAAATACCCGTTGAAATATTCCCCGGGGTAGAGGCGGCAACGCCGCGATAATATTTTGCATGTTCGTCACATATTTTGAAAAACTCGAAAATATTTCGTCATTTATTAATATCGAATCGTTGGGATTGTTCGAGCGAAAAAAGAATGCCAGACGCGAACGTTACGAATATGTTTCTATTGTTGCTCGTAGCTGGACGACAGGAATTACCAGTTAATTGTTTATCGTTAATAACGGGCAACACGATAGCCTCGTCGAATCGCTTATTAGCGATATTTCGTGGAAATTAACTCGATATATCGTACTGAATAAGCGACTATCATTAAGTTTTTATCAAGGAAAATGGCGTCGTACAATCCGTCTCGGATAATTCCAGATAAACGGCTTGCTGAATAATGCAGGCGCGAAACTTATTGTTGTTTCAATAATAAATAGAACGTGCGATTACTTACGTATGAAATAAACGATGTATAAAATCCCAAATTAGAACAAAAATCGACTTTACGATTCACTTCTATCGACTCACGAACCTTGTTGCCACAGCGATCAAACCAAACTGTCAAATGTCAACTTCACTCGTCAAAATAAAAAAAACGTACTAAATCTGAGTGCATCTCTCTAGTACACTTCTCTTTTGTTAGGAATTATTATTATTTAAAAATCTCAAACTATTAAATTAACGATATATTTGCACAATTTTTGTGTATATTCATTCAATTAGAGATGTTAGTGTTAAACCAAAATTGCTATTTTTTTATTAAATCGTCCTCTAACTACTCATACATACAGCCACCTTTTTTGTATTGGGTAACTTGCTTTGTTACTAAAATCTATAAATATTAAAATATGAGTTGAAATAAAAGCTCATTCAATCGTAGACTTAATGTATTATTATGAATACCAATACAGCACACGTATTTTTATTAATACTTTTTCACAACTATTCAGAACCCTGAAAAAAAACGCCAAGTAAAGTACAACTACAGAAACATTCGGCTTCCCCCGAAATCATTAAATACTTACTGTTGGATCACAATCAGCGCAATGCCAAGAATAACCCCTTATTTTAGGCGTCTTCTTCAGTGGAGGTTCCAAACAAGTAAAATGGTAGCTCTTCAGGCATTCATCACATCTAAAACAACACAAAATTTACCACAATTCCCACCAACGCATCAATCAAATTCCCACTTGACTAAAATATTCGGCGCTCCTTCCACGTGGCAAACATCACACATAACAGCACCGTCGGAAGCTTTCCCTTTCTTGGGCGGCACGCCCGGAGTATTTTTCAGTTTATCAGAAGGCACCGACTGCGATTCGGACACCCGCGGACTCCTACTCTTCCTCATCTCCCGCTTCTCGATCTTCGCCGCCTTCAATTTCGCCGGCGGCAGCGGGGGCGGCGCGTTGTCGTCCGCCTCGTTCGGCACGTAGAAACACTGCGGATTCGATTCCGAAGCCACCTCGCCCGCCGGCAACGGAATCGGTTTGATCTGCGAAACCGAGACATTAAAGGCCGATCGATGAGCTACTCTAGACGTTTACCTTGATGGTGATACGGGGGTGCGGCAGCACGTCCAAATCCAAACTCTTCTTCTTCCTCTTCCTCTTGTGCTCCCTGTTGGCGTCCGGGGAGTTCGAGTTTCGATTTCGGTGCTTCTCTCTTCGGCGCTTCTTGCCGGATTTGTGGGAGCCCTCGTAACCGTTGTCGACGATTATCTGCACCCCGTTGGTTTCGGATAATTCCGATATCAAATTGGCGAACGGTTGCTTCGCTGAAGAGTTGTTTTCAGGTGGTTGCTCGGTAATATCGACCGGTAATTGTACGTTCGAAGCGGGCGGCGTGACGACGTCCTGATCCGACTTGCTCTCTCTGGAAACCCAAAACACATTCAAGCTATTCGTATTGTGTTATAATAGAGAATTCACCTGTTGCTGTAGATGCTTCGGCTCCTCCGAGGCGTCTTCATTTCCTCGACTTCGGAATCGGAGGTCTTGTCGCACTCGGAGCACTGCCAGCCGTACAGCTTGGACTTCTTAGGCAGCCGGCTCAACGGGGGATTGAGGCAGTTCAAGTGGTAGTACAAATGGCAGGTGTCGCATTTGGCCAGCAGGTGCTGGTCCCTTCGTTGTCGACATATTCCGCATTCGTTCAGCATCAGAGGATCTGCAAGTAGACTCTCAGATTCATCGCAATTTTTCGCGGTGGAGTTTTACCTTTGTTGGCTTGGCTGCTGAGCACTCGGTCGGTTCTGCCGAGCGGTATGTTCTTCAAAGGAAATCCGACGCCCATTTTCAAGGCCGCCGCCGTGGGTACCATCATCGGTTGGGGGGCCCTGCTGGCGGGTGGTTTCCCCAAATCCTCGATGTTGGGAAGGTTCTTCGTGGGACAGGCGCTGAGTATCGCCGAATGGAATTTGTGAATGCACTGTTTGAGATCGTTGTTTTTAGACGTCACTTCCGAACTCTTTTTGAGAATCTACACGAAAAAAAAGCTCAAATTAATGAAACAATACAGATACAACACCTTACTTCGTCGTATTTCGATCTCAATTCCTGCTGTTCTTCCAGCAATTTCTTGTTTTCGCCCATGTACATCTCGAGACTAGTTTTCATTTCCTTCAATCGATCATTTCGATCTAAATAGTAGGCGATGAATTCGACGGAAAATGCGGGGGGAATGTGCCATTTTTTTCGAATGTCCATGAGAGCGGCGGTCTGAGATTCCTGCAACTCCTGAGTGATCGTATTGATGCCCATTAGTTCGGCCTTGCGGAACAGCTTCCTGCACGCCGATGCGCTCGTCGTAAGCAGCCTCGGCATCTTCTGAGTAGGTACTAGAAAACAAAATGGTACAATTACTACTATTATCTGACTAACAGAAGCTTTAGCGTACCCCACGGAGGTGGCTTAATTCCTTTGTGGCTTAAGTAATGGGCCTTGTGTTTTTCTAATTTCCTTCTGATCCTCTGTTGCTCGGGCGTATCCTTATGGCCTTCTTGCGAAAACTGGTATTTTCTATAGTGAACGCGCAACTGTAGTGCCATGTAATTCCTTTTCCTCCTTTTCACCAACGTTTTGTCGGAATGTAATTTACAATGAGCGTAAAACGGATCCGCTTGGTCGACTTCCTCCGAGTGCGCCTCCGAGAGGAAACCTTCTTTCTGAGCACTACCAAACAAATTAATTAAAAAAAACTATAAACTCGATAATAATCTACTTACCAAGTAACATGGAAATACGTCCTGCACATGCCAGCATCGCAGCCAATACAAACGCCCGTTCGAGCGAACCGATCGTCTTCGCAAAGGGAACAACTCTTCGAGCCCCATTTGTTATATGGCATTTCGAACAAAGTAACACTAGTCAATTTATCTACCTCTCCGAAGGCTACTCCGGGCACGTACAAAGCGCATACTAGATGTACCCATTTGCCCACGTCTGTCTCTTTAAAAATACCCCCTGAATTCGGACATAGCTCGCAAACTGGATCTACGGCTCCTACAAAGAAATATACATTTAATTTTTATATTGAGTAGTGTTATTTATTGTGTACCTGCTCGGCAAGCTTCGCAAAACCAAGGTGTAGTTGGTGATAAGGAATCGATGCTATCTACACTATTGGAATCGGAAACTCCATAGCAAGCTTCGTGTACCGTTGCCCCGCAACCATCGCATTCTACGATTTCGTTAATACCATCGCTGTGATCTCCGAGGCAACCGCAGCATATCATCACCTGAGCGTCTTTGTCATCGAACTAAAGATTGTATCGTTAATAAACAGTAAAAGATGTGTTTTATAGTGTATTCCTACTTTAAGTTTAGCATGGTTGGCTTTCTGAATTATATCCGAGATAGATGAGCCCATTCCGTTGGTTTTCGGCAGGCTCAAATTCTTCAACATATCATCACCGGAATCGAACGAATCTTCGTTGTCATCACTATCTCCGTCTACAAATCGAGTAGTTTAGAAAGATTAAGGGATAGGGGTGTAGAAATGAGATTTACTAACCGTTCTTTTCGCCCTGGCTGTCCAGGGAATCCTCGTCGTCATCGTCATCGCTCACTTCTGGGTGATCCTCTATTCGAAAATCGCTGTCATCGGAACTTTCTTCGTCGAAATCCAAAACGCACTGCTGGTCAACTGGATCTACAGGTTTCACCTTTCGCTTGTTGGGATCTCTTTCAACTGAAAACGTTTGGATTTTGAATAAGAATCGGCGCTAATCGAAAAAATCAATAAAGTCGAGCGATATTCGTGCGACGACCAATGGAAACGGATCGATTAAATAGGCGGAATTGTACTTACTAGAACTCATTTTAACAAAAAATTCATATAATCAGAACTTTTAAAATTACAACCTGAATGACATATTGAAAACATAACCTAACTATCCGGGCGTCACTGTTGACAAATAATACCAACTTCCGTTTAAACGATTGTTCTATTGTTGTATGAAAAAGTTGCAACCATTGGCTAATTTGTATCACGTGGGCTCATATTAAGCATGCCATTGGTTGTGCGACTGTCAATTAAACTGTCAATTGTGGCATTATTTGATTTTTTTATATTATCAGCATTATTAATCGCTATTCAAATAAAGTAATTTTTAAATTTTATATAAAACAACTTTAATGCGAGTTTTAAAAAACGTAAGAGATAATTAAATTATAACAGAGAAGAAGTTGAATGTCTTTGCTGTCATTAATGTCATTAGTGTCATTGTCTTGTCATTCCGATTCGTATATTTACTTGAATAATAGATTAATTTTTCATTAATTTTTACTAAACAATATCGGTGAAGTTAATATACGAAGTTTCATTTCAATTTTTCCTAACTCATAATTGATGCCTTCTACGAGCCAAACGAGAATAACCTGAGTTTTCAGTTTGTATTATGAATGTGTACTACGCCCATGGTGTGTTAAAAACCCGTTTGTACTAACGTGTGTGAATTTAATAAATACAAATTCGATTCTAGATAATCTAAATCGAGATCCGGGCGTGAGCGATTGCGATACGATGGCCGAATTAGCCGCTTTGTTGAGATCCGAGATCCCGGAGGGGCGTAGCAGCCTGTCCGAGAACCACACGAACCTTCAACGAGTGGCCGAATACTGCGAAGCCAACTATTTCCAAAACGAAAACAAACGGCTGGCCCTGGAGGAAACGAAAAACTACACCACCCAATCCCTGGCCAGTGTAGCCTATCAGATAAACACTCTCGCATACAATTTCTTGCAATTGCTCGATCTCCAGACCACCCAATTATCCGAAATGGAGAGCCAAATGAACCACATTTCCCAGACCGTAATGATACACAAAGAAAAAGTAGCCAGAAGGGAGATCGGCGTACTGACTGCCAATAAATCCACTAACAGACAGTACAAAATTATCGCACCGGCAAATCCTGAAAAACCCATCAAGTATTTGAGAAAAGCCATCGATTATACCAGTAAGTGATTCATTGCACAAGTTATTACTTATTAAATGGATTGTATTGTAGTATTCGATGATATTGGGCACGGTGTAAGAGGCTCCGGTACACCGAGACAACAGAAACAAAGAGTATCGAGTCAGGGTAGCATACATTCCTTGAATTCCATGCAGGGTAATCCCATGGTAGGTCCAGCACCAACTACTAAACCCCCTACACCGCCTCAAGTGTCTCGAACATCCAGCAAAGGTTCGTTATTAACACGAGAATACCACAATAAATTCACAATATTTCGTTTTAGTTTCCGTTACTGGCGGCACGTTAAGCAAAGGCAGCCGAGAATATAGAACACCTCCCGCTGTAGCTCCTCCACAGGTAGAATTAATCAATTCGTACAATATTTAATATGTATTATGAAATGTTATTTTAGGTGCCTAGCCATTACGCTCCGAACTACCCCATCGGGCATCCCCGTCGCGAAAGAGGCCCCGGTTACGGCACCTTACCCATGACCGGAGCCCACCAGAGCGCCCCGCAAGTCGGCATGGTCCATCCGATGACCCAGCAACAGCAGGTTATCCAGCCACAAACGCCGCCTCCGCCCCCGCCGCCCGATTCCAGAAACTACATGCAGGAGCAGCACATGAGCATGCCTCGTAAGTGCCTCAATACATTCGCAAAACCTACCCGTAACGGCGAATTTATCCCATCCAGCTCCTCCGTCTCCGTTGATAAACACCCAGGAGATGGTGCTCTCGTCGAACCAGCACCATCCGATGATGATGGGGGGCCAGCACGTGCCCGTACCGCAGGGCAGCCTCGGCATGCATACCTTGTCTCACGCCCAGGGCCATCGCATTTCGCAGCAACTGGCCGCGAACTTCGCCAGGCAGAACAGCGGCGCCCAGTCGCCGCCTTTGCCGCCGCCGCCGCCGCCGGAGGACGAGCACGAGGCGTTCGGTAGGCCCCACAGTTCGGGCGTCATGCCGATCGTGCCGGACGAGGAGGATCTGCCCGGGTGGGTGCCGAAGAATTACATCGAGAAAGGTACGAATTGGAATTGTTCGATGGTACGAGGTATTGAATGAAGCGTTTGTTTTATTTTTTAGTGGTGGCTATTTATGATTATTACGCTGACAAGGACGATGAGTTGAGTTTTCAGGAGAGTTCGGTTATATACGTGTTGAAGAAGAACGATGATGGTTGGTGGGAAGGTGTCATGGATGGTATAACGGGGCTCTTTCCGGGGAATTACGTGGAACCTTGCGTATAAAAGCGATAGTTTTATTATTGATTTATGACATTAGCACGTTTTAAATTTACATTTAAGGATATCACATTTCTTTACATTGATTTTAGAATCATTTGATATTGTTGCGGATCTACTGTGATACGTTTCTTTTCTGAAATAGTTAAAAATTTGTTTGAAATTTTCCACGAAATAGCTGAATTTTGCTAATTTAGACTACATTTGAATATTAGTTATCGAATTGCACGACTTGTCACAAGTTTAAACTATTTATCTGAAGTTATTCCATGAAGTATATTATGATTGTATGTATTTAGTTTTATTCTTCTATATTCATCTTTGCCTTATGTGTGCAATTTGAGCCAAGTTTTTTCCGTATTACTAGCATAGAATTTTATATTAATGTAGGATAAATACACTCTAGGAATAGTAGATATTAAATTTTTTATGTTACAATTTATTTAATTCGATAGGGATAGTCATGTTGGCTCTTATACAAAAACTGCCTATTATCTGTATAGTATTTTATATTGCTTTTATGCTATGGGTTTGTAATAAGTACATTACATTTTTAGAGAACATGGTACAATTAGGAAAATTTATTTGAGCTTAGTTTATGATTTTACGAATAAAGCAAATATTGATGAATATTTATTTATTTACATTATTTTGTTGTTTCATAAAAGTTTTTAGCTACATCAAGAACATCCTTTACATCTTCATAACGTTCACCTTTAGGCAAATATGGAGGAGTAAATTCTCTATATGCCAGGCAAACTCTTCGACTAGTTATATCTTCTCGCAACACCTGATGCTCCCAATCGTACCTAGCAGCTCCGTATATCACCAGCAGGGATCTTTTAGGCATTGGTATCCTCACAATAGGATATATTTCACCTTCTTGCAACCACTTAACATGGTAATTGCTGTTATCTGTGCTAATTTTTCCCCTTTCAGTTAGTACAGAAGGATAACTCTTTACGCAGTCCAAATTGTATCTGTTAGGCTTGTCGTTGTAAGTCATGGTAAGTACGGAATCGGCAAGTAAATTCACAGTGATTATTCTTTCTCCCCATATCCAGCAGTCGTCGATGTGAGGATCGATGTGGGCCCCTTTTTCCGGAGCGTACTCTAAAGAACATTGCTCGATAACTTCATAATCGTTTAGCATGTCGATCGATCGGAATTTATCCTGTACGAACTTTGTATTGATCGGAAAACCGTTAAAGTTGCCTAAACTGATCTTTCGTTTTTTGAAATTGCATTTCGGGCCGAAATTCTGCTTCCTTCTGCCGCTTTGAGAGAGATCCCAGGGCATCGAATCGAGCGCTTCGATTAGCCCCTGTTCTTCTTCCTCTGTTAAAAAATCGGGGTCTATGTAGATTCCTGGGTATTCTATCGGTTCTCCTTCGTGATTCTCGTGTGGATTATCCTCCACATTCCAGCCCGGCCAAGCTTTATTGCACTTGTAACAGTAGATGTATTTGCCATTTTGGATATTCAAGTTGTTTGTTTTGATTATATTGAATTCGTTTTCGCACGTATAACAAGATCTTGAACCTTTGCATCCGCAGGATCTAGTTTTATGCATTATAATAATTGCAGTACATAAAATGAAATAAAAATATTTTGTATTAACTTTATTTTTATTTAACCTAAAAGTTCTTCTTTTTTTGTAAATGTCTGGAATTGTTGTCTTGAATTTGTTGTATTGCAGCCAGAGTCTTCTTTTTTGTTTGAAAATTTGATATGACTTTTGATTTGAAATGTCATTTATATGTCATTTTAGTTAGCTTAGCATTGTCAACAATCGTAAACAAATAGAATTAGAATAGACTTTATTTTTTTACTAACTTGTATCGAATCGATAATATTCATCTCCAAGAGTAACAATAATCAACAACAAATGGAATTGGAGCAGTACAACGTGAATGATTGATAAAACTAACTGCCGAAATGTTAGAAATGGACGTTCGTACCCAAAAATTGGAACAACAGGTAAGCGAAAATGCTAAAAATCGCTATGAAAAGTTTTCTAATAAACGCGATTGCACCTTTAGAGGCAAATAATGGAGCAAAAGATGAAACAGAAGCGACTCACGTCGGGCATGATCCACGTTTCCGATGTACGTACGACTTCAGCGAAAACCAGAAGCAATTCGAATATGACCAGAAGAGATTTACACGGTAAGAACAGAGAAAAAAACATCATTGAATATAAACCCGACGCTTTTACGATTACTTTACAGGCTACGATGGCCCTCTACAATACGCCATGGGCAGCGACAACAATCCCGATCAAGTTATCTCGATCTTACCGAGCTCAGACAGCACGGACGGTAAGCCAATTAATCCCTTTAAGTATGTCACACGATGACCTGTACTTCGAATTTAGGCCACGATAATTACACATGCCCGTTAAACTAACCTATTTATAAACTTCTGTAGACGATTTCAACGGCGCCTCGAACGACCTAATGGACGTCGAAGACGACGAATCCTCCCCGGTGGCCTCGACGCCCAACGACAACGGCAACGTCCCGGTGAATCCCATACCCGACAAACCGAAATTCATACACCAAACGAACGGGGTAAGCTTTCATCAAGCAATCGATTTATCCCATCTCACAGTCGATTTTCCCCATCGAAAGGCCACCGAAATCGAAGGCGACATCGAAGGCAACGTGGAGAAGTTCATCTTGCAACCCGCCCAATTGAAAGTGCTGTATAAATGTCGGATAACGAGAGACAGGAAAGGCATGGACAGGGGGATGTATCCCACTTACTACCTCCATTTAGAGAAGGACTATGGGAAGAAAGTGTTTCTACTAGCGGCGAGGAAGAGGAAAAAGAGCGCTACCAGCAACTACCTTATATCTACCGATCCTACAGATTTATCCAGGAACGCGGAATCTTTCGTCGGTGAGTAAAACTCGCAAACAATCACTTGATTATCTTACTCGCTGTAAATTCCAGGTAAACTACGATCGAACTTGATCGGTACCCATTTCACCGTATACGACAACGGGGTGTCACCGCGCAAAGCCAACTTGAAGGAAGGCATCATCCCGAGACAGGAATTGGCCTCCGTCATCTACGATACCAACGTGTTGGGCTTCAAGGGCCCCCGCAAGATGACCGTCATCATACCGGGAATGGTCGACGAGCAACGAGTCACGATCTATCCGCAAGTAGGTTTTACCGTTTCTGGCCTTTGATCGAGTAAGGCGGTCGCTAAATTGCGTTGTGTAATCATTGTAGGACGACAGCGAAGGTTTGATCGAATCGTGGAAAGCGAAGAACATGGATAACATAATCGAATTGCATAATAAGACGCCGGTGTGGAACGATGAGACTCAGTCGTACGTGTTGAATTTCCACGGTAGGGTTACGCAGGCTTCGGTTAAGAACTTTCAAATCGTTCACGATAGCGATGTTGATTATGTGGTGATGCAATTCGGTAGGGTGGCCGAGGACGTGTTCACCATGGATTACAGGTGAGTTTTTCGAGTAAATGGAAGATTGTTTATTATAAAATTTTTGATTGTAGGTATCCTTTGTGCGCCTTGCAGGCTTTTGCGATCGCTTTGAGCAGCTTCGATAGCAAATTGGCGTGCGAATGAAGCGGTGCTTGAAAACGTTCCGTATGTGCCTCGGATAATTCGAACCGAATGTCGAGCTTACATTGTGAGTTGTATGTAGATTTTAAGATTTTTATAAACCGTTTATAGTTAAGGATTTTATTGATTTTTTTACGTTTTTCGCTTATACGGGAATTGATGTTTTTGAGGAGTTTAGAAATGTTGGATTGTTTCTAGCGACTGTATGTTGAGTTTTACTCTTTTTTTTATACTGTTTAATTTACATTTGTTAGTGTTTTACGAATGCAAAATTCTACATACAGTTTCCATGCAATGGAGAGGAGTACAATGTGTTTTTAATTGAGTAGAAATAAGTCATTAGAACTTAAAGCAGTTTTCAGTTGCTAAAAATATTCGATATTTTATATCCATTATATCCTCTCCATTATTTATCCACACAAATTCTATTAGCACAAAAGTACTTTCAGTTCCAACTGGAAATTCTACCGTTAATTTAGTTTTGTATTTGTACGTAGTTAATTGTAACACGACTTACTGTATTCGATCTCAAAAAAAGAAAACGTTACCATGACATCAATGTATTTCAAAATCCATCACGAATTAACATACCGATACATTGGATATACCTGCTAATGTTTGAGTGCTTTTATGCGGTTAGTCGAACTGTTTTTTACGAGGGATGTTTCCAAAGTTCGGGGAATTGCGCTCTAATTAATTGCGCAGAATTTGTGCGATCAGTTTCAGTCTGATTCAGGAGTATTTGGTGACTCTACAGACTCTAAAAGTACCGCTTTGGGTCGAGCACAGTTCCCGGAACTTCGGAATCGTCCCTCGTATATTCAATCGTTCACTATGCGTGGTTGTGTGATAGTTGAAATCATCGAATAAGGAATTTTCAGTATTATATTTCAGCTTTTGTTCGTTAGTTTAGGTAGGTTTAATTTGTGCTCAAAGTCACTTACGAGGGCGTGAATAAAAATTAAAATAGGTGAAAGCTGGTACATATTGAATTGGATTCTATAAGTTATTTAAACGTTACAATCAAATTTTTCTGTTACACACCAAATCCGTCCTAAAGAGGAAATTGTAATCTTCAAATAAATTAATTTGAAATTCAAATGATCAGCACCAGCATTTATTTAGGTAATGTTTGAACGTCCGAAGACGTAGTTGTCAGTATTATATTTATATGTATACAATTCGACATTCCATTTGAGTGTTCACTAAGGAATTATACGCTATATAACATAGATCTGAGTGTTTTGTAGTTAATGTGATTTTATCGGAGTTTATTTCAAAGTAAAAAATAATGATACATTGTGCCTACTTTTTGATAGATCAGTAGGGCTGAGGCTTTATTCTGTTGTATGTACACCACATAAAAAATTCGAAAATACAGTGCGTCCCTGAAGGGACCTCCTCTCGCACTGGGACACACTGTATATTACATAAAGATAATCAAAAATTTGTTCTTTGTTTGTCAAGTTTTTTTTTATATTTGCACTACTGACCTATTGTTAGATACTGCTGTTTGATATTCTAAAAAATCCAAAAGGTATTTTCGAAATTTCTGTAGAATTTGCTTGCACTGATTTGGGATAATTGTGCCTTTGATAATTTCGAATCGTTTTCACTGTCGCAAGTGCCTTGAAAAACGATATTTTGAACTACTGAAAATCAACATTAAATTTATTAGTTATCGAAGAGTCTTTTTGGATTTTAGAATGTCTCCAAAAATTACAAATTTTAACAGATTTTAAGACGTATTTTAAGAATCCTTTAATTTACTTACAATGTTGTAAAAAATCGTTTCTAGTCCAGTAAATATATTTTTATTATTCATAAAAATCAACGCGTTTTTTTATTCCTCCCAAATCAACGGTATTCGAGGTAAGAACCACACGAAACTAAAACTCATAAATATTTATTTCGAATAATTTTAAAACAGTCTTAGAGCATATTAAATTTTTTTATATCACAAATTATACAACATTTACAAAGCAGCAAACAACAATCATTTGTTGTTCGGAAGATATGCCTCGAGAGATTTCAGGTGATTATACAGGGAGTCCTCCGTGGGGCCCAAGCCGATGAATATCCAAGCGGTGAACGCCAGCAGGGACCTCCAAAGGGACAAGTGATTCCAAATGTTTATGTCGCGTCTCAGAATCTATGAAAAAAAAATTAACAACTCGAATCCTTCGAAAAATTCTCGAATACTCACCACCGAATGCGCCGTGCTGTTTTTGCTGTTGTAATCCTGGTAGGACAGCCGCGAAAACTGATCGTCCCAAATAAACGTCGTCAGGTGGATAATCAAGCACGATAAATACAGAAAAGCCACGAACGAGTTGCGCTTTTGGAACAAAATCTCCTCGTAGAAGTTCTTCTCTAAATGAGCCGTGTCTATCCTAAAAATCAACGAAATTTACAACGATGCGGCAACGTCGCAACATAATCGCGTTGGTCGAGCTGTCAATTTACCTGTCAAAAATCGATACGATGCAAAGGACGCAAAGGGCGAAAAAGGTCCCTATGTAGATATCACTATAGTAAGCGTAATGTATCAAAAAACTGGCGTCCTGCTGGTGAAAATTGCAGATCAAATACAGCCAATGGCCGAGCGCCAAACCGCCCAGCAGGCCGTGGCACAGCGTCGAGATTCTGATCCACCACCTCTGGAACACCAGCGAAATATCCAACGGGTACACAGTGTACCTACAAACAATCCCATAAAAAACATACAATCCGGCAACACCGGAAGCCATCCCACCTCTTCCCGAACGCGCCGTCCTCGATCTCGGACTGCGACGACCGCATCGCCGGGTTGCTCGGCCGCCCCGTCACCTCGAACTTGCTCTTCCGCTGCACGTACAGCTTGTCCGACTTCCTCGGGCTCTTCTTCGCCTTCTCCGGCTTCGGCCCGAAGTCCGCGTTGGACTCGAACACGTCGTCCTGCAGGTCCTCCAACGCCGCCGAGATGTCGTTGCGCAAGTCGTACTCCTCCTCGCGCTTCTTGTGCTTCCCTGCAACGACGGGCGATCAGTCATTTGTGACGTTGATTGATGGAAATGGAAACGACGGCTGTATATTTCTAACAATAAGGTCTAGAAACAGCGCTTGTGCATTAGAGAATGTGTCCCGTTATTTGAACTATTTGAAATTTGATGACTTTTTGAGCTTCATTTTTGTGCCGCACCGTGGCGCACGATCGAAGGAACAAGTTATCTCAGCCAATCAGCGTCGAGCTACATATAAATCGCGGTTGTGAGATGACAGTTCGAGCTGTCAAAACTTCAAAAATTATTTTTTTGACAATTCGAGGAGAAATGGAGAAATACTTTAACCGAAGATACGTGAGGTATGATGTTAACAACAAAATCATCGCTGATTTAAGTATATTTTTATATTTTGTATCTATTTTTAGTGCTAATTCTTTTTTAATGCTAATTCTATATAATTCGTACGCAAAAAACCGTGGTCTTTTACAACATCGCCACCTAGCGACCGTTTTAAGAACCATTTTTTATTCTCAAATAACGGGACACTTTTTCGACCTATGTTTCTAGACCTTAGAAATATAGAGCGTGTATATTGGTGTAGAATAAGTGGAATTACTTTAAAGTATAGGCTACTAACAACGAAGAAAAAACTATTAACAAACTCCAAGAAGAAATGCTTCAATCTACTCGTAAATCATCCCGTTATAGTCCTGGATTTCAGTCATTAAGCCAACTTACTTTTGGTGCTGCTGGAATTGGCAGGCGACACGTCCCGCCTCTTCTTTTTGCTCTTCTTCTTCTCCTTGGGTATCATCATCTCCCTGCTGTCGCCCATGCCGAGCTCGGCGTCGCCGCCGCCGCCGCCGCCGCCGCCGCCGTGGCGCTTCTTCTTCGACTTGGACTTCTTCAGCGCGGCGCCGATGATGTCGTCGGCGTCGCGGGCGCCGTGCGACGACTGCATCGCGTTGTAGGCGTTCAGCTCGTCGGTGTCCATCTGCTGGTACTCCTTGCGCTTCTTGTAGTGCTTCCGCTCCTCGGGGCTCAACAGCTCCAGGTTACCTGCGGGGATAGTTTCGATGTATTCGAGATGTGGATGAAGAGAGATGATAGGGAGGAGCAGTGAGTGGAGAAGTAAAAGAAATGATGCGTTTAACAGAAGGAAATTCGACGTTTTCATGTCTCTTGGGCTATGAGAAAAACGTTTTCTTAATGCTCCAAATATCACATTTTCCTTCCCACGCGTTGACATATGACCTTTCGCTACATACCCTTTACGTATCGACTTTTATCCTTCACCTACTAACCTTTCCAATCCAACAAATTTGCTGGTAAAATCGTCGATAAATCTCTTTACCTGACAACTCCTCGGGCACCTTCTCGTCCTCGTAGAAGCTCAAACTCTGCGGGCGGGAGTCGGTGAAGTGCGAGTGCCTGTTGATGTCGCGCCGCATCTCGGTCTCGATCAGCGACATGATCTTGGAGTTGATCTGGCTCTCGCCGTCGACGGAGATCTCCCGGCTGGGCGTCTGCACGTTCTCGTTGCGGTCCTCGAACCTGGTGAACGTCCGGTTCGACTCCGTCGACTCGGAATTGTGCAGGTCGTCGTCGCCGATCGACGGCGGCGACTTGTGCACCTGGGCCACGATCTGCTCCTTCATGTCGTCCTTGGGCTGCTTGCGCTTCTTGGGCCTGGGGGACAGGACGCCGTTCATGCTGGCCTGTCGTCGCGTTATCGATTTTCCCGCGGCGCGCTTCGGGTTTTGTTTGTATCGAACTGGCTGTCGCTGGTATTAGGGGACGTTCATCGCTGGTTTGTTGTAGCGCTTTTGATGCGGGTTTGGCTGTTTGTTTGGGTTTTTTTGTCGTTGGAATCGATCGGATTCTTCGACGCTTGCACGAGGTGGTGCGAGAGTCGCCGTTCAACTGGTTGAATGCCTTCGGGTATGCGCATGAGTGAACCAGTTTCGGAGCAAATGTCGAGGATTGGACGTTGCGTATTGCGTGGGTGCATCTACAGGATGGCCCGATTTCGAGAAACTTGGGAACAATGGGTCAAACATTTTCAATCTCTTGTAATTTTTGATGGCAAGTTTATAATTGAAAACAAAGTTGGTTAGAAACTTACTCCAATGCAAACCGATTAGAGTAAAATCTTGCTAGTAATACACGGGGTTATCCTATACAACGCAGGATAAGTCGAGTCCACCCTGTACAAAACCTAGCTGTTTGTAAACAATGCGTAATGAAACTACAAACACACGATTTGTGTGCGCAGGATATATTTTTAGTTGTATCAGAACATCTCTATTTGAATCTGAAAGAGATCTGCAAGTTTTTGGATTCGAAGTGGTCCTTGGCGGTTTTGCGCAAGAGCTCTTCGGCGTCGGGGCCGCGGTCTTTCACCAGCCTGGACAAGCAGCCATCGGGGTTCTGGAGCAGCTCGTGCGCGTGGGCGTACTCGACCTCTTTGCCATCGTCTATCACCAATATTTTATCGTTTTCCATGATGGTGTCCAAGCTATTCGCTACGGTGATCACCGTGCAGTTTCTGAACTTCTCCTTGATGATCCTCCGCATCCGTTTGTTGGTGCTGGACAGGATGAAATTATGAATTGCATATAAAGAATAAGTTTGTACCTTGAATCGAGATCGCTGGGGTTGTTTTCTACGATCAACACTTTGCTGTGTCTGAGTAAAGCTCTTGCCAGGCAGATGAGCTGCTTTTGCTCGGAGCTTAGGTTGAGGCCTTCTTCTACAATCGGTTGGGATAGGCTTTGTATGCTCGTTTTCAAACCAACCTGTTTGGTAAATTTTATAGCGAAAGAATTAAGCGAATGAATCTACAGCGAATTTATTTACCTCTTCCAATACTTTCCACAACATTTCGTCGTTCGAGTAATCCAAGGGATCCAAATTTTGTCTCACTGAAGCCGAGAACAGCACCGGATCTTTGGGAATGAATGTGATATTCGATCTGAGTTTGTGCAAACTAATCGAATTCGTATCGACTTCATCGAGCATTACCAGTCCTTCCACTTGAGTCAATCGAAGAAGACATGATACTACAGTCCACTTTTCCCCAGGATAACTACTTACCACAGCTATCTAAAATTATTATCAGTATCTACATTAGCAGCTTGATATTTTAGTTACCTTTTCTGCCGGTCTAATCACGATGTTCAAGTTCTTCAAAGAGCATCCGCTGGAATCGTTGTCTTTGATATACACGTTTTTGAAGACGATTTTCCCGCAAAACGGCCAGTTCTTCGGCACCAAAGTGCACTTATCCACATCTTCCGCAGCCAACCGGGTGTACCGCATCGCCTCGTCGACGGCGCCGCCGTCGCGCATCGCCTCCACGCTCTCCCGCAACCCCAAATGCACCAATTCCGTCAGAATCGTACCTTGGGCGACGATCAGTCCGAAGTAGGCGCTGTCGTAGTACTCACCGAACTTCGCGATCACGACGAATATCGCGGTGATACCCATGAACAGCGTCGCCAGCAGGTCCACGTAGAAGCCGAAGTACTCGTTCACGTAGAGACTCGCCACCGCGATGCCCGTTTCTTTGTCCAGCAGGTGCTCGAAGAGCTCCAGCACCAGCTCCTCGGCCTCGGCCGATCTGATTGTGAATATACCGCGAAACGAGCACGAAACGAACGAGTAAATGGGCCATTGAGCTGCGGAAATTTAATGATTAAACCAACATGTCGAGGGATAAAGGACGGGGGAATAAAAACGTGCCTTTAGTTTCCAATTTCTGCAGAGCGCGAGCGGTGGAACCGAAAGAGCACACCGAGAAATACACCATAATCAAGATGAGCATCAACGGTGGTATCAGAGCCGGCGCCATAAACACCATCAACAAAACAGACCCCAGCGCTGCCGAGCACATTTGCCACATCAGCAGATTTTTCGATGCCATTCGGTGCGCGGCGTCCAAATCTTTGGAGAACCTTCGCAGAATCACACCTGCAACAAACCGATTGGAATACGGGCCTTTAACTACTCGAAACGTCCAGCCAATCGTTCCGACCTGGAGAGAAATGATCGAAGAACTTGACGGGCGAGAACAGCACGTTGTGGAACATGGTGTTGTGCAAAGCGCGCGAGGCGCGCAGGCAGATCGCGTGGTAGACGAGCGCTTTGAGAGCCGTGAAGACGATGCAACAGACGATGAAGCCGGCGTAGCAGTAAACGAAGAAATCCGCTTCGGGGATGCCCAGGATGGATTCGTTTCGATCGGCGCGATCGGTTCCGAGCGATCGGTTCTTCAGGCCGTACACGAGGTCGTTGAACAGCGTGTGGTACATCAACGAAAACGATGAATTTTGAGTTTGATTCGTTCCGGGAGCGCCAGCGGCTCGATTCGATATTTCTATGTTTATCCTGGAAGATTACGGGGCTGTATTTATACTGGATTGTGGGTGAACGAAAGAAGAATGAAAGGCGGAGGGATAAAGGGAGAAGGATGAAGGACGAAAGGATAATTTATAGCTTCCGTAATCGATTTAAAATGGTTAATAATGGTGTATAATTTTCTAAGAAAACAATAATTTCTCTACAACAACTAATCACTCTTTTCGGGGAAAAGGATATTCATAAGGAAAATAATATTTAAAGTAGGCGCCAGAGTTCAGCCACTTACAGGCTGTCAATGTTGCCAAATGAATAGGGATTTATTTACTTGTATTCGTTGACAGTATGTTGCAGTTATACAGTTGAAAGAAAAATATGCTTAGAAATTTGACAACAAATTTTAGAACAGAAATATTATTGGCTACCATCAAAATTCCAACTTTAGTTTGGGGAGGTTGGGGGTGGAATTTTACGCTGAAATTTTATAATCTTCAATAAAATGAGCTAAATTTTCATAAAAAAATCGTTACAGAAGCTAAATTAGCTTCTACATAGATTAAAATTAAGGTTTTTTTTGTACATACCACTGCGTGAGCCAAAAATCCGATAAGCTAGTAAACACCTGAGCTAGGAAGACCAACATCACGACCAATCCCACCCTAAATTTCCTCCCGTTCAAATTCAAATACTCCCTAATCGTGCGGAAATATCCTTTACAGCGCGCAGCGTTTTCCGCCGCTCGATTTTCCTTTTCTCCGTCGTAAATCTGCAAAATTTCCCATCGATATTTCCACGCTAATCGATAACTTCGAAGCACTTACATCAGTATCCTCTCGCGGACGAGGCACGGCGAAATCCTTTCCAGCCGCCAGTTTCTTATTCAAGTACTGGAAATCCGCTTCGTTGAAATATTCGGTTTCGATGATGCGGCTCACGTTGCCCTAGAAATCCCAAATTACACCTTAACCGATGCTATTCCGTATTATAAAAACGAAGCATTTACTTTGAAGTAAAAGGTAGAGGCTAAAAGTACGAAAAACAGGCTCTAAAACCTTATACAAAGATTTTAAAACCACAAAATATTTCGCTTTAAAGCCACAGCAGGGTTCTCTCTTCCAATGAAGCACCAATGAAGCTTCATTTTTGAAGCAAAAAGTTGTGCTTCTTTTTATAAATACGGCCTAATACGAGTATCTTACAGTCTCTAAAACCACGATGGAGCCGGCCTCTTTGGCGTGGTAGAGCCTATTGGAGACAAAAATCCTCGTCCTGCCGGCCAGATACCTCAAAACGCCCTCCGAGAAGGCGTCGTTGGCGACGCCCGCGTCCAATTTCCCGAAGGCGTCGTCGATTACATAGATATCGGCGTCCCTGTAGAACGTCCTCGCCAGGTTAATCTTCTCGCCAATCCCACTCGAAGCCCCCGGCAGCCCCTCGATCGACGTCCGATCGCCACAGGGCAACCTCTTCAAGTCCTCTTCCAGCGAGCAGATCTTCAGGATCTCCTTGTACCTTCGAAACACAGGCGCGTATTTCCATTCGTAGATCGATAGAGGACACTTACTTGTGCTTGTTGTACGGCTGGCCGCAGAGGATGTTGGTCTTGATGGAAGAGGAAAACAGCCAAGGGGTTTGGCTCGCGTACGAAATTGTTCCCGCCACGTCGACGCGTCCCGACGCCGCCGGAAGCTCCTTCAGCAGCATCTTCACCAGCGACGATTTTCCGGCGCCGCTCGGGCCGAAAATGCAGCAGCACCCGCCCGACGGAACGCTCAAATTGATGTTCTGCCCAGCAAAAATTACCGGATTAAAATCGAATTTAAAATCGACTCTAATAATTTACGTTTAGAACCGGTTGCGCGCCCCATCTGGCGCTCGCGTCCGATACTCTCACGGTGCCCGGTTTCCTCGCGCCCTTGGAGTAGCTGATGATTTTTATTTGCTCCTCTTTCTCCTCCATCGTCAGGAAGTTCTCGATTTTCACCATCGCCAGCGAGGCTTCCAGGTATCTTCGAACATTCGATGCATTACACCCAGTAGAGTCGATATGAAGAGGTCTCGACTCTCTCAGCGATTATCTAGCCGAGAGAGTCGATTTTCTTACTAAGATAGTCACTTATCTAGCTGAAAGAGTCGATTAGCTAACTGAAAGAGTCGATTATCTAACTGAAGTAGTCGCTTATCTAGCTGAGAGAGTCGATTATCTAAATTGAGAGAGTCACTTATCTAGCTGAGAGAGTCGATTATCTAACTGAGAGAGTCAATTATCTGGTCGAGAGAGTCGATTATATCGATTATACTGGGAAAAATTGCGGGATTTATACCTTTCTATGGCCTCTGGAAGGAAATAGCAGGCGTATTGTTGCAGATTGTAGAAAATCAGGACGACGGCGAAGACTTGATCGGCCTCGAGCGAGTTGCCCAGCATCACGTGGGCGGTGAGAGTGAAAAATATGGCGATGGTTTGGGTGAAAACCAGCGTGGAAATCGAGCAGCATTTGATGAAGGCGCTTTTCGACATCGCTACGATTTCCAAGCTGGAAAACAACGCTTTGAATTAATTCGTATGCGACTTAAATGCATTTATACATTCTCGTTGTTTCCAATTTCTTTTCGAATGGTTTCTCCCATCCGTAGGTTTTTATCACTCGCATGCCGTACAGGATTTCTCTCATAACTTTCAAACGACCGTCGGCGAATACGGAGAGTTGGCCGTGGATCGCGTTTCGCACGCGCGATAAGTAACCTGAAAATTAAATCACCTACAGACCGACGGGGATAGCCGTGGACGTGGCGCGCGCGAAAATCGCCTCGCAATAACGGCACAACGACAGATTCTAGTACCTTGAGGAACGGATACGACGAGGATAAACAACAATCCCGCCAGCGAAGCCGCCCCGATCACGTGGTAGGAGACGTAAGTCGATGCTAGAAACTGCAACGGGGTTATGTAGAGGTAGTGCAAATAGGGGGCGGCTGATTCGATTTTTTTCACGTCGTCTGAGAGCAATTTCACCAATCTACCGGGCGCTAGTCGATTTATAGAACGCTGGCTTAGCTTCAGAGTCTGCAACCAAAACATTTACCTACAGACCGAAGCGTATAGTTGAATACACACCGATCGCAGAAACTACAACTGATGAAATAATGAAAATGTGTTAATAAGAAATACGTACTTTTTTCTCGATCAAAACCGAGCAGGCCACTTTAGCGCGGGTGCCGATGCGCGCGCATCCGACGTAGCAATGATGGTAAATCAAGTTGTTGATGAGCGACAGTGCTATAGCTATAGCTGCGAAGTAATATAGCATCATGTGCTCGGGATTCTCGAATTCGTAGTGCCATATCAACTCAGCCAGAACTATCGGTTGTAGCGTCCTAATACAGCGATATATACAGGGTGTATAAAAGCTGGGAGACGGTCAATTATCTCCTAAATAAGACGGATTCGTCTACAGATCGAAGGGAATAGCCGAAGACGGTTAGTTTGTGTTCGGAACGTAGCTTGTTTAGGAGATAATTGAGCATCTTTGGGCCGTTTTTTTGAACCGAAATGAATGTATTACCTGATGAAGATGCTTTGTATGAATAAATACAGACCGTAGAGGAGGAATGGCTGACCGAAGGTGTACAAAATGGTTTTCTTCAGGTTCGGGTTTCGATTTTTTATCCGGGATTTTTTCAATTCGTCGTTCCAGTTTCTGGAATCAAACGAAAGTCCATCTTTTGTAGTCCAATGCACCAGTTTTACACACTTTATTACTGATATACCCCAGCGAATGTAGCTTGGCAGTTGAAAATTGCAATTATAGCGCAAGCGGGATGCAAGATGGACAAAATTAAAGGAATAATGAGACAAATTTACCTTCAGAGAATTGCTGGAGGGTACGAATTTTGATACAATTCCAAGTGCCAAGCTACAGTTAACGAGGTAGATATATAGTACTTACTGTTCTAAATTTCTGGATACGGTACTGGCCGAATCGGCGTCGAGCGTGTCGTAGACGTCCCGATTTTGCACCGTTGAACTCGCCCCGTATTTCAGCAAAGGCAAAATCCAACTTCGAAAAAAAATTCGTAATTATCATCATCAATTAAATTGCTAATCGCGTCCCTTGAACCCATCAATGATCCGCTAAAATTAGACGCGTTTCTCGTCCACCTGTTTGTGGATTTTTCCTGGCCGGATTTCGATATTTTTTAATATCCCGACGGCTTGTTGGAATTTCTTCTCGATTCGAGCTTTTCTGTTAACTTACCAAAAGAACAATTTGGAGAGCGGGTTCGCGTTGATTTCGGGCGATCGATTGGGCAATTTCACCACCGCCTCCATGTTTTCTTTTTGCTTATAAACGGTAACTAGCACTGTTTGTGAAACGCATTCGGCGAGTAATTAGCGGAAAATTGAACGGAAAAACGCGAATTTTTTGTTGCAGTCTAATAATCTATTATTTATCTGCGTTTTTATCGCCGCGAAATGCCTAATAGTTTCGATAAAAGTTGGAGAGAATGTGCGTATGTAGGTAAACAATTTGAATAAATTTTATTGTTTATTTGTTTTTTTACTTGTAATAATTTTCTGATGTTTATATGTTTGGTAAGTAAAGGAAGGGAGGATAGGAAAGGGGAGGATAAGATTAAATGAAGCACAGAAGATAAGGGGCTTTTATTAAATGAAAATCATTAAATAATTTCACCGATTTTATTAAAGTTTTTTATATTTAGATACTTATAGATACTCTTTAAGTAAGTAAATTTTTTAAGAAAAACTACCAGATTTATTAATTTTCTCTCTACTTTGATTGATTCTCCTCTCCTGCTTTAATTTTGACCAACTTTCTTTTAAAAATTCCACATAATTCATTGATTCTTTCAATTTTTTATCTACAATCATCCAATTTCATTAAATTTCTCTTCATTTCTGTCGAAATTTCTCCAAAAACTCCACCAAATTTGTGAATTTTCATTCTATTTCGATTGATTCTCTTCTCAACTTCATTAATTTTGTCGAAATTTATTTTAAAAACCACAAACTTCATTGATTTTTCCATTTTTTTTTGCAATCTTCAAATTCCATTAAATTTCTCTACAATTCTCTTGAAATTTCTATCAAAACTACAACAGATTTAATAGTTTTCTCTTCACTTCGATTGATTCTCCTCTCAACTGCTTTAATTTTGTCGAAATTTCTCTTAAAAACCACAAACTTCATTGATTTTTCAATTTTATTGCAATCTTCAAATTTCATTAAATTTCTCTACAATTCTCTTGAAATTTCTATCAAAACTACACCAGATTTATTAATTTTCTCTCTACTTCGATTGATAATTCCTTCAACCTCATTAATTTTGTCCACATTTCTCTTAAAAACCCCACAAAATTCATCGATTCTTCCAATTTTCTATCTACAATCCTCCAATTTCATTAAATTTATCTACATTTCTGTTGAAATTTCTACCAAATTCATTAATTTTCTCTCTACTTCGATCGATAATTCCTTCAACCTCATTAATTTTGTCCACATTTCTCTTAAGAAACTCCACAAAATTAATCGATTCTTTCAATTTTCTATCTACAATCCTCCAATTTCATTAAATTTATCTACATTTCCGTTGAAATTTCTACCAAATTCATTAATTTTCTCTCTACTTCGATCGATAATTCCCTCAACCTCATTAATTTCGTCCACATTTCTCTTAAGAAACCCCACAAAACTCATCGATTCTTCCAATTTTCTACCAACAATCCTCCAATTTCATTAAATTTCTCCACATCTCTCTCGAAACCTCCACCACAACCTCCACCAAAAATTCTCTCCACTTCGACCGCCACTCCCCCCAATCCCCCATCGAATCCCCACACCGAAACAATTCCATACAAGTCCCAATTCCCTCCCGTCGCGTCAAATTTCATTAAATTTCTCTACAATTCTTTTGAAATGTCTATCAAAACTACACCAGATTTATTAATTTTCTCTCTACTTCGATTGATACTTTTCTCAACTTCATCAATTTTGCCCACATTTCTCTTAAGAAACCCCACAAAATTCATCGATTCTTCCAACTTTCTACCAACAATCCTCCAATTTCATTAAATTTCTCCACATCTCTCTCGAAACCTCCACTGGAAACAATTCCATACAAGTCCCAATTCCCTCCCGTCGCGTCCACCGGCGCCCGTTAAAATAACAACCGAGTGGGCGCCCGTCCGTAAACCAATCGCCCCGCGCCCGATCCATAATTTTCGACGCGATCCGAACGATCGGCCGAGCCTCGCCGGCCGCCGTATCGGGTTTCCCTCAGCGCTAATTTTGGCCGTCGAAAGCGGCCCGAGGGGGGCGCGGGCGCCGGGTGGGGGCGCGCCCGCCGGTCCCGGCCCGACCGACGGGATCGACTCCAACAGTCAGCACTCAGTCCCCGTTGACTGCTCAATAATTTCCATCGTTGAGACGCAGGTACGTTGAAATTTTTTTTCTGATTTTCCTTTGGGACGATTGGGGCGATTGGAGCGCCCCGAGTGGTGTGGTTAATCGCGCGAGTGCTGTGGTAGTTGGTGGATTTTTCTTCTGCCCGTGCTTGAGGTATTTTGGTGTGTAAGGATTCGTTTCGTAATGTCGCAGGACGGAAAGATGGCGCTAAGTCTGCTAAGATTAGACGGGCTATAAATACTAGTTTGGGTTCCAAGAAATAAATTGTATCGTTAGGTTTAAGCGATTTTGGTTGGCTTCCAACTATGCCAAACTCGAATTCTATCGGCGATTTTTACCGAGCTAAATTAATTAGGTTTACTTTCCCTACTAAATACTAGAACTACTATGTTCTAATAGACCCTAGTAGGTCTACTTTATCTTATGTAGGTGTCTTAGTATAGGTCAAAACTCTACTTCTAGTAAAGGTCTTCTATTATAGTCCTCTAGTATAGGTCAGTAGTATTTTTGGACTTCAATTTTGACCTAGTATGTTGCTTTTACTTTCTTCAATTTTGATAATTTGAGCTATATTTTTAGTAGGAGTCTTCTATAATAGTGTTCAAGTATCAGCAGTATTTTTGGACTTCAATTTTGACCTAGTATATTGGATTTATTTTCTTCTATTTTGCATAATTTTTAAGAGTCTTCTACAATAATTTCAATATTTACTAAGCCCCATTATTCTACCCAACTAGTTCTACTTTAATTGGTGATATAGTATGGAGTTGGACTTCAACTTTGACCTAGTATTATTAGCTAAATTGGTGATACAATTGCACTTCCATTCTGATTCCCTCTAGTTAGATTATCCTTGATAAAGTCTCAGCAATTTTGGTATATGAGTTAATTTTGTTGAAAATTGTGTAAAGAAAATAAAACGAATGTTTGACGTAATGCGATAGTAAACACAAAATAACGCGAGAAACCAAATTCGGCTGTGAGAAAAACGGTTTTGAGCTATTTTGGATTCGGGCCAGAGCGGGCTAAAAATAGCCCGCTAGAAAACGAAAATCCTCTACGAAAATAGATCGGTCACACCTCGATTAATACTTACCTATCTGAAGATATTTTTTCTGAATTTTCGCAAATTTTTTTCGCCTTTTTCACCAGATTTTTTTCTATTTTCCAGAACAGCAGAAAACTCTACCAACATGGCGGACGATGAGGTTAGGTAAGCGTAAGATAAAAATTTTTTTTTAATTATTTTATTAATTTTTTTGTAATTTTTTTTATGTGCAGTATGAGATCGAATTTTCGGACTGCCTCCGATAAAATAAGGTGAATATTGGTGTTTTTGTGCGCTTTTTTAACAAGATATTTTAGATTATTTTAAGCCATCTACTGCTAGAGACCTGTAGATGTATCAGCCTATTTATAGCTACAATTTTAATTTAATATTTATACAAGGTGCTCCATGTATTGAGGTTTCCAAAACACTTGAGATTATTTAATTAAAAAAAATTAATAAATCACACATTTTTCTATCATTATCTCAAGTATTAGTAAACCACAATCTGGCTCTGCAATCGTGACACGCCTTGTATAAAAAAATAATTTACATGGTATAATGTAAATTCGACGCTTTGAAGCTTCTTTGGTAGTTGATTTGTGCATGTCACTATCTTCAGAACTATTTAGCCGGTAGACAATTATTCTTTAATATGCTATATTTGAACTATTCAAACCGTAAGTAGTTCATTTGTTGGTGCTAACAGTTCCATTCACGCACGTTTGTTTGTGATTAGTCACTAAGGGAACCCCCTATTGTACCACTATTAAAAAAAATTATATTATTTAAAGAATATTTAACTTTTTTTTCACTTGTACATATTTTCATGTTTATTTAAGTAATAATTTGTCGAGTTTTTGATTGATTTAATGCAATTCACTATTCAGCACTTGTCACTATAACAATTTCTCGTCATTTTATCGCATTTGCGAAGGGTTTTTCTAATTTTTTTTTTATTTCTTTTGCAGAAAAAGAAACTGGAGGAGGCACGTAAAGCACAGCAAAATTCGAAAATAACAAACAGATTAATTATTTACATTTTCACAAAACGCTTTCTCGACTAGCTAATTTCTTAGTCAATTGTACAAATAACTGGTAATAATTTCCTGTTCGCTATTTTCGAAAAAAATCTCATTCAATACAAATACTGATCGGATTTTTTGACCGCGTTAAACAACAGGAAAAGAAGAGAAAACAGGCTGAGATCGAACGCAAGAGGGCTGAGGTGAGGGCTCGCATGGAAGAGGCCTCCAAGGCGAAGAAGGCGAAGAAAGGTTTCATGACCCCCGAAAGAAAGAAGAAACTTAGGGTGAGTAATTCACACCGCGCTCGATCACTTTATTCGCTCACTTCCATAATTGATTTCCAGTTACTGTTGAGAAAGAAAGCCGCCGAGGAACTGAAGAAGGAGCAGGAAAGGAAAGCGGCCGAAAGGAGACGCATCATCGAAGAGCGCTGCGGAAAGCCCAAACTGATCGATGACGCCAATGAAGGTAATCGATTAATTGCCAGTGATTAAATTAAATACGGTTTTATCAGCCCCTTTCAGTCGCCACTGTTCGCTCGAGAAGCAATTTATCAAGGAATCAATTTGAAAAATTTGCCGCGTTGAAACCGGAGTGTTTTATCTATTTTTTTTTGTTCACGCCGATTGGTAACTAATTCGTATTTTTTCATAGAACAACTTAAGAGTATTTCCAAAATGTATCACGAGAGAATTTGCAAGCTGGAAGACCAGAAATTCGATTTGGAATATCTAGTCAAAAAGAAAGATATGGAGGTTAGACGTATTAAAAAAAGGATTGTTGCACGTTGGGTTTTTTTATCATCAGGCTCTCTGATACTGGATCTTTTTTTTTATCAGTCCGGTGACCGAGGGAAAAAAATATTTATTAGATAAAGAGCAATTTGGATTTTTGTTCAGGATTTTTCGGGGCATATTTTTCCACGGTAACCGGACCTGTTGCTTATTTTTTTTTCGCTTTTTCTACGGAACTTTATTTTTCTTGTTCTCACTTCACGGGTTTTCCGCGGAAAAATCGGCGTTTTCTTGCGGGAAAACCGCCGACACATCTCCGTATTGTGTAACGTATACTCTGCCGGTCTAATTTTAATCCGGCATTTTTGAGATCGATCCAAAAAAAGCCTCAAACAACGCAATTTATGATACACCTTTGAGTCAGTTAGAAATAGACACAGGACGGCTAACGTTGCATTCATTCAATCGCCTATTCGCTTATACAGGGTGTCCCAAATTATCCGTGTTGTAATCGTACACAGGGTGTCCCGGAAACGGGCCACCCTCTGTTCGATCGAAATTGTTGCAATGAATTTACGAGGAATTTCGTTCTAGCCACTGTTAAACAAGTGTGTGAAAATTATCATAGACGTATTGTCGATCTAGAAAATAAGAAATTTGACCTCGAAAAGGAAGTGGAATTCAGGGATTTCCAGGTAGAAAATGGAGGGCATGATGGGATTATGCACATGCGTAGAATAACAATCACACGAGTATTTTGTAATTTTTTTAGAGCTTTTTCGCACAATTATCGAGTATAATTTTTTTTGTTGTTTCCAGTATACGTACAAGGCACAATTTAATAACAAATTTATATGTCTACTCACTTCGGCGTTAAGTTAACATTTATTTTTCGAGCGCTTCTTTTTCCAGTGTAACTTTTCACGGGATAACAAATAATGTCACATAAAAAAAAATGTTAACTTTCGTTTTGAGATTTTTTTTTGTAAATACCTCGTATGATGTATCCAATCAAAGCGATTTAAAGTTGAATATTTTCTTTCTAAATTTTGCTTGTCGCTTGAACGCTTAGTCCAACCATTTCCTACTGAATCGTCCGATATTCATTGGACAAATTTATTAAAATTATTATTAGAAAACAGTCCAATTACACCGGAACAACACACTTATTTATCCGTCCACCTGGCGCCCCCTTTTTCCCCCGAATCGTGTGCAGGAATTTTTGAATTACGCGCTCTATCGAAGCCCCATCAACGTGAGAAAATTACAAAGAAAACTTTACCTTTATTGCGCATAAATTCGTCATTTTTTGGGGTATATTTAGCGCATTACTGGGGGCGTGTAACAAGCGCTTAATTGGGCCATATTTAGCGCATAATTGGAGTAAATTGGGGTAAATTTAGCGCATAATTGGGGGTGTATAATTAGCGCACAATTGGAGTACATTTTGGGCAAAATTGGATTACATTTAGCTTAAAATGGGGACAAATTTAGCGCATAATTGGGGGTGTATAATTAGCGCATAATTGGGCCATATTTAGCGCATAATTCCCGAATTTCCTGGCGCGTTTTGGGGAAACGGGCGGTCGGTTGGGTAGACATCACACTGACAAAGCATTGACCGAGAAACGTACCGTTTGTAATGCTGAAATATATCTTCTTCTAGCTGAACTACAGACTATTTGTAAATTGTATCACGACAGAATTGCCAAACTCGAAGGGGATAAATATGATTTAGAAGTAATCGAACGTATCAAAGCCCAGGAGGTACAAATTATACACGATACACAGGCCTTGTTGCGTTTTTTTTTCTTTTTCTTTATTTATTATTTTAGGTCGCACTCATGGAATGGCCAATTTTTAAATTCGTAAACGGCATCCAAAAAATAATAATGCGTTTCGTTAAAATTTAGGGAGTAAATGAGGAAATTTTTCGAGTTGAATTATTATTTTTTGGAACGCTATTATGTTTTTTTTTACCTGCAATGTAAATACTTTGCCACAGCTGTTTGTATTTAGGAAATCAACAGGTTTCTACCAGTAGTCTTCAACGGTTGTACAAACTCACTCCAGAGGAATACTCAATAAAACTAGAGAGAATTTTTAACCTATACAGGACTCGTTTTATCGAGCATTCCTCGACGAAGGAGCGATAGAATATTAGGGTATCGGGTTGAGAAATAGTAGTTTCTACCTAATATAAATGCTGACTGCTGGTTCCGTTTCCGATTTCTAGGCCAACTTAAGAAGATTTGCAAAGACTATTATGACCGCATGTATATATGTGAGGAGCAGAAATGGGATTTGGAACGCGAAGTTCGAAAACGGGACTGGGAGGTATCTTGATACATACACTCTGTCACATAATTCCACATGTTTTGTGCTTCACGTCATACATTACATACGATTATCAACGATTTCTTTTACCTATATATACGATATCGATGATTCATTTCGTTAAATTCGCTTCGGGCGCGCGGAATTTCATTTTTACCGATGAATTATCGATGTCTTTTTCGCATTTCTCAAACAAACATAGTTATGTTTTGTGTATACTAAATATTGTTAGTGAGTACATGAAGTGTTAAGCCGTAGTGTCCCTGTCCTGAATCATATATGTGCTCGAATATACAAAAAAAAAGTACAGCTAAAATTACCCTCTTATTGCGAGTTATACAGGGTGGCGCATAAACACGCAAATTCTAGTACTCTCGTATATCACAAATTCGAAGCATTTTTTATGAACCACCCTGTATATCGCTAAATCTATCCATCGCTTTGCGTGCTTGCATTATAATCGCTATTGAATATTCTTCGTTCATTCATTTACTATCAAATTAACGTTACTTATAGTTGTTCCACGGTCAATGGTGTAAAAACCTCGCTCTATTGACGTTGGGAACACTATACTTGGTGAAATATCAATTTCTACTAAATATTTTAAAACGTTACGCGTATTTCTAATTGTTACTAACATTAGATTTGGATCCGGTAAACGATTAGAGTGCTCTAAAAACTGGCAATAACCGCTTCCGATACCCGGCAAATTGACCCATTGGGATACGGCATGGCCCTTCATGCTTCCTCCTTAGTCGATCGAGATTATATCCCGCTATTTATGATTATTTGTTTTTTTTTTCGTTCTTCTTTTCTTTGACTTTCTTTTTTGTTTACTTTTAACCATTCCAAATCACCAAAAGTACCGGTTACAGATTCAAGGAAAACGGAACCTGTCAGATCAGAAGTGCCATGCTCTATCCTACTCTTCCTCGCGTCCAACGCGTGTAATGTTTACCTTTTTATTTTTTTTGTATTACACGCGAGCCGTTTTTTTTTCGAAATAAATAGTTGAAATGCAACGGTAAACATTGCGAATGCGTAAGATATTACATTACAGTGGAAAAAAACCAAGGTTACTAGATACTTGTAAGGTTGCATTGAGATATACGTCATAAGATTTTCAGAGTAATCTATCGAACTGTAATGTATTTTATAGCTAAATTGAAATGTCAAATGTCGATCATTTTTCGACCAATTACAGTCGTATATTTCTAAGGTCTGGAAACAGAGGTCAAAAAAGTGTCCAGTTATTTGAAGGGAGCGTAATGCTCAAAAAGTCTTCATTTAACGGGACACATCCACTAATGCCAAATTATAGACAGTTTCCAGACTTTAGAAATATACAGCCGTGTTTTTATCACAGTTGGCGTAAGCTGTCTTGCGCGGCGCATTGACAGTTGACGTAAGCTGTCAAATTGACGTCCGATGGACAATTCAATTTCGCTGGGGAATTTCGGGAAGGGTGTGTGAGGATAGAAAATTAGTATACGAAGTTGAAGTTGGATATTAAAAAGAAATTTCCCTTAGATCGTCGAAATTTGTTTTTAATAAACCGTTAATTAGCTTACAAGGCTTTCAGTATTAAATCGACATAAAGGCTGTACGAGACCAGCGTGTATTTTTTTGTAATATGTTCTCTAGCGTAGATTATTATGTATATGTTCAAAATCCCGGTCAATCCCGATCATCGAATCCCGTTTTGAAGAAGGTGCAGATTTTTGTGTAATAATTTTTTTTAGCGAGAAACGAGCGCATTTTTGACGTTTCTCCACCTGTATATTGTGTATATTTTTGTAGCAGCAGCGATAATTATATTGTCCCCTGTGTATTGTTCGATCCGAATTTTGTGATGGGTTTCGATCGACTCGAAACACCGTAGTTTTTTTTTATTTGCGTTAACACGATAAATCCATTAGCGATGGCCCGATTTAAGAACAACAAAGCTCCTGGAACACCTGGAAAAATACTGTATTCTTAAATCGGTATTTTTTATCTGTTAACAACGCATACGAAGATGTGTGTTCTCCACCTTTTTGTTCTCTCTTTCTATCCACGTTTTTACTCCTGTCGATGTCACTCACAGTGCAAGCTTCACTAACTTTCCACCAGTAAATTTTCGAAAATTTTCCACTAACCCGGCTGTGTTGGCGACATGATGTGTGTTTTCGTTTTCGTAAAATTGTTTTATTTTCATCACATTACATACGCACCTTCTATTAACTAAAAATATTCCGAATGCTACTTACACTTTCAATTTCTACCGATAAATGTAAATTTGTACGAAATGTAGGTGCAACAAAGACAACTTCCATTAGTCTCATTTAAAAAAAAGAACAATATAGTGGAAGTGCAACTTTCACACTGTAACCAGTGTTATTAAATTTGTATAGTCATTTTTTTACAAACAATTTTGCATTTATCTGTATACAGGTGCTCCATTTTTTATCGCAACATAGGTTATATAGGCCATGGGTGCGATAAAGACAACTTCCATTAGACACTTACAAAGGAACAGGAAAGAGTGACATTTGTATCATTGCAACTTTTCACTCTGACAACTGTCATTTTAATAATCTTTCTTTGTTCCACTCATAGAAATGACCATGTTGCAATCGGAAATGGAGCAAGGTGTAGAGTAATCTTACCTGTCACCATAAATTGAAGATTAATCGATTATTAATTAAAATAAAGCGTAGCTAGCATTCGTAATTATCAATTTAATCGATTTATTTAAATATTAACGTACATTTTGATATTTTGCTAGATCTCGGAATTGAACAGTCAAGTGAACGACCTCAGAGGAAAATTGTAAGTTTTTGACACCGACGCCATTAGTGGCCTTTTGCTAATCGGCCGTTTCGTTGCAGCGTGAAACCGACGTTGAAGAAGGTGTCCAAATACGAAAACAAATTCGCCAAGTTGCAGAAGAAGGCCGCCGAATTTAACTTCCGCAACCAACTCAAAGTGGTCAAGAAGAAGGAGTTCACCTTAGAAGAAGAAGACAAAGAGGTGAGCGCCCCGGGGAAATCGATCAATCGACTCGTCTCTTTCGATTCCTCTGTTTAAATTCGATCGATCGATTGGCTTACTTTTTACTGTATTTTAATACGTTTTTATTTGTCCTTTTTTGAGCTCGCAATCGTGTTAATTACGCTCAATTTCGAGTTACATCTCTACGATGTAAAAAATTTATTAGCTTGAAACTTTGCAAAAAAATATTTAGTACATTTAGCTGGTAAAAAGTTAGAATGTCCGTTTGTTTTTCGCAGACCAAGAAAGCGGATAAAGCTGAGTGGCAGACGAAGAAATGAAGAATTTTTTTTGATTTTACGATAATACAAGATTTTTTTTGAATTATACACACACACACACATCGTACACCTAATAAACTATTAATAAGTCGCTAGTATTTTACTAGTACCACCGACGGAACTTTTATATATATTTTTTTCAAAAAAAACCTCTTAATTTTTGAGCTTTTTTTAATTTTTTTAATGGAAGTATAAGCCTTTAGAACAAGGTGAGCTCTGCTTTAGCTTATCGCTGGGATTCTGTATGTTCTTAAAGTTGGTATCAAAATGTCACCAAAAAAACTAATTTTGATATCAATTTAACAAAGCTAACGCCTCTTAAATGTCGCATATTTGTTGTATTAGCTATATTAAATTTAAAGAACTTTATTTGACGGTTAATTATTGAATTAATTTCCAAGTAAAGCTCTAATAGATTCTTGCAGCTTTAACAAAGCACCCGGCGTGTATTTTGTAGTCTTTTAGCACCTTTGCCGAATTCTACATCACAATATTTGTTTGTTTCACAGCACATTTCACCGAATGTTGTGTCCTAGAGGCCTTGAATGCCCCCCTCATTAATTTACAATCACCTCCGCATTTGCAGGACGATCAATCCTGCGAAATTTACTATTTTACGTTGTATTAAATATACTAAAATCGTTTTTTTCTAATTTGATTTTGCAGAAGAAACCAGACTGGTCGAAGACCAAAGACGAAAAGAAGGTACAAGAAGCCGAAGCATGATTTTCCACTGTGCCCGTTCCCCTTTGTTAACGTTTAGGGATCCGTCTTGTGCCCTCGTTCTCCTCTCTAGGGGCATGTAATTTCTGATCAAAAAAAAAAAATATATATATATATTTATTTTATTCATTACTTTCCAGACTAAAAAAAAGCGTCTGTGTGCATGTATAATATTTGTTTATGTAAATCTTATTAAAAAATGCCAAGTAACGTGTCTGGTGTCTTTCGAAATGTTGTCCTTTATGTTATCCTTATGATCCTTTTATTTTTGTTTACAATTCGTTGTTACGTTTGTTTTTATTGCATTATTTTTACTTTTATTTGATTCATAATGCTCAAAATATGCAAAAACGGCTAATGTTGGTTGTCTTATCGAATCAAATAAAATAAAAAATAAATAAATGATTGATTCCCACGTGACCTAAAAATGTATGCAACCCAAAGTACACAGTTGTTATTATGTTCAAGAAATGTCCCTATTTTGAATACAAATCAACACAGTGGCGTAAGAACATTAATCCACTAAGTTCTTCATTATTTTTACCTATCATTAATTTAAGGTTATGTTGATACACAGTTTTCTTCGGGAAAATTACAGTAAAAACGAGGAAAAATAAACAAAACACGTTATTTCTACCGAGATTTCATCGAGTTGACGTTGTCTTGACATTAATGACAGTATCCTAGTAACTTATTTTTTGGGTACCAACATAAACATAACAAATTTACTACGTTCATTTCGAATTTGGTCACGTGAGAATCAACCATTTATGAAGACTCTGTATTTTAATACACAAATATTTTTTTAAATATTTCTAGGAAGGAGAAGAAGGTAAGTATTACATTAACCAAAACACTGTAATAAGTCTTTAAAAAATTACATTCTACACCGAGCAACGACTCAATGAAATACACCCTCTTGTAAATATCCCGAAACACTTTCTAACAACGTTACATTAGCGCCCGCGGAGGCGGCGCCCGCCGAAGGCGCCGCGCCCGCCGACGGCCAACCGCCCGCAGGAGAACCCGCCGCCGACGGCGCCCCGCCAGCCGAAGGACAACCGCCCACCGAAGCCCAACCCCCGGCCGAAGGCCAAGAAGGCCAGCCGGCCGAAGGGGCCCCATCGCCGGAGGGCGCGCCCCCTACCGAAGGCCAACCCGCCGAAGCCACCGAACCACAGAAGGAGAAAACCCCCGAACCGCCGCCAGAAACAGGTTCGTTATACCGCCAACGTATACACTCGTTACCACAAATCCGCAATCGAAAATTCCCCCAGGATTCGAAACGTTCAAGAAGCTCGTCATGAACGAGAATTACGATATCATTACATTGCCAGAAACGTTGCTAGCGCCCACCGACGACAGGGAGGCGGTCTCGATTCCCAATTACTCGCTGGTCGAGAACCGCCGCGGCAGCGGCGACGGCGTCATCATGTACGTCAAAGACTCGTTGAAATACAAGGTGGTCGATTTGACCGCCCCCGGCGCCGAACACGACCACCTCAGCTTCGAGGATTTATTGGAGAAACTGAGGAAAAACGGTAAGTCGGCGGGCGATCATCGGCAATCATCAGAATCATCAAAATCATCAGCGTTCTTCAGCATTCGTCAGCGTTCAGAAGCATTGCATCAAGAATCATTAGAAAATCTTCAATATTCATCAGCATTAAAAACAGCATTCGTCAGCATTCATCAGCATTAAACAGCAATCATCAGTATTCATCAGTTTTCGTCAACAATCATCAACAATCATCAGCAATTACTAGCATACATCCGCAATCATAAATATAAATCATCAGCATTCAATAGCATTGTATGAGGAATCATTAGCAATACCCAGCATTCGCCAGCATTCATCAGCATTCATCAGCATTCATCAGCATTCATCAACAATCATCAGCAATTACATTTTCATCGCATTTAACGTACCCAATCTTGTAGTTACAATGAAGTTACAATTTTTTTTTATTTCTTCAAAGGTCATGCAGCTGAAGCAGCCGCATTAGAATCAGCCAATGGCGGCCCACCTGCAGAAGGAACCACCCCGGCAGAAGGCGCTCCTGCGACAGAAGGTGCTCCTGCAACAGAAGGCACTCCTACAACAGAAGGCGCTCCGGCAACAGAAGGCGCTCCGGCAACAGAAGGCGCCCCAGAAGGTAAGAAACTGTTCGTATACAATTAAGCATTGAGTACACTCTGTTAAATTCGCAGGAGCTCCAGCACCGGAAGCAGCACCTGCTGCGGAAGCAGCGGCTCCCGTGGAAGGAGCGGAACCATCGCCTGCTGTCGAAGAAGCGGCGGCTCCTGCGGAAGCCGGAGAAACAGCGGACGCTGCGGAACCGGCGCCGGCGACTGAAGAGCAGGCTCCTGCGGTCGATGAGTCGATACCTCCTGCGGACGAGGCGCCCGGCGAACCGGAATCGGCGGTGCAATCGCCTCCAGTTATAGAAGGTGATAGTTGCGATGGGGGTGTTTGTTTTGTGTCATCTTATCATCACCGTAGAATCTACCATTCGACTCATCGTTATTCGACGGTTTTGTCTAATGTCGGTTGATTTGTCTTTTTTGTGTTTGTTGGGAATAAGGTATGTAACATTGAATGTAAACATTTTGTTGTAAATTCATCAAAAGTGTTGTAGAAAAGAGAGTTAATAATAATTTTTTTCTATTTTTTTTTAGCTGCCGCTTGAATGTTTATAGACTAAGGAGTTCTACGATTAAGTAATTATTTTTCGTTTTGAATGTATTTATAACGTTTATCCATTTCGAATTTGTACTTTACTGGTTATAACAACAAGTGGAAGTTAAGAGATTTATCGTTTCGATTTCTTAATTGATGCTTACAGTTATATTAGTGATTAATTATTTACTTTCCTCCCATATATTATTATTATTATCATCGAAATAAACAATTTCCATAGACTAATTTTCTATATTTTTTATGTATCTCTCCAATCGAAACGTTGATAAAGCCGCAGCGGTCGTTGGCTCGCCGTTTAAATATTTTAACAGATAAAAATTTGTATATTTGTACAATAAAAGCGCCGGTTTAACTTCGTTTTCAATAAATTCGGTAAATATTACTTTTAAGATAAAGAAATATTTAACTTTAACACGCCGTTCGAGGCAATAAAAGTAGGGAGAAATTCCCCGACCAAAACTAGGGAGAAACCCCTTCGAGTCGATTAAACCCCTTTCGCGGTCCATCCGGTCCCGATGGCATCGAAGAAATGAACAGATCACGACCGATACAGGTGCATTTCCTGTCCCGCCCTCCATTAGCGTGACCGCCGCGCGGGCGGGCTCGCCCGCCGCATCCCGCTTATCCGAATCCGGGCGGATATCAAACGCGAAATCGTACACAAACTCACGTGCTTTGTAGTACACGCGCGGCGGATCAAACGCCAGTCGGTTACTCGTTATTCAATAAACGCAATACACTCGCCGAGGAGCGCTCGAAAAATTGAAAAAAATTGCTGTTTTCTTCCGCGTGTTGATGCCGATTTTTTTGATATGAAATCTACTTGTTTGCTTGTAAGTATCTACACTTTATTTATTTATTTTGCTACCTGTGGGTTTGTTAGTAAATTTCCTACTAACTTGAATAAATTATGTTGTTGGTACAAAAACATCGATATATTTAGAACGCGGTAATTTAGTGTTAAAAATTGAACGTAAGTTGATATACCTATAGTGATAAAACATGTAAATACTCGCTAAAGTTAATGATAAAAATATCGCGATTAAAATTCACCAAATTTCGCTACTGGCAAACGAAAAATCATTACAACGAGCACTGGAAATTTCTAATTTTATTTCGTAGTGCAACCGCACCTGATCCACAAACCCACGCGCGGGGGACCTTTAAAAGGCCCATTTCGCGTGGGCAGGATACACACGAATTGCAATCCCAAAACCCATTTCGATTTGATCGATCTGGTACGCACTTGTCCATTTTCGAATGGTAATCGCTCATTCGAAAAAACCGGTACCGTAGAATGGACGCGTTTTCATTCATCGAAGCGAAAAAGCGGGTCGAACGAGCGCGAGATTTTCCTCTCCCGCCGATTTTTTTCACCTGCGATTTTTGCACCTGGTCGATTGGTTGGCAAATTAAAATGGGTTCGTGACATCATTTTATGCGCGTTGACCTTTTTCGACGCGAAACGGCCTTGTAACCATTAGAACTCGGTAGTTGTTTTTGTTTGCGTTGAATCGCTACATTACCATGTATTTGAATAAAAAAACGTAAATTCTATTCGAATTAAAATGCTATTAATTTTTTATCATCCCGTATAAAAGGTTCATATACTCTAGTTCGATGTATCGGGTAAGTACAGAGGGTTTTATCTTAATTGTTAGAGCGCAAGATACATTTCCACGTTTCCCTTTAAGTAATTAGATTCCTTCGTATTGAATATAGTCATAAATTTTCGTGGGTTCACTTATTTATGGTCTTCAAGTGGCTATATCTGATAGGGGGCCAAATAACCTAATGCGTTTTAGTTGTAGCCCGGTCGCTGGCTCGGAATTGGGTTAATTATAGTGCGAGAAAAATAACGTTAGATGGTTCATTTTCGAATAAGGAAACGGGAAATTGTCGATTTTTATTGCATAGGAAACGGCGCGCTCGCCGAATAACTAATTATTTTTGTTTCTGTTCGATAAACGAATAGGTGGAAGTACATTTTACGAATTCGATGCAATCATAACGTTTATTTATAGCTTTAAGTTTATACACTCGCAGTGAAAAATAAACATGCCTCGTTTTATAATGTACATTATTACTCTAGCTAATAACTGTTCTAAGTTTAGATGTATCTTGGTTAAATAAGCAAACTATTAACGATTTCATCATATAATACAGCTCATATTAGATATAACTTACTTTTATTTTGCTCACTCTGTAGAAGCTTTTACTGTACGAAATTTTGCGAATGAACTATACGATGAACTACTAAATATCTTTTCATATAACAAAGCTCTCTACAGTCTGTATATTTCCATATATCCATTTGTAATAAATATTTTGATAAAATTAAACTCTAAAAATCAAAATTTCGCTTAATTATTCACGGATGTCGGGACAGTAGACACGGCGAAAATCGGCTGCTCGAAGCAGTAAGCGCTGTAACGAGTCGAAACGTCAAAGTCAACGAATCGTAAACACCGATGACAAACGATTTTGACACATATGACAGATAACAAGAAGTGAACCAACTACGTGATACAAAACAAAACTCGTTATTTACCCGTAATTTTTTAACAATAATTATTATCACAACACGATCGAAATACGATAGAGATATAGTTCAGTTCGTGCGAACATCACGCCCGTCGCCTGCAACGTTTCCGAGCCGATTGTACGCTGATACAGAGGTTAGTTGGAAGTTCATTAACTTTTAGTACCACCCACAATTAATTCGGGTCCCTTTGTAGGTGCGATTAAAACTGATTAAAACCCGCGCGAAATGGGTACGTTCAAAGTGAAGGTGCTGTACGATTTCCAAGCCGAGCCGGGCACGGCCGAGATGAACATCAACGCCGGAGACACCCTCACAGTGACCCGAACGGACGTCGGAGAGGGCTGGTGGGAAGGCTTCAACTCTTCGAAGCAATCCGGCCTCTTTCCGGAGGCCTACGTGGAGCGCATCAGCGCCTCGAACCCGCCCAGCATTCCGGCCCCCGTGCTGCCTCCGCAGAACAATTGGGGCGACGACGACGAGGACGACGACTGGGACAACGACGACACCATGTATTCGGAGATCGGCAGCAACAACGGCCAATCTCAGCAGAACATTTACAGCAACGAGCAGTCGTTGAGTCAAAATCAACTGGCGAATCAATTCGACAATATGTCGTTGGGAGGTGTTAGTACTATTAGTGACAACAAAGGCACCATCACCAAGAAAAGCATTAATATATTTTCATCTTACGTTAAATCTGGATTAGAAGGGTATATATTAGGTAAGTTAATGCTACATCTTATATTCTTTATTCTGCAGGATTATAAGAGATAAAAACCTACAAAAGTATGATTCATCAGAGCAATATACAATGAAGTTCGTTCGATACTAATACTAACTAACTTCAGTTTTGTTTACTTACCATTCTTACTAATGAACAAAATAATTAATTATCATGGAACAACACTAACGATAGAAACTGTTAATTTTACAACAGAACACGAAATTATGTCATCGCTTCGTTAAAATAACTTACATTAAATATTCATTCCTTGTGCCTATAAATAGTTATGCAAAATTATTAGTAAAATATTAACATCTCACTACCGTAAAAGTGTATTATTAATTTCGAAGATTTTACTCTATATTCGCATTAATATTCATGTATTCACGCACAATACACCTGAATAATTATTTCAGTAGTACTCTCTATGTGAGATTTCAACAAAAAAACAATTCGTCTACCTGTTAACAGCCAAAGCAATTCATTAAACTGGTTATAATTCAAAAGTATGACTCACTGAAATGTGTTTACATCATTTTTTTTAAACTAGGTACCTTTAGTTCTATTTGTTATTCCGACTCGATAGTATGACTTTAGTTAGTACCGAGTGAAATACACAAAATATGCCTCTTGCGAAAAGTAAGTTTATCTAATTAATTCAATCATTATTAAATAGTAAATGAATCAGACTTTCGTAGGTCAATATAAGTTATTGAGATTTCTTATGTAGGTCAATTGAACTACCTAGGGTCAATTGCTAAATGTTCTCGATCGATCGTTATCGATTCGAGAGTTACGTGGAACAATAATGTCATAACGTTCGAATTAATCACCAATAAAATTCCTCCGATACGAAAAAAAAAATATTTATCGGACGCGTTTTCAGGTACGAGCGCAAACCTGCCGGTGTCCAACAAAAAGTTCCGGATCTATCGAGACGGCGACGACAGCCTGGGCAAATGGGAGGTCATCTCGAACCCCTACACCGTACAAATAGCCTCGCCGAAAAAGGCCACCAAAATGGGCGGCTTGAAATCCTTCATAGCCTACCAATTAACGCCGTCCTTTTCCAACGTGGAAGTCTCCAGGCGGTATAAGCACTTCGATTGGCTGCACGACAGATTGACCAGCAAATTCAACGTGATAGCCATACCGCCATTACCCGATAAACAAGTCTCCGGAAGGTATATAGAATGGCCATTATTCGGCGCCACTGTCTAACTTTCGAGTGACTCTAAAGTCGCCTCTCGAGTCCCTAGTTACTCCATAACAACAATGTAAATCTGTCAAGCTAAAGACGCGACTTTAAAGTTAAACAGAGGCGCTGAATGCAGAGCAATATCTGCAGTTAACTTATGGTACTTATGGTTGCTCGTATCAGGTACGAGGAGCAGTTCATCGAGCACAGGCGCGCCCAGCTGCAGGAATTCATCAACTACATGTGCCGCCATCCGGTGCTCAGCACCTGCGACGTGTGGGTGCACTTTCTCAGCTGCACCGACGAGAAGCAATGGAAGCTGGGCAAGCGGAACGCCGAGCGCGACCAAATGGTCGGCGCCAATTTCTGCATGTCGATCGACGCGCCCGACAAGGAGATCCTCACGTCGCTGGCCGAGCCGCGGATCGAGGACAGCGTCTACTACGTCCTCAAGCTCGACCAATCGATCAAGAACCTCATGCACACGGCCCAGGACCAGCACAAGAAGTGCGTCAACATGTACAAGAGGGAGTTCATGCGGATCGGCGAGAGCTTCTTCGCGTTGGGCTCGGCCTTCGAGTACAACCAGCAAGGGATGTATTCCAAAGCGTCCATAGGTAAATATTTACATTTTGTATCAATTGGTTGTGTAGACACGGCTAGATTTATGTTTACCACACGTAGGTCGACTAGCCATATCCAAATACTGTCAAAAACGTCAATGTCAATTCGATTTTTCGCGTTCGGTATAGAGGTGGGAAGTAATAATCGAGTGTAGAGATGCGGTAACTTGTGTTACAAATTAACCGTTATTTGTATTTTCCAGATATAAAAAACGTGGGTTCGACGTACATGATGATAGGCAAGCTGTACGAGGAGCAGGCGAAGATGGACTGGCAGCCGTTGTTCGACAAATTGTACATCTACAAGGGCATCACGGGCAGCCTGCCGGACATCCTGAACCTGCAGAAGTTGTCCGAGCAGAAGAAGAAGGAGTGCGAGCGCAATTCGCAGGTGCCGCAAACGGCGTTGGCGGACGTGAGGCGGCGCGCCGACGTGCTGACGTACACGGTGTTCGCGGAACTGGACCATTTCCAAAGCGAACGGGACACCGATCTGCGGCAATCGGTGAAGACGTTCCTGCAGGAGCAGCTGAATTTTTACAGGAACGTCGTGGCGAAGTTGGAGGATACGCTCGGCAAGTTCGATTGAGGAAGGGTTTTACGGTGAAATTCGACGGTTGACTGTGTTGAAATTACGTTGAAAAATAGTGTCAAAATGTCTCCTTGAAGTTTAATTTAAAGCCGTGTAATTTGCAGGGTAAATGGACTTTACATGCGTACAGTGTGTCCTGAAATAGGTTAGAAATTTCGTATGCTACCTTTTTTATATAAAATGTTGCTAATAACAGTTGCTTAAATTGTTTTAGGGGGAGTTTTTTACATTGCCTTGCGATATTTGACTGAAATAACAAACTAACAATTATAATTTTTGTACGTTCTGCCATAAAACGTAATTCTAAACAACTTTTATTAGTATAAAAAATTTACTACACTAACCTATTTTTGGAATACAATTAACTTTACATGATCTATAATTTACATTTTAATTGCTTTATTGATTCCAGATGGTTATATTTTGTTTCTATTATGAATCGCGATTCAATTTTTTGTTGAATTGATTTCGCAAAAGTACCGTTATTAGGTATTTCTTTATACACCTGTATATAATTGAAAACATGTGATATCGTATTTTTAGAACGTTCTTAACGATCGATATTTCTAAGTGTTCATCATTCGTATCGATAGTGAATTTTACATTACCATTTCATAATCAGCAATTTGTCTATAAGTATAATGGTTTGCATTATTTATCTTCAACATATTCGTTTTAAGTTACAGGTAGCTTATAGCTGATTTAATGGTGTTTTTCCAGCATTTCGAAAATCATTGAATTTGTGCTCCGAAACTGCAGTAAAGAAGCGAGAGGATAGACTAATGCAATGTGTAAATAATATTATTTCGGCGCGAAGAAAAATATCGTTATAAGTTCTAAATTTGTTACCATAGTTTAATTATTTCCTATTAGAAGGTAGACGCGAGGTGCTCTACTTAAACCAAAAAATTACCTACCCAAAACAAGCTTTGAATTAAATCACTTGTTTGCTTGAATTCAAGGCTGTTTGTGAGAATTGTACATTCATTATTATTTTATGTATAAAATGTTTAGTTATATCAACTTCTGTACGCCCACGTAGTACAGTATTGTTGGTGTATCATTTTTAATTGACTTTTTTTTATTTTAGTTATTGCTATTTGCGCACTTTAATAAAATTGGACATATCGGTAAACATTTGATGTATACCATCCTTCGCTGTTGATTATATTTTCGGATTTGTGCAGTTCGAATTCGTATATTTGTAGCTTTAATTAACGAAATGCATGTTTAAACGATTCCGATGTATTTATGTGCATAAAGTGTACATTGTTGATTAAAAATTGTATATTTTATTACCTATTATTCAATAAAAAAAAATCAGTATTCGAAAGCTTTTGATTTTCAGATACATTTGCGTTTGTTTGTGTAACAATTTAGCTAAAATCGAATGAATATTCGTATCAGCATTATTTTGAATACGAGCATAATTATCTAATCTCAATTAACAAATAGAAATTATCTGTATGTAAATTGGGTGCAGCGCTTTCGAAATGCGAGCACATAATTTAATGTATAAAAACGCGGTATTAGAACTACAAGATAAATAATTTTATTCGAAACTATCGTAATTTCGCCTAGATATATTCACTCGATTGCAAGCCAATACACCACTAAAAATATATTCGAGTATGTACGAATTGCTAAAAATAAAATCATTTTTTTCCAGATCCAATGCGCTCTAACGTAAGCTGAACTTGAACCATAACTCAAAATGACATCAAAATGCTGCGGCCTGCGCTCCACGAAAATCTTACTGTACATATTCCAATTCGTGCTACTGGTGAGTGGAACATCTTCAGCTATTCCTATAGTCTGTAGATGCTTAATGCGATTTTTTTTAGTTTACTGGCCTGGCGATATGCCTGTTGGGGGCGTGGAAATTCCTAATAACCTTCCACTTGCTGCGGGTGCTCGATAGCCACACCTACTCCACGGCCTTTTACCTGTTTTTAGCCACCGGTTGTCTAGTCATTTTAGTATTCCTGATCGGCTGCTGCGCCGTACCAAAGCATTGGACCAAATTGTTATTTTTGGTAAGAAACCACTTTACTCCAGCTACTCCTATCAAACTGTAGACGCTAATTTAACAATTACTTTTTAACAGTACATCATTTTGTTGGTGGCAGTTGTCTTGTTCGAAATACTGATAGGCGTGCTGGCGTTTTTGTTTCGGGAAAATATCGAGGACGATTTGAATTTGAATTTCAACAACACCATTTTAGCGACCTATAAATTCGACGATGATAAAACTGCTTCTATAGATTACATACAAGAAAAGGTGAGAAAATTTACTCTACTTTAAAGTATAGAAATACCAGAATTATTAGAAGACTCTATAATAGAGAGCAGAGAGTAGGAAGTAGAGACTAGAGGAGAGAGTAGAAGGTAGAGAGGATACAGAGCAGAGAGTAGGAAATAGAGGGTAGATAGCAGGATGTATAGGCTAAAGAAGAGAGTAGAGAATGGATGGTAGAGAGCAGGGAGTAGGAAGTAGAGGGTAGAGAGAATAGAGAGTGTACCTAATTTTATTGGTTTTAGTTGCATTGTTGCGGTGCTTTGGGCTACGAAGATTGGACATACAGCACCTGGATACAAAACGAGACGGTACTGAACAAAGTACCGGATTCCTGCTGTAAAACAGTGACGGAAAATTGCGGATACAGGGATCACCCTTCGAACATAAACTTTGAGGTAAACGAGATAAACTCTTTCTCCTGCTGGTTCGTAATGATTAATGTGGTATTTTAGGGTTGTATAGGATTCATCGTGGAGAAAATCCGAGCGAATTTCTGGGTGATATTCGTAACGGCGATTTGCATATGCGCCTTCCACGCCATAGGCATCGTCCTGGGGAGTATATTGTTCGTAAAATTGGAATCGGGTAAATACGACGCGGATTATAGCCCCCAAAACGGGGGCACCGAAGCCCTGCTCTCCGATACGCAGCATCATTTATAAAACCAGCTCCGTTCGTACTTAACCGAAGGTTTATTTATTGTTATGTGTTGCAGCTTAACCAAACCGTTTCCCGGGTTTATTCCTAGTCAGTTTATTTAAGTTTACAAATTGTTAGAACTTTCTACGGTATATAAATATAAAGGATAATAAATTCTTGATTATAAAATATCGGTATATTTGTCTTATACAATGACTGGAAACAACAATAACATTACCAACTACCTGCTAAAATGTATTAATAACCTATTACTGTACAGAATGCGTTTGCCGAGATGAAAGATATGTGGTAGAGGCGTTTTTACATTGGAAATAAAAAGTACCGATTTTGCGGAATATGAAGAAAACCAACGGCCTGCTCGAGTGATCGTAAACAATATGGCAAAAAAATTAAAATTACGTTTCGCTATAATGAAATGGTTATACAATTTCCGCGTGATTTGTCAACCAACATATGTACATGTTATTTAAGAGAACAAAACGTAGTAACCGAATGATCGATTTCTGATAAATTAAATGGACAAATTAATATTATATACTACTATAAAAACAGAAAAAACGACGAATTGTTGCGGATTTATTCATTGCTGCTATTGCCTTATACGAATTAACGACGCCCATAAAATACTAATATACAATGCATATTGTCAAAGGCACATCCGAATTCAACAAATTCATCAGAAACCGAAATTTCCGAAACGAACCTTACGAATCGTGCAAATGTGACATTTTCTCCAATTCATCATCTAAACTCCAATAATCCGAATGTTAGTAAGTGTAGCGATCCTAAAAATACATCCCAATTAAACGATAGAAACCTATTAAATATAAACAAAACAATCTCACCTGAATCGAAGACACTAATCCGTTAGCCAGCGAACCTAATTTTTCGGCTACTTTAGTCACCCCCTGTCGCACGCTCTCCTTCACATCCTCCAAATCGTACTGCGGCATATTACTATTGGACAAATTCGTTTCTGGAAACAAACAATTAGAATAACAAAGCGATCGATTATCGCAGAGTAAACCTACCTTTCCCGTTACCGAAAAACTCCGCCGACGATATACTGGAAGAACCCTGAAACCGGCTCAAATTCGCCTTCGTCTCGTAATCCGCGCTGGCATCGTTGAAAAACTGATCCGAAGAAATCGCCTTCGCGTTGCCGAACTTCTTCTGAGCCTCGTCGCTGCTGCTAGCAGAAGACACGACAGCGCGCTTCTCCTTTTTCCGCTCCCTCTCGGTCTCCCTCTCTGCAATTATCCAGCGAATTATAGTCCAATCGCACAGTGGAAGAAAACTTCAACTCACCGAAACCGGACGATCTGGGCTTCTCCGGCGGATCGTCGATGATCACCCAACTGTCCTTGCCCGATTTGCCGTCGGCCATCGACTTGGCCTCGGCCAGATCGGACAGGAACGCGCTCATCTTGCCGTCGCCGAAGCTGTTCGAGTTGCGGATCATGTTCAACGTGTTGCCGTAGAAATAATCGTCCATGAAATTGTCGTTGTCGACCAGCCGCAGTTTGCCCAACGACGACAGCGTGCTGCTCGGCCCGTGCGCGTTCTCCTGCTCGATCGTCTGCATGTCGCTCAACGCCGAATGGCTGATTCCCCTGCACAAACCAACGCGATTTAACAACGCTATTTCTTCGCTATTCCAACGCAAATCTTACGATCTGGAGTTGGAGCCCATGCCGATGCCGAGCCGCTCGAGCTGATCGGCCTTCTTGGGATCCTCCTTGCGCATTTGCTCTTCTTTCTTCTGTTGCTGGTGGCTGATGTCCTTGTAGGCGAGCCGGACGGCCGCGTCGCGGTCTTCCTGCTCCTTGGCCGTCGTCGCGGCCATTTTGAGCGCCTCCTCGGCGGCCTTGGCGCGCTGTTCTTCGGCCAGTTCGGCCTCTCGTTCCAATTCGGCGAAGTTCGTTTTGACTTTGGTGGCGCCGAGGCCGGATTTCTTGGCGCCCAGCTGGAAGATTTCGATATAAATCGATTGTTGATAGTTATTTAATCGAATAGTTTACTGTTGATTTCTTTGCTGCGGGTTTTCGAGAAGATATGGAGGATTTTTTCGGTTCGAAATGAGCGTTGTTCGTTAGCAGGAAATCGACTTTCGGGCCTTCTCCGGGGTTCAATTGATCGGCGAGTTTTGTGTTTTCAACGGGACGAACCGGCTCATCTGATTCTATCTAAAAAATCAATACAAAATAATCGTTACAAACTCACCCTCACCCAAACAGTCTGGTTATTGTGATTATAAGCGAGTAAAAAAAATTGTAAATCACATACGAAGTTTAATTGTGACCTGTTCGAAAGTTCTTGGGAATTGAAATGGTCTTGTTCGGCGAAGAAATCGACGTCTTTCTCTTCCGTTTTTTCCTCCGTCGAACTGTTTACATGCAGCTACGAAATGAATAGAAAATGATACGAATTAGTGGTTACAAATACGAAATATTAACGATGAGTTGTTCTTATAAATAAATTAGTTTAAAGCGTAAAAAAAAACACAGGCCTCGTTAGGCCTACCTGTTGATTTTCCGTTAAGAAGAACGCACTGTATTTCGTGGAAATAAACTAAAAAAATTTATAAATATTAACAAACTATCCATCGTATTTATACAGCATGTCCAGATTCATTTTATATACCCAAATCCGGACACACTGTATACCTCATTTAACATGTATTTAAGTTATCAGACTATTTAAAAGTTGAAATAAATTACCTACAAAAAAAAATAGATATAAAACCGTATTATCAATACCACACACTAATTACCTACCAATTTACTTAAATAAAATAAATACCAACTCACTTGTGAACTAGATTTTAGAGATTTCATCGCGGCCTGACTCAACTTCTCTCGATAGAGTTGGGCGGCGCGGGAATTGTACTTTTTCTGGGCATCGTTCGTGTTACAATTGTGTTGACTGAAGAATTGCAACTGGAACATATTATTCGATAAATCCGAGAATCGCGCGAGACTCGAGGAATACTCACTGCATTACTGTTCCCGCCTAGTTGCATTTGCCTCAATTGCAAGGCGGTCCAATTCGTGTCGAGCTGTGTGGATCTCACGAACGTGAGATGCACTCCGAGGCTTCTGTGGACTGCCGAGCAGTCCAAGCAAATGAACACGCCGTAGGTGACGCTGGCCCATGTGGGGTTCTTTGCGTTGCAATCGAAACAAACCTGAAACATCGGTTTGGTAACACTCTGGACACGTCATTTGAAATAATATGTTGAGATAGTGTAGAAATGGAGTTTTTCGGATTCGTTACCTTGTTCGTTTGGATAGCCCTTAGTCTATGGAATACGGCTTCAATGTCTTCTTTGGACAGTTGAATATCCATGTTTTTCTTGTTGGTTTTCCGAAATTTCAATGAATAATGAACAGCAATTAGTTTAGAAAGTTCGACGTGACGTTTCTTCTGTATTTTGACATTTGAAACGACGTGTGACGTGTATTGACGTTGACGTTTATCTAAAATTTGCGTTCGTTGCGCTTGCACCGAACTACACCGTTAGAATTTATAATTTTACTCATAATAAGAGAAATTATCGCTTTAGTGCTGATATTAGTAGTACTATAAGATTGAAATTTAAATATTCAACCAGATATGTAGTTTTTATCGGTATATCCTTTTTTAATTAAATTTAGAAAGAGAGGAGTATACGAATTGTGATTGGCTACACGAACAAACTACTGATACTCGTACGTTTTTGATTGGTCGAATTCCATACAATCCCTTTCCCACTTTTCGTAGTAAAAATTGTCAGCTGTCATAAGTTGTCAATAATATTCCGGTTGCTCGTTTTTAACGTTAAATACTTACAAATATTTTACAATTAAATAGAAAACTCGAATTGTGTGTAATAATAAGAATAAGGTGAGCATCTTTCTACGGCACATTTCGGTATTTACAGTTACACAATAGTTTTGCTATCGAAAAAGTATTAGGGACATAACACGGTTTTAACACCTCGTAATTTTTTTAGTACACGTTTTTAATAATTGATAACATCCTTGACGGAACCCGGCTTAAAATTTAATCGCGCAATTACCGTTTTTCTACCATTTAATCCAGATTTGTTACGTGCACGGCGAAAATCGTTTTAATTGAATTAGGAGACCGACAGAGATTCGTTCCAGAGTTCAGTCACATTTAGTCAAACGGCGCACCTATCCCTAATTAACCGCTCGTTTAACAGCATTTCCTCTTCATTTTCAGACTTGCATGTCTTGGAGGCGCTACAATGAATTGTAGTATACGAATCTTCATCTTCGTGGTTCTCATAAGCACAGGAGTATTATCGGAAAATGCAGCCGTAAGTCCACTTTTATTATTAGTAGTTCGAAAATCGAAAAATAGGCTTCTCTTGATAAGCGTTTTTCCTCGATTCGTGGTGTTTATCTTAGGCAAATAACGATTTGTTTACACAGATGATTGTCTCGACTCGGTGTGGAATTTATTCGTTAATAAATTTGAATTGAAATTTAGGACGAGGACGTAACGGTAGAGACGATAGAGGAATCGCCCGGTTCGGACATCCAGTACGAAAGCCCCGTTCCATCGGACCCGAAGAAAGTGTACTTTGCCGAGCACTTCGACGATCCGAACGGTTTCCAGAAGAACTGGATCAAATCCCAAGCCAAAAAGGACGGCCTGGAAGAGGAGATAGCCAAGTACGATGGACTCTGGGAACTGGAACCCGCCCAAAAAGACAGCCTGCCGGGCGATAGGTAACCTACAACCCCGCTAGATTCTAAATTTCAATAATTAAATAATTCGTGTGCGTTTGCAGTGGATTAGTTTTGAAAACGAAAGCGAAACACGCCGCCATTTCGGCCCATCTATCGAAACCGTTCGTGTTCAACGACAAGCCGTTGGTGCTCCAGTACGAGGTGCTGCTGCAAGACGGCCAAGAATGCGGCGGGGCCTATTTGAAGCTGCTCAGCGACGGTCCCGAGACCAAGAACCTGAACGATTTCCACGACAAAACGCCCTACACCATCATGTTCGGCCCCGACAAGTGCGGCAACGATCACAAATTGCACTTCATCTTCAAACACAGGTAACTAGGGTTCTTTTCCTCGGCACGAGAACTGGGACAGTTCTAAATCATGTTGGACAGTTGTAAATTGCTCTAGACAGTTGCAATTCGTTCAGAGATGCAATCTAAATGATTCTGGTCAGTTCTAGGTTGTTCTAGATGGTCTTAATTAGTTCTAGACAGTTCAAATTCGATCTGGACAGTTGTAAATCATTCTAAATGATCCCGGAGAGTGCATGATTATTTTGTGTGTACAGGAACCCGTTGAACGGCAGCCTGGAAGAGAAGCATTGCCAAAAGCCGAAGGAACGCATCGAAGAGTACTTCTCCGACAAGTTGCCCCACCTCTACACGTTGGTCCTCAATCCGGACAACACGTTCGAGATGTCGGTCGACAGGAAGCTGATCAATTCGGGCAGTTTGCTGGAGGATTTCGTGCCGCCGGTGAATCCTCCATTGGAAATCGACGATCCCGATCAGAAGAAACCCGACGATTGGGACGAAAGGGAGAAGATCCCCGATCCGGAGGCGGTGAAACCGGACTTTTGGGACGACGACGCGCCGGCGCAGATCTACGACGAATCCGCCGTGATACCGAACGGGTGGTTGGAAACGGAGCCGTCGCACATTCCCGATCCGGATGCCGTCAAACCAGCCGATTGGGACACCGATATGGACGGTACATTCGCAGTCATTCGCTGTAATTTATCAAGTGTAATTCGCTCGTGTTGATTAGGTGAATGGGAGCCGCCTTTGATCGAGAATCCGTTGTGCAAGAACGCCCCGGGTTGCGGCCGTTGGGAGCCGCCGTTGATCAACAATCCGGAGTACAGGGGTAAATGGAGGGCGCCGATGATCGACAATCCGAATTACAAGGGGAAATGGAGGCCTTCGAAAATACCGAATCCGGATTACTTCAAGGACGATCATCCGTTTAAGATGACGGCTGTGGTACGTGTAGAGTTCTTGATTGGTATACGAGGGTTTGTATACGGTAACGGTTTGTTTGCAGTCTGCGATTGGATTCGAGCTGTGGTCGATGTCTCAGGATATACTGTTCGATAACGTGATTATCACCGATGATATTGCTGTGGCCGATAAATGGGCGGCCGATACTTTCGATAAGAAACGCCAGAAGATCGCCAAGGAATCTGTAAGTTCTTATGCATTATGTAAGTTCAATACCACTACGATTTAAAATGGATGTTTTGATGGGTAATTTCCCAGTCGTACAACGTTTATTTATATTAAATTTCAACGTACTTTGTTCCATTTCGCACGCAGAAAACCTGGTGGGGTAAAATGTTGAGAGGTATGAATTACCGACCGAAAACCTGGGCGGCTTATACGGTATACTGCCTCATACCGATAGTTTTTTACATCTACTATTTGTACCGATGCGTTAAAGAGGTGATTGAACTTGAAACAAGTATCACAGTAATCTAATATAACGCACGTATTCGCTAGAATTTCTTAAATTCCAACGCAAACTACGACTTTTTTTTGAATAATTTGACGTGACTTACGTCATATGTGCCATTTCATTTTTTCAACCCTAACTTCAGACAGCTGTCAACTATTGACCTATTACCACGGTCGTATATTAACAGGTCTGGAAACTTTGCGTATTTGTGGTAGTTGGGGTGGCGCTTATTGTGATTTAGGATCGAAGTATTGAAATTACGGTATTATTTGAATTTGAATATGGCATTGGAGGAAAATGAGCGTTATGTGTACATGATAAAATAACACTACCTGAAACTAACGCCCTCTTTCTATTTATAAGAGTTTCTGGACCTGTTATTATACGACATCGCCTTTTACCCCTTAGTGGCCTCTTACTTATAAATGTTTGAACTTTTATTTTGCCAGGAAAGCTTTGTTCAACGAATAGCCAATTTAACAAACGAATACCCGATGTTGTGGGCCGTATACATTCTAGTCCTTGCCATTCCTGTAGTATTTGTATTGTATCTATGCTGCTCGCCAAATCCTGCTGCTAAAGAGGTAATAGAATCGCTTACAGAAAATATATATATATATACAGGCTGTCCCGATATATTTTCCCTATTTTACATCCTCCGGAATAAGTAATTAAAATAGAGAAATATACAGGACGTCCTGTATTAAATCGAGTCGATGTTTATTATTAATTTATTCGCGAATTAGGAAAAGGAAGAACTTACCCGTCTCGCAGAGAAGAAAAAGACTGACGAACCCACTGAGGATATCGAAGAGAACGTAATAGAAGGAGAGGGCGATAATAAAGCCGATGAGGATGAAGAAGATGAAGATGAAGAGAAAAACTCCGAGCCCGATTCGGATGATAACGATGAGGAGGAATCGAAAGAGGTGCGAATTGTATTAAATTTGTATAATCGAAGTGATTGTGATTGATCGGTTTGTTTACAGGGAGAGCCCAAAGCTAAAGCGTCCGGGGAAGGCCCGAGGAAGCGAAAAGCGCGAAAAGAATAAAACGTTCGACTCTTACGTGCACTATATATTTTTTGTAATGCGCCAAAAAACACCAAATTTAGTTTCTTTTAATAGCCCCCAAATTACCGTATTAAGATGTTTGTTATATTTACAATTGTAACTTCGTAGATCTTAGATCACCTCGTAAATGTACATGTTCTGTTTTTGATACGCAGAGAGAAAGAGAGGTGTTATTTGCGTTATTTGCGTCGCGCTTTGACACGTTGTTTATTGTTTATCGGCAGGTTTAAATTTAATTGTATCGATTTGAACAAATTAGTGTTATCAAATACATAGGGAATTGTCTTATCACGTTATTTACCAATGAACTGTTTAATAAATATGTTGTTGTGCTACGTTTTTATTTAGAATATGTTATAATTAAAAAAAATAGTCGTGTATGTGCAGTCGTAGTATGTTTCGGAATATCAAATAGCACCTCTCGAGTTTTTTTCGGGATACGAAGAATCCAGTACACTTAGTCATAAAGAGTCGTTTAATATATTTAGTAAATTATTATCGAGAACGGTAAGTCTTTTGTACATATTTTTTATGTATTTGCTAGGTGTCGCAGAGTAAACGGACCAAGTGTAAGATTTCGTTTCGAGCTGAATAAAAAAAAATCGTTGAAAATATAATAATGTCGTCTGTTGCTTAATTTTCCACGCCCCATCCCGTTAATAATCTACAGCAGGATTAATACACGAAACCAGGGGAAATTTAAAAATTTTATTCTACAAATTCCGTACGGCCACCGTCGTTCCCGATATAAACGAAAACCAAAACGCCACAAACAACAACACGTTCTTCCAAATGACGTAATTACACGTTCCCCAGTCCTTCCAGTTGACCAGCACGTCGGCCACGGCGGGCACCAGCATGCCCAATATGGAGAAGAACACGGCGCCGGTCAGATCGATCATCGAGTCCATGTTGTGGCCGGCCAGCGAGGCCAGCAGTATCACGAACCCCACCGTGCCCACCCGCAGCACCACCTGCACCGGATTGCGCCACCGTTCGGGCGTCTTCGGCCCGACGCGCTTCCACAGTATCTCCGTGGGCACGTAGAACACCAGCATGAACGAGAACAGCATGGCGATGGATATGCAAATTTGCACGATCTGCGCCGGACTGGAAACGTAAATTCGACCAAATGTTTCGCGTAAATTAGGAGTACTCACATGCCCCCGTCCGGTAGATTTTGCGTTATGGCCGCCTGCGTGGATTCCCCGAAGGCGTAGTACCCGAAGAACCCCATCGCTGTGTACAGGCTCACCACGAAGAACATCGCCACGTTCAGCACCCCGACGGGCCCCAGGAATTTCGGTTCTTTCTATAAAAATTCCGCACTTTCGTCGCGCTCGATCTCGCTCTACTTCCATACTTACCATAGAATTCTCCACGGGCATGATGGTGCCTATTCCTTCTATGGAAAACAGCACGGTGCTGAGGAAACTCGGCACGTTGGCGATACCCGTGAACAGGTTCCTATCGGATATATCCACGTCTTTGATGGCTCCTATCATGTAATACAGGGTGATGCCGAATGTGATGGATAGAGTCAAATTGGCCGTCAGCGAAAACGGTACCAGGTACTTCAATTCGCGTATCTGGCACAGGAAACTCAGTATCACGAAACTGATCAGTTTGAAATAGAACGACCAGATGTCTTCTAGCGGGTAATAGAACGATACCACCTATAATACAATCGATTTAATGGTTTGTATTGATCGATTAGTTGAAGTTACCTTCACCAGCGATTCTGATATTAGGAGGATGTAAACGGCGTTGGAGAGGTAATAGGTCAAGCTCAGCGCTACTTCAACGAAGATCCTGGAAGGTTCATAAATAAATTATGGAGGTTTTTACTGGGTCAATAAAACAGTTTTCATTCTTCTCGGTGTATAAGGAGAAAAAAAAAGTATTCGGAGCGAGCCGAAATCGCCGTCTAGACGCGCGCGTTCTAATTTTAAAAAGGGGACCTTTGGAAATCCGAGAAAACGCATAAATTAAACGGCAGAAAAACGGGGCACTTACTTGGCGAACGGCGCCCACCATGCGATCCACTTCGGGCCGCGCCCGTGTCGAAATAGATACTCGATTGTCTCGGCGAATCCTAAACTGGGCGTCCTCGTCCTTTGGCATATTTTGTGCGACGCTCGAACCTACAATAATTACGGGCACCTGGGCGTTAAAGAGAACCATTTTTGAGATATCCAGCCCGTATTATGCTATATAAATGCGAGATTTTTGTGTTGTGTTTTTTCGTAGCGGAGCGTTTTCGCGCGATTTTGTTAGAAATACTATACAGGTTGGCCCGTTTATGTATTTCAATGGATTTACATTGAAAGCACTAGTATTTAACTAATTTTCGTCTCGGAAGGGAAGCCATATGTCACAACCTTCTTGCGACACCTTGTACATGATCATAAACCCTCCGTTTTCAAATTATTTATTTCGTAATTACAGCGCATAAGAAAGCGCTGTGTTGAAAATATAATTTCAACTGAGAATGATCAATCGCTAAAAAAACGTCTGGAAACATGGGTCGAAAAAGTGTCCCGTTATTTGAGGATAAAACAGGGTTTCTAAAACGGCCGCTAGGAGGCGATGTTGTAAAGGACCACGATTTTTTGCGTACGAATTATATAGAATTAGCATTAAGAAAGGTTATACTCAAACTAAAAATAGATACAAAATATAAAAATATAAACTTAAATCAGCGATGATGTTGTTGTAAACATCATGCCTCACGTATCTTCGGTTAATGTATTTCTCCATTTTCTCCTCGAAATGTCAAAAAATCATTTTTCAAGTTTTGACAGCTCGAACTGTCGTTTCACACAACCGCGATTTATACGTAGCTCGACGCTGATTGGCCGAGATAAGTAGGTCCTCCGATCGTTCGCCACGGTGCGGCGCAAAAGTGAAGCTCAAAATATCCTCAAATAACGGGTCACATTCTCTAATGCATAAGCAAAAAGAAGAAGAATCGAACTCAACTTGGTTCAACTTAAAATACTTTATAAAGATAATAATGAAAAAGCATCGACAAATTTAAATGAATTAATCCTTAAATCCGTTCAAGCTGTATACTCGAGAGTATATTGCGCGTTCGTTACTGCGCAGGCAACGCGTGTACTGTTATTCCTATAGGTCCGTACATCACTATAATCTCGTTTGAAAAGAAATGTGGAACTGGCGTATATCCAAAACCTCCTACAAATTGTTTCGGAGTATTTTAGTTTAGAGACATTCCTCCTATTTTATTTAATACACAACGCACTTCCTCGAATTTATGACGAATTTTCGGTTGCATTTCGAGCGAAATTGCGCGTTAAAATCGAACGTGTACGTGGTGGTGATTTGAATTAACGTAAATTCATTAACTTACCAGTAAATGTATGTTGTATGTACACAATACGCCCACGAATATCGTGCCTAATGTGCCCATCAACAGTCCCGCCGTTTTGAAAGCCCTCGGAACCGATAATATCCCGATTCCCAGCGATCCTTTAACGATATGCACCACTGCACCGAAGTATCTTAAATAAAAATTTACAGTTAAAAGTTAAAGGGTCTCGAGAAGCCTTTAGATATACCCGATGTCCCGCCGGCTCCGCGACAGATAGAGCTCGCTCAGCGTGGGCTCGTTCGACATTTGCGCGCCCCATATTGCAAAGCAATATAAATCGAAATTATTATTGTCAATTAACACTAGACAGTTGATTGAATTACAGTATATTGAATGACAAATTAAACCAGCGTTGGCTGGATGCTGTTGTTAGCAGAGGCCAGACGAAAGCGAGACGATTGAAATGACGGGATTCCCCCGAAGGTAGTACTTACGAATTGGGGTGTTGCAAATTCCGGTGCTCGTATGGCTTGTATTCTTCTTTGTTGTTGTTTTCCATGGCGTTGAGGTCATCGTGGCTGGTTAGTTTGTTTCTGGAAAATCGGAAAATCTATTAATTCGCGTTAATTCGATCACAAGGTCGACCAAACAAATTCGTAGCGACAGCGGGTTATTTAGCGAAAAAAGCCGTTTTTTTTGGTCTACCTTGTAAATGGAAATCGTTTATACGTTTATATTTTTTTAATTCACTAACATATTGTCTATCCCCCTTCCATCTGGTATAAACCTAGAAAATAAGGATGCATTATGTTCTGCCCTGTATGTTGGCGCACTGTTATACACAGGGTGGTCCACTTTCGTATTTGCAACAAAATATTAGACCACCTTGTATACTTTTTAAATTTAGCAATCAACCTTTTAACCACAAGAAACTTTTACTACACTTTAATTGAAAAATATCCAATAACTCAATACAACAAAATAATCTGATGAAATATTTAACTACACTAGATAATACACGAATTTATTTAATTCGCCTGATAGAAAATTGTATTAAATATTTACCTGGAATTGAACAATTCCATCGTCCCGTTTTTCTTCATCTCCTCGGTCCCCATGGCGCTTCTTTCTGCGGAAAAACCCACCACAAAAATCACGGAAAAATTATCTCGCTTAACAGTCGCCGAGACGGGCTATCGTGCGAACATTCCGCCGGTAGACTCGTTAAGGATTTATATACACCTCAATGCCGAACAATTACACGGCGATTTCATAATAGTTTATCCGCGCCTATAACAGCGTATATCGCTCTTTTGCGGCGCGCTTAAACTAATTCCTAAAAATAAGATGCACACACGCGAAATATCTGGTCCAACAACGCAAGTTCATTTGAGTGTAGTTTTCGAACAGGCGGCCGCGAAATCGTTCAAGAAGTTCTATTTTCGATTTTTCCACCGAGGTTTTCTCGCCGACGGCGTTGCGTTTTTCCAAAACGAATATCCTGGTTCACGCCGAAAAAATCGCAATCTAGCATTGAAGCAAGAGAAAATAATCAGGAAAAGTAGTCATTGTAGAAAGAGTCGAGAGATTTACTTACCTACCTAGTCATACTCAATAGAGTCAACGATCTATCTAAAAGGATCAATGATCTATTTAAGAGAGTAGTGGAGAACAATTATCTAGTGATTAGAGTCAATGATCTATCTGAAATGATCAATTTATCAATTTAAGAGAGTCAGGGAGATCAAAGCGAGTCAATTCATCTACTCAATAGAGTCAAATCTATCTAGAATAAACATTTATCTATTTAAGAGACTCAAGGGGGTCAATTATCTACTAATTAAAGCCAATGATCTACTTAATAGTGCCAATAATCTGTCTAAACGGATCAATTATCTATTTAAGAGAGCCAAGGGGTTTAATTATCTACTAAAGTGAGTCAATTATATGCTCATAGAGTCATGTCAGTTGTAAAAGAGAGTCGTGTATCAATCTAATCAAATGATTGATCTACCAGAGTGTAATTATCACCTTAATGAGTCAATAATCTACCCAAAAGGTTCAATTATCATTATCTACCAGAGAGAGTCAATTATCTACCTAAAAGAGTCGAGTAATCCCCTTTTAGTTTCGTGGTATGATGAATAGTGGAAGATTTTATGAAAAACAAAGTGCAAATGGAGTCCTTGGATTGCTATAAATAGGCATAATATGATATTTTGTGTCTATAATAAAAGTTTCATCGGTGTAAAAATAGCAATAGAAAAAAAAAGTTGTAACCTGATTTACAATTTTGAGATACGCGACATTGGCCCAGAAAGTATAAGTAACGGTGCAACGTGTAATGACTTGATAAATATTTTTAATGCTTATAAAGTAGTAAAATACGATCGAATTAAATTCATTTTTTTGATTGTTAATTTATTACGTAAAATATTAATAGGAAAATGAATTTCTAAGTTGGTAATCCGTCAAGTCTAGTAACTTGTTGAACTTGTATTCTTTATTGTATTCTTGCAGTACCTACATATTTTTTAAAGTATTTATTGTAGACCTAATTAAACCAGATAAAGTTGGATTAAGTTAAATCAAACAAATTACAGCTACTTTTTTATTAGGTATTCTTTCAAAACTTCAATTACTTTATTGCCTTGTGATACACACATTGTTCTTATTTTTTTTTCTCAGTTAACAATTTTATTTGAGCGCAAAATAAACAATCCAGCGCCGGTCGAAGAATATTGCGTAAAAGGCTTCGGCAAGGCATTAATTAAATAATAATTCGTCTACAATAAAACTCAATTCGACCGGCGCTCCAATAACGTATCATTAGACGTGATTAAAATGGATTTGTCAGGTCCGGCAATTTTCCTACATTGATCTCTAATTATTGGGTCGAATTGAATTTTGCATACTCGCATATTCGCATTAGATATTGGGCAAACTTCGTTAGATCAGAACTACTATCATTACTTTGCTATCTACAGGGTGTAGCAAATTTAATGTGCGCAGGGTGCCTTCCATTAACATCCCCAAAATCTAGTAACATTTTGTCGATTTAGTAACATCACCAGAATCTAGTAACATTTTGTCGATGTAGTAATGTTACCGGACGGAAAATCCGTGGGTATTTGAAAAAATATTTACACGTGAATTCCTGACAAGTGACACATTTTGAGTACGTAGGCAGGTACTTGAAAATCCTAATTAATTGCCAAAATCAGGTGAATATCTACGAGTTTCTGGCACTCGCGATATTATTGCGAATGAAAACTAATTTTAAAATTGTGGGTCGGGTAATGAGTGAAATGTTCCGAGCGTGAACGAATTCGATTTTCGTTGTATACGAGGCGCATCGAAAAACACACACCGCTGAGAATACGAAATGTTATTGGGACGCCCTGTACAATTTTTGTTCACTCGATTTACACCGGTGGAATGAGTGATAACGTACAAATTGATCGAAGGCGTTAAATTGGAACAAATTGATAAATACAACTTAATTGCTGATGTTTAATGGAGATGTGACACTGATTTTTTTATTTCAATTGCAAACGATTATTTATTACTAGATTAAATATTGAACTAAAGCACCCTTATTAATGTTAAATAACTATTTCTACTCGCATTGAATTGTATATCTTTTTAAGTAGATTTTCTACAGGGTGGGTTAGTAAAAAAAAGAAATCCGAAAGTAAACATTCTATAATTACACTGGAAAATATTTTTTTTGTGAACTAACCTTATTATTTCCTGCGAATTTGTAATACACTAACAACTTATACAATGTTTATTGTTACACCTACTCTAGGTGTTATAGTTTACATTCATTCGTTTCACTCTCTAAATAATATAGCAAATAAATCCTTTCCATATATTAATTGGATTTACCGACTTTGGTATTTTTTTCCATTACCAGTAAGGATAAAGTGATAAAAATAACCGGTATACATTATAGATACCGCAAACTGGGGGATTTTTTATAACAAATGTATATTTAATATGGAATTTATTTACATAAATACTTTTACTTACTTCCTTACAAGATAAATCCGAAATGTTTAATAATATTCTCGAATTAATTTTGGATGTTTATTCTAAACGGGGTGAACTAGTTCATGTATAATTTATTCGTGTATAAACTGAAATATTCATGTATTTATATCGCGGTTTGCTAATTTAATATTTTTTCTACTTTCGCTAATTCAAACGAAATTTATTCTATCGCAATAAATTAAAATTACTCACCGAAAAAACCCAAATTAAATGAGCTCGAATAAGTTTTACTAACTTCAAGACAGTCTTTTGGTGCACCCTGTATTAACAAATCTAGTACAATAAAATCAAATCAGCATCCAATGAAGTTCCATTGGATTACTAATTGAATTACTTCGGGCACATATGTCCGGAAAATCCCATTCGATTTCCCTCGCGCTTCATTTCCTCCGCTCGCCTGGCGTTTCCGATAAGACCTTCTCCGGAGGTTCCTTCCTTCAGGAAATCGTCCAGTGGCAATTCGCCCTTCGAGCCACCAACATGCTGGGAAAAACGCTGGACGTTTCCCTAGCAAAACGCGCCGGAAAATACTTCAATAAAAAGTTACTTTTCCTCTACAAGAGGGAAATCAAAGTGTGCTTTTATGCGGTAGTTTTCTGCTGCGTTTTGCACAGAAACGCGTATTTGTTCTACCATTCCGAGGTGAGTAAGTATATACAGGGTGGTGCAGAATTTGGTGAGACCATCAAGACACATACTGTATACAGGGTGGCCCAGAACTCACGCCCCACCGGGAAATGTCTTATGGAAACGACAATGGAGATGCCAAAACTGCAGTCGAAAACATAAAAAAGTTTTTCTTTTGGTAAATATAGAGGTTCAAAATCGACCAATCCCAGTGGGAATTCAAATCCACGAAAATGACGTGAATTAGCTATACACTAATTTGATATTATTGAAAGATTCTATTTCCTTTTCACTTTCAAGGTTAACAAAAGTTGCCAAAATCAGCTGTAATTATTGATTAAAGATTTGCTTTAAAATCGATCAAAAAATGGATCATTCGATTCGAACCACTTTTGAAGCGATAAAAAATTCTGTAGGTTTGATATCAGCACGACGAAGCTCCTGAATGATCGATTTAGAAGCAAATCTTTGATCAATAGTCACAGCTAATTTTGTTAGCATTTGTTAACGTTGAAAGTGTAAAGGAAATAGAATCTTTTTCCTGCCTTCGACTGCAGTTTTGGCATCTCCATTGTCGTTTCCATAAGGGATTTCCCAGTGGAGCGTGAGTTCTTTGCCACCCTGTATATCATTTTACTTGAATTGTGTGGTATTTCTAGTGCGTGGTGGAAATGCCTGTGGATGCCAGTAAAGTGTTCAAAGAGCCGGAAAATTGCGCTTTCTGCGAAAACATCACAACAGTAGAAAAAATTTCGCGAATCTCACCGACAGATTTCTACCAAAAATACACCAAACGAGGCAAACCAGTTGTAATAACAGACGCCACTCAAGACTGGCCGGCCATCCAATCCTTCACCTTCGACTTCTTCAAAACCCTCTACGAATCGACGGACAACGCCGGCGAAAACTGCCAGTTCTTCCCCTATCGCACGGAGTTCCGCTCGCTGGCGGAGGTCTTTCGCATGCCCGCCGCCCGGGCTGCATTGGCGCCGGGCGAGAGGCCGTGGTACGTGGGCTGGAACAACTGCCGGGACGAGGCCGGGCGGCTCCTGCGCCGGTACTACTCCGCGCCGTACTTCCTCGGCGACGCCTCGGAGGGCATCCGCACGAGCTGGATATTCATGGGCGGGCCCGGGCCCGGCGCCCAAATGCACGTGAGTGAAACTGTACAGGGTGGAGCAGAACTCACGCCCCACCGGGAATTGCCTTGTGGAAACGACAATGGAGGTGCCAAGACTGCGGTCGAAGGCAGGAAAAAGTTTTTCTTTTGGTAAATAAAGAGGTTCAAAATCGACCAATCTGACAATTGACATTATTTGACATAATTTGACATTATTGAAAGATTCTATTTTCTTTTCACTTTCAAGGTTAACAAAAGCTAACAAAATTAGCTGTGACTATTGGTCAAAGATTTGCTTCCAAATCGACCATTCAGGAGCTTCGTCGTGCTGATAACAAACCTACAGAATTTGTTATTGCTTCAAAAGTGGTTCGAATCGAATGATCCATTTTTTGATCGATTTTAAAGCGAATCTTTAATCAATAATTACAGCTGATTTTGGCAACTTTTGTTAACCTTGAAAGTGAAAAGGAAATAGAATCTGTCAATAATGTCAAATTGGTGTATAGCTAATTCACCTCATTTTCGAGGATTTGAATTCCTACCGTCGATTTTGAACCTCTTTATTTACCAAAAGAAAAACTTTTTTATGTCTTCGACTGCAGTTTCGGCATCTCCATTGTCGTTTCCACAAGGCATTTGCCGGTGGAGCGAGGGTTCTGGGCCACCCTGTATAAAGCGGGAAGAGAGGGTGATCGATTGGCGGGTGGTTTCAGATCGATAACGTGCATTATCCGTCGTGGCAGGCGCAGCTGAGCGGCAGGAAGTTGTGGAAATTGGCGCCTCCGTTGGAGTGCTGGAGCGTCTGCCATGCAATGGAAGTCGAAGTGGAAACGGGAGAAACCAGTCAGTATTTACAAACGATAATTCTATTTATTAGAATAGTAACTCGAATGAGAGTAAATTTTTCCTTTCTTTTCGCTCGCCAATCGCTTGGTTCATCTGTTGAACGACGGAAGAAAGTCCTCCTTTAGGCAAATATTATTACTCTTTATAATATAGTCCGAATTTGATCCATCTTGTTCTATGGTAATGAGAAAATTGGAATCGTTGACAAAACGATTTCTTATCGGAACGGATTCCGTACGGTCATCGTTTTACTTTCACGGTTTTTGCGCCGGTCAGTGTCGTTTAATCGTCGCCCATCGGCTACGATTTAATTTGATTAGGTAACCCGATTTCCGCCGATGCGATAATTAACATTTATTCCCCGATGATTTTTCACCGTTTCGAATTAATTTAGCTACCAATAAGGGAAGGTTTCCACACATGCGCCTTGGATATTTCCTTGGAAAAACATTTTTTTGGGTACTGTATTTTAGTACTAATTTTATACATGATATAAGCCTTTAAATTATGGAAATTGCCTGATGTATAGTATATTACTTATTCCAAATATTTTTTATGCCTTTCCTGCTTTTTTATAGTATTTGTTATACTTAATTTTTTACATATTATATGACATTTGTTAGGTTTAAAAAACGGCATAATTGTCTCATATCGATTCTAAAAAATACACATACACAGTGACAGTAATTTTTAGGTGAAATTTCACTTTCCTTCTCAGCTAGATTAATCATTTTTTTTATCCTATCGGGCTGTAATTCAGATTAAAAATAGAAACCTTCTAATTTACATATTAATATTTAATAAAATAATATTTCAGTTGTAGTCGATACCAACCGCTGGTACCACCAAACTATCGTACTACCCGGCCGAATAAGCATCACCATCGGCTCAGAATTCGATTAATTTCATCAGAAAATCGATTCGCACAGACTTTGAGATTGTGTTAAATTTCCACTAATAAATATTCTTAAGTACCACAACGTTTTTTATTACTCTCACTATGCTATAATAAAGCTACAAGAATCATTAACTGACTCACTGTATACATTTAATTAACTACTCCTTTTAATAAAGTCGCAAGAGTTATTAACTGGATATCTGTCCATATTTATCACTCCTTTTATGACTTTATAAAGTTGCAAGAGTTACTAACTGACTCGCTGGTTATCTTTGTGACCACCCTGTATGTGTTTGACTAACTTTGGGAAGACTATATGCGAGTGTAAGATGCTCGATATACTTTCTAATATCAACACAATGGTGGAGTAACGATTTTGTTTGGAGGTAATGGAGCTTGTATAGGTAAAAGTGCTTACAAAATGTTTGATGTATTTATACAATATGGAATTGTAGAAATGTTGGTGTTTCGGTTATAAGGGGACAATTGTAATTGAATGAAATTTAATTGAATGAAATGCGTGTTATGTAATTTTGTGTTAATAATGGACGGGGAACACGCAATAAAGTAATTATTGCTAATGAAAATTTCGATTATTTCCCGTTATATTTGTTGCATGTTATTTAATGTTTGTGTAGATTGATTACGTAATTGATTATTAAGGGGTTTTATAAGAGTTTTCTATTTCTATTTTTTTTTCCATTTTGTTTAATGCTTTTTATTGAGCTTTTTTCTAAAGCTACATTTCGTTTCTTAAAGCTTCTTCCAACATTCCAATATTTTCCTATCATTGAAGATTCTCACCTCAACTAAACCTTCTACAGATTTCTTACCTATTTTAATTCTTTATATACCGGCTGTCCCATATACAAATCTCTTTTCTTAATCACGTTTAGTGATACATCTAGTGACCCACTCGAAGCGCAAAATCGAGCTAGTTTTGCGCGAATTTATCGCAATTTCCACAGTAAAGCATCGCATAAGGAAAGTTCGATTTAGAGTCCTTTTTGCGCGAGCCTATTCTATTCATGAAATAATGAAAGGTTCCGGCGCGATGGCGAGAACATGACAGCGGCCCGTAAGGCGCGTACGCGTGCCGGTCACGTTCCGCTCGACTCGACTGTAGCTTATCTCTAATCGAAAGTATATAAGTTCAACTGTCCAAAAGTTCTTGAAGACAGTCCAAATCGGCCCGGAACTGAAGAGACTTCGATGGGGTTCGTGTTATTGCTGTTTAATAATTTTTTAAGAGTAATATCGTAGGGGGTTTTGTGTGATTTTTTTTTGGTACTGCTTCTTCGCGTCAGGGGTGGTACTTTGTGATTTATTTGAATTATTGTGATACAAACGGTAAGAATGCATTGTTTTGAACCTTAAAATTGGTAAGTTAAAGAGGATTTACCAAAAAAAGTTTGGAAAATGCGACCATTTTGAAACTAAAACTAATGGAAGACATTTTTTCCCGGTGTCAAGATGGCGGTTTTCATGTTCGGCAACCTTGTTTCCTTTTGAATATGTTATTTTTTCACTCAAAACTAAGCAATTAAAGTCATAAGAATGTTCTTTAATTCATTCATTAACTCTGCAAGCTCTAATATTGTATTGCAAACATTTTTTTGACTCAAATTATCTGATAAATATTGATAAAGCTTACACAAATCTTGACATTAAATTCTAAGTTAGTTTCTATTAAAATTAAAAAAAACTTCTTTAACAATCACATCTTCATCTTCATCATCAACGCACTGTGAATGATTAACTGAATTAGTAGAGGCCTGATGAATTGTCACTGGCTGAAAGACGCTGACATTAAAGGCCAACATTGAATTAAAGAAACATTCAAATCCTCAAAATTTTTGATAACAACGTAAAACAATTAAATTTTAATCGTAATATCATTCCATTATCTCGTGGTTTCTTCCACATATAAAATTTACAATTCACGCGAAAATTAACAACAATTTGTATGCAAATTTATTTATTGAATTGCCCGAAATCTGTTAAAATTTCTTCTAACATCCATTAACCCTGTTTAGCGAAATAATCAAATACATTAAATAAATTAAATGTTAAATCATTTTGAGTGAAACCCATAAATCCACGGTCGGGGAATTTTGAAAATTTTATTCAAATTCGAATCAATTATGCATTCGGTTCAAGAGAATAATTTCACTTTCTTCGCATTGTTTTAAAATGTTAATGAGTGTTTACCTGATTGATTAATTTGTTAGTTTCGATATATTTTTTATTTCAATTAAATATCTCTCTATTGCACTTTTTTGATGAAATTCGAGGCGACATCTCGAGGCGATAGTGTGAATTATTTAAAAAATTCTTATGTTTAAAATTTATCTACTTTCTCTAACATAAGGTAATTCACAACAATCATGTTAGATGGAAGCACTAAGTTGTGTTAATTATTTTTTTAATTACTAATTAATTTTTTAATTACGAATTCGAAGTGTTAATTTGCGACGTTGCCAGGTGCAGCAAAATTTTGTTATACTCTAGACTTTCGGTAGTTAAAGTAAAATAATTAAATTAACTGGGAAATTGGGTAAGAGTGACACTTTCCTCATTTCCAATCGTTTATTAGACATCGAAAACGCAATTCGTGAAAGGACTTTCTTCATACTTAACAATGTAGAATTTTTACTCCAAAATAATGACTTAGAAACGATCGGAAAAAGCCTCGTTAATCTACAAATAAAGTCCCTCCCGTGGGGCATCCGCGGCCCGTCCGAGTCCAATTAGCGCGACATTTTGAATCCTCCAATGCACCCGGAGAAATGGAACTTGGTACATCGCCGGAGCTCCGTAGAAAATCCGATCCGGCGTGCCAATGAACTTGGGGCCCCAACGTGTAGGTGAAAGTTGCAGATAAATTATTCATCGTTTTATTGGCACTTGTTCGCTTGAAATTTCGGTAGAAAGTTCCACGAAATGAAAGGTTCCTATTATAGCCCGGGCGATTTGGGCACCAGCACATTCCGCGGATTCAAATTTGGCAACACTGATTTTTTGCGAGCGCCCTGTATATTACTGTTTGAAGGAATTATATACAGGGTGGAACTCTCGCTCCTTTACTATATCGATATAAGAGAAGGATTGTAATAGAATTGGTCAATATATACTGCTCCACAAAAGTTAAGGAAGTTCACAAATAATATTGAGATTAATTTAAAAGTTGCAGGTTTTTTTGATCGCCAAATTTAGTATGAGTTGTAGAGGTAGGGGCAAAAAATCCACTCAGATATGAGAGAAAACATTTAATTTCGCATATTTGAAAATTTGGTGACCAAAAAGTCTGCAACTTTTAAAATAATCGCAAAATTTGCGAACTTCCTTAACTTTTGTGGAGCAGTTTATCTTTAACTGTAGATGATCTGTACAAATGTGGCTATTTTTATTATACACAGCATAAAAGTATCTAGAATTTTGTTTAGAAGTTTTTTTGTATCATCTACATCTACACTAACAGATATACAGGGTGTATCTGAATAAACAAGTGGTCAAACTTTGTGAGCAAGTAGAGAATCTCAAAATATGACAAAAACTTAAATGGCATTTTATCATGTCCTGGATTATCGGTACACAGGGTGTTAAAAATGGATTCTCGAAGAGTTATTTTTATTAATAATTTCATTAAGAGCAAAGGTAAAATGATGAAATATGTTGATGAACTTTGAATGATAAAGTTTGACCACTTATTTCAGAAACACCCTGTATAAAGACAGTTTCTAGAGCAAGATATTGAAGAATTTAGAGATAAGCTAGAGGGAAATAGGAAGAAATAATCCTGGAAAAATCCTTTCGTTTTTAAACCCCATAAAACTCCCTTAATCACCTCCCTAAATTATCCACATTTCCGTGTTCGCTCTTCATAAAATTCGATCCGAATTTGACCGGGCTATAAGAGCGTATGTGACCTCCTAGTATCGTAATCGTGCAATGAAACACGTACCGTTTAGGTGTTTTTATAAAGACTAGTCAGCGCGGTTTCGGAACGGATCTGCGCTTAATCTGAATATAAGCGATTTTTTTTTCAATCGAAAACTTAATTGGATGAGATTATTCAAGCGATGAACGAACTCGTAAAATCGCCATCAATACACTCAAACGACCGGGTACGGACCGATAGGTGTAGCTGAAGACGCTCCGTGCGCATGCAGCTATTGCACTGTAGATGTTCTACTATTAAATTAATCGATTGCACTTGCTCTGATTTACCCATCGATGGCGGTGTTATTGAACTGAAAAATCGAACAAAAAGCGTTGCAAAACAATGGGCCGATTTTACCCATTATGAATGCATTTAGCTCGATATATGTGCAAAAGAAAAATTCGAATTGGAGATTGTGCGGCCTAAAAACGAATTAGAACGATTGGACGGCGGATAATAAAATACGTAATGAGGTATTTAAATGGCCGTTGTAATTCAAAGAGTTGTCATTGTTTTTAGTTTGTTGCAGTTAATTGCACATATTGGTGAATATTGTGAAAATAATAAAGAGCGCAGATGTATATGATGAGGTAGGTCAGACATATTGCACTGAATTATTATCAATAAATCATAATCAAATAAACTATTAAATTTAGAAATCAATGTAGTTGAGGGTATACTTTATCAAATGTAGCTGGGCAGTTGCCAATTGCACTAGATGTGCAAAGTTATTAGTGGAATTTATTGCCTTAAATTTCGATCGAAGAGTGTTAATTAATCTACATTCTCCCTTCTTTAAATATTCCACCTTTCTTCATAAATTCCAACTGCCAAGCTACATTTGGAGAGGTACAGTATTTGTAATGAAATTATATTTTATTTTTCTCCCCGTGTTTTCGACTTTCCATCAGCAAAAAACTCGCGATAGCCCAAAATACCTGGAAAATTGCCCCGTTATAAGTATAACAAGCTCCAAACGAACCGTTGTGCTAATTATCCTGAATATTTAACGAATATAATAAGAAGGGCAATTAAATAATTACTCGAACACAATTAGGCGCGTACGATAATTTCTAATTACCGGCGGAAAAAACCGCGCGTAAATGGTAAATTCAGTCGAATATCTGTTACCAAAAGTTAGAAAGTCTTCGCAAGAAGAGACAAAAGAAAGCGTGTGCTCACGACAATTTGAAAAAAAAATTATCAAATTAATAATATCCGCGGATACGTGTAGGTATATGAACGTGTTAAATCGAGTCCCGTTTAATTCTTTCAAACGAATCGACAATTTCACTTTCTTCAAACTCCATCATCCTTTCAAAACATTGTTGCTAACTCAAACATTATAATGATTTTCTATTATTAACACGAGGCAAGTCATTATTTACACAACACAACATCATTTATCCACATTTTCGTATGCACCTATCAAGTAATTTTTAAATCACACCTACAGCAGGATCGATATTCATCAATACAAACAATCCTTTCATCAGTTTCAGCGACATGTCTCCTCCGAATACCGGTGAGCCCATTCAAATCATCTCGACCAAGCATTTAGACAAGCAGGAATACCAACCGTACGTGCGACGCTCTAAACCCAAGAAGGACGATGCGAAGGACAGCGAGTCCTTTCAGAAAATAGTCTGGAGAAACGTCCTGATATTCGTGGTCCTTCACAGCCTCGCCCTCTATGGCATTTGGCTCAGCCTCAGCGGGCAAGTCACCTGGAAAACATTGCTATTCAGTGAGTGCAAAATGATGAAATGGTGTATAGAGGTTGTTAAAATCTGCACATATTCAAAAATATACTGCTCCACAAAAGTTAAGGAAGTTCACAAATATTGAGTTTAATTTAAAAGTTGCAGGTTTTTTGATCGCCAAATTTAGTGTGAGTTGTAGAGGTAGGGACAAAAAATCTACTCAGATATAAGAGAAAACATTTTATTTCGCATATTTGAAAATTTGGTGATCGAAAAGTCTATAACTTTTATAATAATCGCAAAATTTGCGAACTTCCTTAATTTTTGTGGAGCAGTTTATTTTGCATATTATACATATAGTTCAAATGCCTCTTTTGTTAAATTGTTTTTATTGTTAATTTTAAATGGTGTTTAAGCCTTTTGGAAACTAATTTTGATGAGTAATTTTTCAAATAATTCATTGTATTAAAAGTTTATTCTTTTAAGCAAAACATTTTTGAGCGAATGGATAGATTCTGACCCAACTGACCCAACATTCTTTAGTAAATTGTTGAAAATAAAAAAGATACAGAGTGTCAAAGTTGAAATAAAAAAAAATGATTAATGGCAGCAATTTGAATGATTTTGGATGAACAGAAGTGAAAATTTGAAGACAGATGTTTCAATGCATGAGAAATCATAATATGATAAAAACAATTCAACAAAAGACATTTCAAATAATAAATAGCCCTACTTCATATAGAATATGCAAAACATTTTTGAGTGTTTGTAGATGTTAGTCCATATTTATAAAAATGAAGCATTTACTTTGACGTAAAACGTAGAGGCAAAAGATAAGAGAAAAAGGTTTCAAAACCTTAAACAAAGGTTTATAAAACCACAAAACCTTCCGCTTTAAAGCAACAGCAGTGTCCTCTAAGCCAAACTCCTCTTCCTTCACTTCTTTTTATGCATAAACCTCGAAGCAATTCCTTCATTTCTTAAACTCAAACGTTGTGAATATTTTTACAAAAACTTCCTATTTGCATCTGCAGGTTTGGTGTACCTATCGGGCGCCAGCACGGGCGTGACGGGCGGCGCCCACCGCCTCTGGTCGCACAAAACCTACAAAGCCAAACTCCCGTTCAGAATCTGGCTGATGCTCTGGCAAACCGCCGCCCTGCAGAACGACATCCACGAGTGGAGCCGCGACCACCGGGCCCACCACAAGTTCACCGACACCGACGCCGATCCGCACAACTCCAACCGCGGCTTCTTCTTCTGCCACATCGGCTGGCTGATGATGAGGAAGCACCAGGACGTCATCGCCAAAGGCAAGGCCATCGACATGAGCGATATAGAAGCCGATCCCGTGGTGATGTGGCAGAGAAAGTAACCGATCCCCAACAACAATTCAACTAATTGAAACTTCTAAAACATTTCAAATTTCCAGATATTACGTTCCATTGGTTGTGGTGTTAACGTTTCTGCTGCCCACTTACATCCCGGTGTACTTTTGGAACGAAAACCTCCGCACCTCCTTCTACGTTTGCATCGCCCGGTACGTCCTGCAATTGAACGGGACCTGGTGCGTGAACAGCGCCGCCCATCTATGGGGCGGTCGACCCTACGACGGGTAAATATCCACCCCCCAAAAACCCACCTTTACTAACACATTTCCGACGCGCAGATCGATCAATCCACGGGAGAACGTGTTCGTCTCCACCATAGGCTACGGCGAGGGCTGGCACAACTACCACCACACCTTCCCGTGGGACTACAAGGCGGCCGAGCTGGGGGACTACAGCATGAACCTCACCACGGCGCTGATCGACTTCATGGCGTACCTGGGGCAGGCGTACGAGCTGAAGACGGTGTCGCGCGAGATGGTCGCCAAGAGGGCGAAGCGGACCGGCGACGGGACGTGGAGCGGGAACGGGGAGAAGGACGAGAATAACAACGAGGAGGCGGCGCGCGAGGATATGGTTTGGGGATGGGACGACAGGGATATGAAGGAGGACGATATCAAGGACGCGAGGATTTTTAATGATCTGAAGGAGTGCTAGATTTGGGGGTTGTTTGGGGTTGTGTGAATGCGAATAACGATGTGGGTATACAGGGTGTGTTTGGGATAAGTGGTTAAATTTTGGGGGGTAGTAGAGAAGCTGGAAATATGGCGGGAACTTTTGAATTGGTTATCGGTATATGGGGTGTTAAAGATGGATTCTTGAAGAGGTATTTTTTTATTAATAATTTCATTAATAGTAAATGTAAATTGATGAAATTTGGTATACATACTAAGCAAATGAAATGTCTTACGGAGCTGTTCGATCGGGTTGAAAAAGTTGTACAGGGGTGGGTTAAAATGGGGGGTTTGTGGGGTAATTCTAACCTAACTGTTTTATTTTAACCTTTTCTATTGATTTGTTTAATGAATATGAAAATATGAAGTTTTCTACATAAAAAAAGTATACTTTTTGAGTGAACAGTTTTCACTAAAAATAAATTCTGATACACAAAATTATTAAACTATTGTCATCTATAAAAATCTAGTAAGAATGAAATCATTCAAAAACTTGACATTTCGATAAATTGACATTTAAGTTTTTGTCATATTTTGAGGTTCTCTACTTGCTTCCAAATTTAAACCACTTATTTCACAAACACCATGTATACAGTAATAATTCCACAAGGATATAATTTATTGCTCTGTTACGGTATTCTTGAATGAGGTGTAGCAAATTAGATTTAGCGATGTTTTTGTTGTTAATTAATTTATTTGTAACGATTTAGGTGACCAGTAAAATGTATAATATTTCGATTTGTAGTGGAAAATTTCGAAAGGAATGTATAACTAAAAAAAAATTTGCGCGTATACGAATTCTAGTTCTAGTAAAAGTTCCGAACCGACAGTGGAAAGATCTCCGAATTTTTTTCCGGTGGATCGGAAGTGGGTCGAGCGGCGTAATTTGGTCGAAATTTTAATCGTCGAGCGAGCGCGGCGAATAATCCGTGTATGAATAACGCAAAGTAGCGGGCCTTTCGAATAACAACATCTCAAAGAGGGGCAAGCGTATTCCGTTGTACTACTTAGCAGGTGCCGTTTCTATCGAATTTTAAGAGATTTTTTAATTCGCCGGTTCGGTACCGTGAAAGCGAGGCAGCGGGAAATTCGACCGTGAGCTACGAAAACTTCCACTCGCTCCACTAATTTCTTTATACCATTATTTCGGTTTTTGTACAAGATGATTCCGAAGTTTCTATAATTATCGAAGAGAAGATCCTTTAATTATACCTTTTAAAACATCATGAAACATTCTTCAGATATGTTGGGTCTCCTGATAGCAATTTCACTACTTCTTTTATTAGGTACTACAAAATATTTCCAATATTTCAATTCAAACTTTTGAGTAATTCCCCGGAGAAAAAAATAATAATTAAATGTCAAATTAGTGCTACCAATCAAATTTTTGACATCGATATCTCCCCTGTTATTTCTTACACTGATAAAGTTCCCAAAATAATGTCCCAGAACCCTTCTTTTTCCACATAAAATATTTAAATTCCACAAATCCTTTCATTTATACAAAATATTTCCAATATTTCAATTCAATCTTTTGAGTAATTCCCCGTGAAAAAATAATAATAATTAAATGCCAAATCAGTACTACCAACAAAATTTTTGACATCCATATCTCCCCTGTTATTTCTTACACTGATAAAGTTCCCAAAATAATGTCCCAGAACCCTTCTTTTTCCACAAATCCTTTCATTTATACAAAATATTTCCAATATTTCAATTCAAACTTTTGGGTAATTCCTCGGGAAAAAATAATAATAATTAAATGCCAAATCAGTACTACCAACAAAATTTTTGTCATCCATATTTCCCCTGTTATTTTTTACACTGAAAAAGTCCCAAGAAAACCTCCCAGAACTCCCCTTTTTCCCCATAAAAGATTTAAATTCCGCAAACCCCTTCATTTATACAAAATATTTCCACCATTTCAATTCAATCTAATCAGTAACTCCCCGAAAAAAAAATTAATAAACAAATCAGTACTACCAACAAAATTTGTGCCACCCACAGCCAACTTTTCGAAATCGTATATTTATCAACCTATCCCTCCTGCATCCAAGATATAAAGTAATTTATTAGCACTACAACACCAAACGAAATTTCTCCATTTACGTGTTAATTCGCTATAAACAATTAGAATATTCGCATTGTTTTAGTACCAGATCCTAATTTCATTTAAAGTAACTTTTACTGTAATTCCAACGGCACGAACGGTAACGCTTAATCATCGATACTTCCACTTCTTCAGCGTTGATTACCCGAGCGAAATGCATGTAAATCGAGCTAAATGCCCGATTGGAAAGTGCACGGTGGCGTTATGAAAGAAATTATTTGCTACAACACGTTTGGTTTCATTAACGCAAATGCTCGATTTCTGTCGCGGAATTCGATCTTTTGCCCCACTCACCCCACGCGATTCCGAAATTAGTGGATTATTTGTAGTATTATACCGAAAAAAAACAACATAAAATTAGCGTGTAAAACAAGATATATTAAGCAATTATGCAAATGACGCGTTGGATAAAAAATTTTGAAGAAAGTAAAAATTAGGTATATCGAATATAAATCGAGATCTGGGCCCGTTAGGCGCAATTATCAATAAATAGGACTTGTGTGTGTGTGAGTCCGATGGAGTAAAAGCGATCGGACATCTCCAAATATCCGATTCTCCTGCAAGTAGGACGCCTTCGATTCGCCGGTACTCAGAATCGGTACCCATCAGGCCTGAACTTTCGAATGTCCGAGAGGGGCGAGTGCCGACTCCATCGCTAAGCAGGTACCATTTCTTGGAGTTTATTTTGCATTGCGGTACCGAGATTACAAGTTCGGTTCACTGTGGAAGTGATGTGAAGTGCTCCTGCGCCTAATTTTTTTTTTCGACTATTTTTCGACTATTTTTCGCTTGGATAATTCGATTTTTATTTCGGTCTATCGCATCGAGTTGCGTCGATTTTAAGGTAAGGATGCGATATATTCGAGTATGTTTCGTTGGAGTTATTAGAATATTTTAATATTAACAGTAGTTCCTAATATTGACCTAGAAATATTCGAGTATTAATGTCTCTTGCATCACGTAAGATTTATTGTAATTCGATGGGAAACTGTTATTAAATATTTTATGCGACTTACTTAAAGAATGAGCAATTAATTTTAATAATAAATTACCCATAAATTAGTTAATGCAACGATTTTTGTGTGTATTTCGTTTATTAAAGTAATCGATACTTACGAAATTTATTTGGCTCTCCATGTACCTGTATTATAATTACCTAGGGTATAGAGCAGTCCTTATTATCACTTATTAGCTGTTATCTTAGAAAAAATAATCTACCCATATACTCTAATTAATGCAGTAACTAATAATTAGCGGGTTAATGAGCGGCTTGTTACGAAAATAACAGTTATTCTAAGCTTCCTTTTGCCGGTTCATCATCTTTTTCGCTTTTTTAATTCGCATGGAAAAAACTCCATAAATTTTCCGCAAAAAAAATTAATGGTTCTACGTTTGAAATGCTGTAAAAATCGTACATCAGGTTCTATAAATTTTTAATCGCTCGATAAAACTATCAGTTAATGATAGTTCAAGAGTTAATGACAGATCAAGTTCTAATCCTGATCATGTCCTAAGCATTCCTACTTCTTTGGCTTTTCGCGCTGTTGGTGTACACAAGGAACCAAAGAAGTAGGAATGATTATGAAAAAATTAACGATTCTACGTTGAAATGTTCTATCAGGTTCTATAAATTTTTAATCGCTCGATAAAACTATCAGTTAATGTGGCTCTATTTGATTTACACTTAATTAACGATTTAATTAAGCAGCGCACTTTCCACAATCGCTCGAGCGGGCGACGTCCCTCGAATTTCTTCTGCAATTTGCTCGACAATAAATTCATTTATTGTCGTTACAACCTGGCATTAAAACAATATCATCGTTAGCTCGATGCATTTCCACTAATCTACCGTCCCCCTTATACATTACACTTATACAGTGTGTCCCTAGATCGAGTGCTAATCCTGATCATGTCCTAAGCATTCCTACTTCTTTGGCTTTTCGCGCTGTTGGTGTACACAAGGAACCAAAGAAGTAGGAATGATTATGAAAAAATTAACGATTCTACGTTGAAATGTTCTATCGGGTTCTATAAATTTTTAATCGCTCGATAAAATTCATTTAATGTGGCTCTGTTTGATGTCCACTTAATTACCGAAGGAGCTAAAGAAGTAGGAACGACCGAGGAGCGATTATAAATTGTTGTAAATCATCCGCAGGATCGCGGACGCTCCGGATGTGTGTCAGTAATTTACGAAAAAATTACCGAAAATATTGTTTAGTAGCGGTGAAAGAAGCGCTCGAGAGCGTTGAAGTGCACCGGTAACAGTAAATTCAACTATTGTGTGTTTTTTTTTTGTATACCGAAAGAATAAGAATGTAGGCTAATGATTTCCATTGCAAGTGGTGTAGTAATTAATCGGTTTTTCGTTACATTTCGTGAACAGGAATAACAATCCGCATTATAAATATAAATTATAGGCGACAGTTTGATCGAAGGTGCAGATAATATTATTTACGCGCGAGTTCGGTGAAGTTTGTATATGCAATTGGAAGTAATTGATGTGTTGATATCGATAGTATTTATTTAAAAGTGTATACATTAGCTGCAAGTTATCGCGTAATTGCAACAGAAGCTTTTAAAATTCGATATAGGATTCGCTTTAAAAGGTTTTTACCGGAAGGATATTTTTTTAGTTCCAAGTATTTTGACTCTTCGAAGGTAAGACTTGAGGTATTTTTATTCAATATCCAGTGAAAGTAATTAATACAAGTGAAATAATAGATTAGGTTACAGTCAATAAAATTAATCGTAACATTGTAATAAAATTCGTGAAAGCACGGAGAGTTTTATTTAGGCAAAAACCGAAGAAAGTGCAGCGCGATAAAAAAATAGAATAAATTCTAATCTTATTACACGGTTTCTAAGCGATTCGCAAACCGAATCGACGATTACAATTTCGTTATTTGTGCACCGAAAATTCGAAAATCACGAACTGCATTTCATCTTGCATCGTTTCCGCCGATGATTTTGCGTAATCCGTCGAGTAATAATCGGATCTCGTAACGGCTCCGATTACTCGATAGCTCGAAAATCGAAGAAAAAAATCCGGCGACTTTCATCTCTTCTATGTGAAAGTAATAGAAATTTAATCGACAACAAAATAATTTGTTAAATTCTAAACTCGCGGGCGTAGTTTTCCGAATTTACTTCCATACCCGGGATCATATATGTAAGTAAAAAAATTTATAACCCAGTGGGCGCTTATCTTCGATCAAATAATTGCGCTGTGCGATTTTATTGACTCCGTTTTATCACAGCAGCATGAAGGTTAATTAAATGCACACCAAAAAAAATCCATCAGAGTTAAAGCAATCGTTCATAAACCTTCCTAACCTGCGAGGTTTATTCGCATTAAACCGCCCGGAAAATCGGTCAAAAAAATCGAAATTCCCGATCGGAATTCGGTCCACCTACCTACCCGCCGTCGATCGCTCGCCTTGCCTCGACTCCTCGGAAGGTTTTCACTTTCTTCGACGGTCACGATCTCCACCAGGCGGGCTCGGCGAGTGCAAAGGACGCGTTTCTATTTCTCGTTTTCACTCGCATTCATCATGTTATATAGCACTTGCCGTTTTCGCGACGGGATATTGCGAGTGAAATCCACGCGAAAATCAACCGGCGACTAGCCAAAGAAAGCGATACCGAAGATTATACGATTAATTACCTAACATTTAGCGAGATAATCCGTCGTTAACTGTATCACCTTGATAATATTTCGGATGGATCGTTTTTGAAGTGTGAAGTAGTACTTGAGGTAGGGTGAAAGAAAAAGTCGAATTTTAAATTTTAATTAGCTTTATGTATATTGAGTAATTTCTTAACTATGTAGTTAAGAAAAAGTCCTAATAAAATTATCCAAAATAACGAAATCTTTGAAATAAACAACATTTTCTAAAGTATATCATTTTGATGAACTTTCAGAAAGTGACTACAACCAGATTTTTTCATTTCTAGAATATAATTGACTAATTCATCATCCAATTCACTCGGTAATGTTGATTATTTCCCAAGTTTTTGGGTGGTGATATCATTAAGTGATGTTTTGGAATAAGCATTCAAAAATCCCATTTTCTTTTCTCGTGCATTTTTAATTCCTTCCGCCATTGAGTTTTTTATCCCAATTCTTGTGTGGTCTTCTCCATTCTTTTAAAAGCCATTCTAGAACATAAAAATTAATTTTTACCCACTCCATATTTAAAAAGTGCCCTGGTCCATATTGCGATACATACTCATTTTGAGATTATTATTTTTTTCCAGAAAATTGGAATATTATAGACTATACAACAACACTCACCTTCCTCGTGGTCTTATCCACTTTCACATAAAATAGTATTTTTTGAATCAAAAAACCACCAAAATTCGCTAGAAAATTAGATCGCCCGTTGCAGAAAACTAAAAACACCTGTCGAAAATACTTGCTTGCATCCTGAATCACTACAAACGACAGATGGATCAAGGAAGAAGTGATGCTTAGTGTGTAACGATCATTTACTCGATATAAAGAACATTCTTCTTAAAATACACATCACAAAACCGGCCCATATTTAGCGAACTTACTCTACTTACAACAATCGCTTGATTTCAGTAAAATGGCCCCGAATCTGCTGAGGACCTCGTCGTCCTTGTACATGGCGCAGGCGTCGTCCGGCGAGCCGGTGCAAATCGTCAGTACCAAAGAGGACATCCAGACCAGTTACCAGCCCTACCAGAAGGCGGCGAAGCGGCCGGTGAAGAGGAAAGGCCGCACCTACGAGTGGGAGATCGTCTGGAGGAACGTCCTGATTTTCCTGCTCCTCCACTCGATATTCCTGTACGCCAGTTACCTGCTCATCACCGGGAAAGTCATGCTCAAAACGCTGCTATTTAGTGAGTACTTTCACGATTTACGCCAACGAAAAAAACGATGACAATGCTAATGAAACATTAATTTGACTAAACTCGTCGATGTGAAAGTTCCAATTGCGATGATGTTTCATTAAATTTAACGGCGCTCGATAAATTTTAGGCCGGAAACAAACCATTGTATATGGTACATGCATTCCATCGATTCCTAATCACTTTTATCGGCGCCTTTCTCTCTACCAATCGGCCACTAAAACAGCGTAATTCGTCCTCTTCCAGACGTGCTATTCGCCTCGTTCTGCGCGTTCGGCGTCACCGCCGGTGCGCACCGGCTGTGGGCCCATCGCACCTACAAGGCGAAGCTCCCCTTTCGCATCGTCCTGATGATCTGGCACACGGCCGCCCTGCAGAACGACATCCACGAGTGGTGCAGGGACCACCGGGTGCACCACAAGTTCACCGACACCGACGCCGATCCGCACAACGCCAGCCGGGGCTTCTTCTTCTCGCACATCGGCTGGCTGATGCTCAAGAAGCACAAGGACGTCATCGCCAAGGGCAAGACCATCGACATGAGCGATTTGGAGGCCGATCCGGTCGTCATGTGGCAGAAGAAGTGCGTTAGATGCACTCCCGACTTCGATTACTGGTACTAACGTGATGTTTTTTTTAGGTACTACGTCGGTTTGGTGACTGTACTGACGTTCCTGTTGCCAGCCCACGTGCCTTGGTACTTCTGGGGCGAGAACTACCTCATCGCTTGGTACGCCACTATTTTTAGGTACACCCTGTCGTTGAATTTTACATGGCTAGTCAACAGCGCTGCTCACATCTGGGGCACCAAACCCTACGACGCGTAAGTACCCAATTTCCATCCATACTCAATACCCCGCCTCACCAGGAAGCCCTCTTGAAGCACAACCATCTCCAAGAAGATGCTCCAAGTGTGCACCATTTTCAAAGAAACTCAGTAGCACCTTAAATAGTACCTTAAAAGCCTCTTAATGAGTACCCTTCCATTGCACAATCAACCAGTTTCACCACGAAGTATCCACCAACTAGAACCATCTCCAAGAAGATACTCCATACCTTCTTACCTTCTGTTAGCAGTACTTTAAGCTTCCTTACGAAGCAATTTCTACTTAGTACACTTACATACGACGCGTAAGTACCCAACTTCCATCCATACTCAATACCCCGCCTCACCAGGAAGCGTTCTTAAAGCACAACCATCTCCAAGAGGATGCTCCAAGTGTGCACCATTTTCAAAGAAACTCAGTAGCACCTTAAATAGTACCTTAAAAGCCTCTTAATGAGTACCCTTCCATTACACAATCAACCAGTTTCACCACGAAGTATCCTCCAACTAGAACCATCTCCAAGAAGATACTCCATACCTTCTTACCTTCTGTTAGCAGTACTTTAAGCTTCCTTACGAAGCAATTTCTACTTAGTACACTTACATACGACGCGTAAGTACCCAACTTCCATCCATACCCAATACCCCGCCTCACCAGGAAGCCCTCTTGAAGCACAACCATCTCCAAGAGGATGCTCCAAGTGTGCACCATTTTCAAAGAAACTCAGTAGCACCTTAAATAGTACCTTAAAAGCCTCTTAATGAGTACCCTTCCATTGCACAATCAACCAGTTTCACCACGAAGTATCATCCAACTAGAACCATCTCCAAGAGGATGCTCCAAGTGTGCACCATTTTCAAAAAAACTCAGTAACACCTTAAATAGTACCTTAAAAGCCTCTTAATGAGTACCCTTCCACAATCAACCAGTTTCACCACGAAGCATCCACCAACTAGAACCATCTCCAAAGAGGATACTCCATACCTTCTTACCTTCTGTTAGCAGTACTTTAAGCTTCCTTACAAAGCAATTTCTACTTGCAGGACGGTGAACCCGACGGAGAACAAGTACGTTTCGATGGTGAGCTTCGGCGAGGGGTGGCACAACTACCACCACACCTTCCCGTGGGACTACAAGGCGGCGGAGCTGGGGAACTACCGGCTGAATTTCACCACGGCGCTGTTGAATTTCATGCGGTACGCGGGCCAGGTGTACGACCTGAAGACGGCCAGCGCGGAGATGATCAGGAAGAGGGTGGCGAGAACGGGGGACGGCAGCTGGAGCAACGGGCCGAAGATCGAGGAGGCGGGGGACGAGGCGCAGGCGAAGGTGGAGGGGCACCATCACAAGGACATGGTGTGGGGATGGGGCGACAAGGACATGGCCGAGGAGGAGATGGAGGACGTGAGGGCGTTCAATAATCTGATGGAGGATTAGTTTAGTTCAATGAGTACTGTGATCGTTTTACGAGTGTTTTTTTTTTGTAAATCCGTTGCCTGTTTTTTTTTTTATTTATTTTGGTGCCGGATTTTTTGAAGTCCGGTTAATGTAGTTAAATATTTAATATAAATTTGGATTAAGTAGTATTTGCAAGTGGAATCAGGCAAATTTTTTATTATTTTTAAACAGTGTGATTTTTGATAATCGTGAAATACAATAATATAGAAACTTAAATACAAGAATCGCATTGTACATCATTCGCCATATTTGATTCTGTAGGATGGTTCGTAAAGCAATTTTCGAATTAATTCTGTTAGTAGAATTTAAATATTAATTTCATTCTTACCATAAGCTAGCATATTTTAAAACCGCCCATAAAAATGGTTTAGAAACTACTCATAGTATCCAAAATAAAACATATATTTTCAGAGCTTTAAACATGTGATTTCCCTCATACTTACATAGAATTTAAAGTATTGTATTTTATTTATTGTGGTTTTTGTCCCATAAATAGACTTATTTATCAACAAATTAATACAAGAAAATTCGATATCATCATTCATTAATTACACTTTGTGTGCTCTGTTATATTTTCTGTTATTTAATAAAATATTTGTGGAAAATATAACGAGACACTTGCTACTATAATTTTTTTCAAAATATGTAGGTATTGTATCTGCTTAGCTAATTAATTATGGTTTGGTGTAGAAATTTCGCGAGAATTCCCTTTATAATATTTTGTTTTTTATCCTATAATTGAATATTGTAATATTGTGATACAAGGTTCACAAAAAGGTGGATAATATTATTATTACTATTATGTTTACATTTTATTCGTTGTAAGTAAATAAATTTGTTAACGTTACTATTGAGTAGGAATAAAATTCGCAAAAATTCGTCAAATTCGAATTCATTTCAGGTACAAAAATTCCACAATCCGAAATTATTCCAAAACTTGTAAATAATACTTTTATTTTTAATACCTACGAAAAAATGAAAATTGGCTAAATTATAGGAACCGCATCATCTAACAAAATTTTCCAGTTCGGCCAGTTTTCATTTCATCAACTTATTTACAAAAAAAATCCACTCCGCGTCCTTCGTCCTGCCACAAATAAATTATCCTTACATCAAAAAATCGTAGAGAAACTCGTATTTCTTTGGAATGCTCAAGTATCAAGTCACCATTGCCCGACACGCCTAAAAAAAATCAACCAATTAATTACCATATAACCCATTCAATTCAACTCAGTCGTGACGTCACCCTATCCTATACCCACCTACTGGGAGTTTTCTTATTCCTGTACCCGTTATTCACGTACACCACGTGCTCGTCGGGCCGCTTATCGAACACGAAGTTCCTCACGAGCGTAAAGAGGGCGCTGCTGAACACCATGTTGTTCACCATCGTCACCACCATGACGGCCATTTGCAATTTGGGCATGATCCAGGGCATCACGCCCGACATGAAGAAGGCGGGTATCAGGGCGTACTGGATGATTTTAGAAGCCGGGGACTCCGACTTGGTTTTCCTGTTTTCGACCCCATCGGGTGTTTTGTACGAGAAAATTATGCTGTCGTTGGCCAATTTGATGGTTATTTTGTCGATGATGTCGGTTATAATAGCGGTGGTTTCTTTAACTGCAACATAAATTTAATGTAAATACTGTATACTATACGATGTGCAAAGAGGGACACCCTGTATACTAAAAGTGCTATTGGATTCGTTGAGGGACACCCTGTATATTAAAAGTGTTAAGCGACTTATTGGATTCGTTTGAACTGTGATTGTTGGTAAATGTCGATTGTGAAGAGCGAATGAAATTGATTTTAAAAATTTGCATTTGACAGAATAAATATTGGCAAATAGTTTCGTTAATTAATTAATCACGTAAATAGGTTTTGGAAGGTCGGATGTCGAAAATTTTGAAGAATTGACAAGGTGATCGGCTTTCTCCAATTTCGTTCGATTTTGAAAACTGCACACGCAAGCAAACATAAATAATGAGTTGTATACGGGGAGTAAATAAATAGGTAAATTTTTTTCTAATGCCATTATTAAATTAACCCCGCGTTTACCCCATTTCATGATGTTTTAAACGAGTGTTTAAGCAAGTAAAATCACGGTGGAATAATTGAGCTAATTCGACAAATTGGCCTAAATATTCCACCAATATTTACAAATCAATCCTTAGAAATGTGGCAATATTGCCAATTAACTTGCGCCATTTACCCCATTTCATAATGTTATAAACAAATCTTCTGAGAAAAGTTGAAAGTAATAGAAATGTGAATTTTTGAGACTAAAAAGCAATAAAAAATCCCTTTAAACAAATAAAAACTTAGTGGAATAATAAATAATTAGACTAAATTCAACTAAATTGCTAATGCCACAAATTTTCCTAAATATTCCACCAATATTTACAAAAAAATCAATCCTTCGAAAATAGTACGATTAGCAATATTACTAATTAACTTGCGCTATTTACCCCATTTTAGTTTTTTTGTACAAGTCTTCTGAGAATGGTTGAAAGTTATAGAAATGTGTATTTTTGAGACTAAAAAGGAATAATAAATCCTTTAAACAAATAAAAACTTGGTGGAATAATTGCACTAAATTGCTAATGCCACAAAATTTTCCTAAATATTCCACCAATATTTACAACCCTTCGAAAATAGAACGATTAGCAATGTGGAAATATTACCAAATAACTTGGCTCATTTACCCCATTTTAATTTTTTCTGCACAATTCTTCTGAGAATAAAGGTTAAAAGTAATAGAAATGTGAATTTTTTGTGACTAAAAAGTATTTAAAAAAAACAAAAACTTGGCGAAATAGTTACACTAAACTGCTAATCCCACAAATTGGCCGAAATATCCCACCAACATCCACAAAAAAAAATCAACACTCCACTTCTCTTAAAAACTAAAAAAATTAAAAACAAATCCCACAAATACCTTTATTAAAGCGACTGTCGTTCCCGAAGCAATTCCTGATATTCTCCTTGTTCACTTGCTCGTACTTTTTGAACGTCGTCCTGGCCGAAACCACCGTAAAAACGACAATAATCAACACCGATTTAATGTCCATCCTTGGACGGGCGTCTTCGCACAAGTGGCCGCTTGTTTTCGTCTTTTCTAGATCACTAACCTACATAATCTTGAGGCTGGTACAAGGCTAACGATGATAGTTACTTTCGAACGGTTATTGCCGTTAATAGTAAATAGGAGAAAAAGCTTATAGACCGCGAACAGAACGCTGAGAACGCCCATAGAACGGTAGGGTTACCACTAACAACGCCGGTGTATGAGGATTTTTTTATATGCTTCCTTCAAGGACCTTTTCTGAAGGAGGGATAATGGGATATGTAAGCGAATTTCGTTGTATTTGTATTCAGCTATTTCTATCTGTTTGTATACGACTGGTGTAGTCGGGTATTTGTGCCGGTCTGTAACCTTAGAAATCATTTAAAAATTGAATAAACTCTACTTCGAAATTTGAACTATCTAATACACATACTTCAAGGATTCTTTCTTAAGAAGATGTGGGAGAAATTGGTAGAAGACTTTAGTTTTATATGTACTTAGCTATTCATATCGGTCTGTAGATGACTTTGTTGTCCTCCGCTATTCCTGTCGGTCTGTACGTTATTTTGAAGCAATTAAAAAAATTAACTAATCCTTTTCATCGAAATCCAATTAGATAAAACCGCTCCCGTTTTACCGGTATAATGAGATTTCGGACAACGGTGTGCAACTAATACTAACTCGCCTATGTCGATTTAAATTAGACACAATGAGCATCGCGTGACCGTTTGGTATTAATTTAGATGCGAAAAAAAACCTTAATGTTCATTATAATACCGCTAGTTAGAATTAAACTCATGCGATGGACGAAATAAAAATTGGCTGTTTAACCGAATAAAACTAGACCAATTCCTACGAACCATCGTAAAAAGTACCGAGCATTAAACAACGTAAAAGAGTCGAAACGAATCATTATGGTTGTTTCCGTTAGTACCGGAAAAATCTAGAGATAGCCAGCCGGACGATCTCCGGAAAATGGAGCGCAATCGAATCGGAACCGCGTCGAATTCTCGGTCAGTCGCGAACTCGAGTACCCCGGTACTGATCGCGCCGTTTCCGAAGAACCAGTCGCGATATTTCGCTCGGGATGGCCGCCATGCTTCCCGGCGCTCGTTTCGTCCTCATCGTTTCCATCGTCTGGTCGACGTCGGGACGCTCCTGCGACGCCTTGGGGAGCACCGCCGATGGATTTGGCAGAGCGCTGAAGGAGCAAGGTAAATTACACGCTGTCGAAATTTTTCTACGCGTTTTGAAACTCGCGGTTGCTGCATGTGTTATTATTTATTAATTATCGAAAATGTTTATCGAACGTTGTGATGCAAGCGGGCTGGAGAATAGAGAAGTGCAAGGCTGACGCTTGGATAAATAATTGCTGCTAATTTTTTGAAAGTACTTGTATCGAAATTAATTGATTGTTTCGCGTAATTTAACGAAAACAATTTGGTATAGGTATAATTAGTGGGCGTTATTCGAGCAGGAATTTATAGTTTACGAAACGAGCTATTTGTTAAGTGCAAAAACGAATCACCCGGTACATATTTCGATCCGTTACTTTCTTGTATTCGTCCCAAAAATTCGATCTAATTCACAACGAAACCATCGAATAATCGTCACTTTTATTTTCCGATGACCTCCTTCGAATCGAACAACACAAATTGCATTACAAACAGCATAACAAATTCGATTATGTAGGGTAAAATCTACTTTCACCTAACGCGATGTTATCCACACAGGCTCACCCGCGCCGAATACACCGGAAGCAAGCGCAGTGCAAATCATCCGGCAACCCCTGCGAATCCAAATCCAATCCAAACCCGACCAAAAATCCGGCTCGATCTCGCGCCAGCGGAAGAGAAAACGCAAAAAGGACGCCGGCTCCTTCGTGGAGCGCATCCTGCCCTTGATGGTGACGCCGTTCCTGATCTCCTCCTCCATGGTGCCCGCGATGCTGGCCTCGCTGCTGCACATGCTGGTCAAGAGCGCCCTGCTGGGCAAGATCGGGCTCGTCCTCATGTTAGTTAACATGTTCAGCTCCCGGAGGAATCCCGGCGCCGTCACCCACCACGATCTCGGCGCCGGCGCCGGCGCCGACGGCGTCGCCATGGCCCACTACGGTTGGCGCGGCGACGAGGAGTACGGCGCTTACGTCAACAGAAAGAAACGGAAATAAAACGAGCTTTAAAATTTAGTTTTATATATAGTAAACACGTTAATACATGCAAGAAAATTCATTAATAACCTAACTGACCAACGAGTTTTGCTTGTAATAACCGCCCGGTTGCGGGTAACCGTACAACCTGCTGTAAGCTTGGGTTATCCTGTCGTCGTTATCCTTCCTGTCCCAATCCTGGACGTACCTGTTCTGGTAGATAGGCAGCGGGTTTAGGTAAGGTGCGACCGGCGGTTGTTTCCTGGCTTCCTGCAGCCTCGCCAGCACCGAGCTCAAGCCGACCACCAGCAGGAGGAAGCCTATGAAGCCGTTGTTCACCGATACGACGGTGACCAGCAGCAGCATCGCGAAGGCTATGCCTAGTTTGAAGAAAACCACCGGCAGGAGTACCGCGAAGCGTTTCAGGGAGTTCCTGACGAACGTTCTACCTGTTAAAAAAGCGCAATTTTAACTAACCTTGTAGTTATTCTCCTAACTAATCTTACCTTTGTCCATTAAAGATTCGTTATCGGCTTCTGTTTGGTTGTTTTGGGCACCATCTACAGCGGTGAGTAGCGGAAACAGGGCGATGAAAACTATCAAAGCTCCGGCGGGGCTCATGGTGAATAAACTGGCGATAAATAATAAATCCACTGGTAATAACCGCTTTGATGGCGGCGTGATAATTCAATGGTGGCGATCGAAATATCGTCGGCATATTTGTATCGCGGAATTAGGATGGAAATTGGTATTCTCGAAGAGTCCGCGTCCGGCGACAATGGCTTGTATAACAGTGGTTTGTCTTTTCGTAAAAGTTGTGATGGTGCAGTTATTCGATACATAAACGGAATGCACGAAAAGCCGGCGCGTTTAATGATGATGCTGGTTGGTTTCGGGACTTGAATTTTAATTATTTTTGTATATCGCGAATCTAGGAAGTTGCTCTAATTTTGAATTTTGCTGTACATACAAGCTAGAGCGGTTATTTTTGTATGTACAAGGTTTTTAATGGGAACTGGTTTGTGTATTTTTCGTTCTTTCATTAATTCATTCAGAATTTATTCATTCTCTCATTCATTCAGCATCTGATTCATTCAATGAACGATTCAGAGGATGCCTTTATTCGATCATTCATTCATTCTTCTTCAGCACATTCATTCGTCATCAGGTTCATTTTTCATTAAATTCATTTATTACACTCATTCATTGAGTTGACTTGATTCATTGAGTCTATGCAGCTTTCCTATAGAGCGATTTTAACCGTTTCTATCGACACTTGGTTGATCATGAAACAATACCGGTACAATCGCAATCTCGATTCGTTCAGAATTCACTACAAAATACCGCAAAATTTCACCGATCGCGGATCGCTCGGACTTTCCTCGCGCTTAAAGTAAACTAGAACAAATTATTATATCTTCTACCGGACAACTAATTCGGATTAGTCGAGTGAGGTGGACGGTACGATTCGCGCTGATTTATCGCAATGGCGATCAGTTAGCGGTAGAAGAGGGTGTTAAATGGTGAATTTCGCGCTGTTGGTAACCATGGCGGTTACCGTAACCCTGGTTTCAGCCACCGCGACCCGTGGAGTGCAAGGTAAGCGAGATACAGTTGGTGCAAAACAAATATCAATGCACGTTATGTATAGTTTACTACGTTACAGTGTTGCCGAACTTTTATAGAGTTTACACAATCTAAGAATTTTTTTAAAATTGTCAAAATGACAAGAAAAAATTTAAAATTAGGGGTACTTCTTTCTAGTTTCTTAACGGCGGATGTATTCAGGGGTTCACTATAATTAATTAACAAATTCCTTTATCATCTGAAATATGTTTAACAGTGCGAGTAAAAAAATTTGTGTACAATTGACCCTTAAAAGAGTACATAGTGAAATTTCTGAGAAAATTTCTGAATCTGAATAATTTAGATCTCAAATTTTGTCATTTCTAACATGTGGTAAAGATAACTGCAAAAAATTTATATTTCTTGATTATTCGGCGGAACAGCCTTTAGTTGTTGAGGCCAGTAAATTAGAAAAAAGAAGAAAAAATTGAAAATTAAAAGTACCGATCGGATGACAACGGCAACTATGCAACTTGACAGTCAGTACCTATCAACCTACTATAAGAAAATAATAATATTCTTTTATACAAATATTGAATTTTGACAGTATACACTGTGCTTCATTTGCGATTGCAACATGGGCATTTCTATGAGTTAAACAAAGTAAGATTGCTAAAATGACATTTGTCAGAGTGAAAAGTTTCAATGACACAAATGTCACTCTTTCTGTTTCCTTCATAAGTGCCTAATTGAAGTTGTCTTTGTTGTACCCATAGTCTATGATGGAATGAAAAATGGAGCAATCTGTCCATCATCCCTTGCTAATATTAAATGAAATTCTGCAGATATTTTAATCTATTTCGTGTATTTATTTTTTAAAAGTTGCTCACAATGCTTGTCAAGTATGACGACAGTAGTGACGTGCATTGATATTTGTTTTGCGCCAACTGGATTTCTACGCGTTTCAGGTCGCAGGAAATCCGGATCGGACGCCTTCTCGAAGATATTGGCCAATTTGGCGGCGCCCTTCGTCGTGCAAATGATACTGTTGCCGTTGGTGTTGGTGTTCATGAAGCTGTCGGTGCTGAAGAGCATGCTGATCGGAAAATTGGGGATACTGATTTGGATTTATAATATCGTTTTCAACAGCAGCAACCCGCCCGGCGTGTTGCACAGCCACAGCGTTAATATCAATCGAGGGGAGCAAGCTGGATACGGGGCGCAATGGGGGAATTGATTGAGTTTTTTTAGGGTAAATATTGTTGTGAATTCTAGTCAGTGAGGAAAGTATAGGAGGTTTAATAAAGGTGACTAAATTTTGATGTTTGGGACAACCTGTATGTATACGAGGGGTTGAAGAAATGTTGGGGAAATTACTGAAAAATTGGTCACCTTATTTTTAAAATGTACCTACAAATTATATCTCATTAATTGTACGTTTTTCTTCATCAAATAAAACACAAATAAACATTAAAAAACAATATACATTTATTTCAACTATAATTTTACATAAATAATTCTCGTCGAGTAGAAAAAAAATCACAATTTTTTTGGTAGACAAGCGCGGGAAAAGGAAAATCTAACTGCAAAAGTGCTCGTCGACGATTTCCGAGCAACTGTCGCACTTCACTTCGCAGCACCAAGAAAATTTACAGTTACACCGTCTGGTCACCTTTTTCTGCGTCCTCTTCACGCCGTGTCCGCATTTCTTGCACAAATTCCTGCAGCTATTCTTCTCCATTTTCGTCGCGTTCGACCGGTTCCTAGAGCACATGCGACCTCTGGTGCCCACGTAGCCTGAAAACCGAAAAAAAAACACACCCGTTGCAATTTTCTATTTCACGAATATACCGATTAAATTACGAGAGTTGGTAATACTGATTTATTCATTATTAGTGAGTTGGTAACACTTAAATAACTTACCGTCCGAATAATTCGCGAGGCAATAATCGGGCGATCGTTCCAAATAAATCAGCTTGTTCTGCGTTCCGGGTATTTCCTTCAGCTCGACGAAGTCCCCCCTGGCGGAGTTGCCCATCACTATCGAAGTTTCCACGGCTTTGTAGGTGACGCGCACGGCTTTCCGGTGCATTTCCTTCAATTTCGTGGAGATCTTCTCGAACGGGGCCGCCTGCAACCAGCAGGTTTGCGTCGTGCAACTGCCCGATACGCCGTGACACCTGCACTTTTTCACCATCGATTTCTGCACCAGCTGCAATTAGAACTCGATTAGTTCCATAAATGACCGCCCTGTATATGTTACCTTGATGCCCACTTGGGCGTTGTGCCTGTTGACGTACGCTTGGGCGTCGAATCCGGTTTCGAGGGAATCCATCAGGGTCTTGGTGACGCCCGATGCGAATTCGGTGCTGTCCGAGCAACCGCCCCAGGACCAAGTGGAGTTTGAGGTACCGTTCGGCAGGTTCCCGTAGGTACCGGTGGGGTTGTTGGGGGTTGTTTGGCAACGACAACCCTCTATGAGCCCCACGGAGCAGTTGCGGGTTATGGCGTAGGTTATACCGGCAGAGGTTATGGCTTTTGCGAAGGCTGTTTCTTTCGTTGGGTTGGATTTCTGTTGTCTGTTATAAGTAGGCGTTGGGTTATATACAGGGTGTCCCAAAATATGTGGATATTTAAAATAAATTGCTCCACACAAGTTAAGGAAGTTCGCAAATTTTGCGATTATTTTAAAAGTTACAGACTTTTTGGGCACCAAATTTTCAAATATGCGAAATTAAATGTTTTCTCTCATATCTGAGTGGATTTTTTACCCTACCTCTACAACTCATACTAAATTTGACGATCATAAAACCTGCAACTATTAAATATTTGTGAACTTTCTTAACTTTTGTGGAGCAGTATATTTCTAATAAAGTATTTCTAACCTGTTAAATGTGGATTTTGGGCAGTTCCATCTGCTCCATTGGAACAAGTTTTGGCACTGTTGTATAGCAATTTGTGTACCACCGGCGATGCTCTCCATTAAATCAGAATTTGTATCTTTCTAAACGAATTAACAACAATATTAACAACTTATTAGTGTCATCAAAATCGATTTTTTTACATACCATAATCGCTACATCTGGGTTAAATTTGAAACCACTAGAACTCGCGAACAATTTACTCAAAAAAATCAGGAACAAAACCAACATGATTATTCACCGCTGGCGCTACGGTGGTTGAATGGCGGCGCAAGCGAAGCGAATCGCGTGGACAAATAGGCGTTTATGAATGGGGGCGCAAAACACCTAAATTTACGGATCCGTTTTAGGGGTACAATAAATTTACAAATTCCCTAATTTGGTGAATGGGCCGGGCCATTGTTCGGCTCTCGGCGGGGTCGTAAACGGGAATCGAGCCGGTAGTTCCGCACCCCCCACGGTTTCGACGAAATTATAAAATCCATCGCAAACAAACAAATCCCCTTTCTTCGATTCTGTATTATGATAAATAAATGCACTAAGTATTGTGTAATTCGTATGTATATAATACTAATTTACCTGTTTTATTGCACTTTCTTAAATTTATTTTTGGTTTCGCTTGTGTTCTAAATACCTTGTTTTATGCGGTGAATTATATTGTTATTTCGATAGGTAATAGAGCGCAATAAAATATTTAAATTTCCCACGCTTTTTTGTAGGTAAAGTATTTCTCGGAAATTTTACCTTTACCGACAACTCATTTTTTTATTATCTCCTTCTTTAAAAAATATTCCCATTACCAGTTTTTCACGAAGGGTGCATTTCGCTTTTTATACAAGGCGATTTAAAATATATTACAAAATAAATTTACTGAAAATTATATTTATCGTTATCTATAAGATTTTTATCGCTGCTGGTCGCGCATCGATTCGTCTCTCGCACGTTCTGTTTGAATTGCGCCAGGAATTTCAACTCTTTCTTGAACTCCTCCTTGAACGGGACCTTCTCGCGTTTCGTGCGCCGGTAAATGTGGTAGGTGAATTCCGCCAGCGAGCCGAACACCCCCAGAATCGACCCCACGAACAGCACCAGGAAAACCCCCCCGACGTTCTGCAGATCCAGGGCCGTCGCTTCGCTATTTTCCGCCTTGGCCTTTCCACAAAAAAAAAACCAATTAATTCGTCGTAGAATAAGTATAGTGTAAGACACTTACGGAGCATTTACCACCACCTCGCTTCTCCTTCCACCATTTAATCTTCCGAGATGTGAGAACTCCTTTCTCCTGCAGCTGGAGTATGGCCGTACTGATGTCGTTTCTGTAGGGGGAAACTGCAAGAAAAAAACCCTCTATACTTCTGCAAATTACAAGAATCCTTCTTAGTTACATTTTTTCATGGCGATTCCGTATCCTTTATCGTCCAGCAACCCTCCCACCTGGGCCAACGTGCAGTGCCTCTCAATCACGTACTCTATGGTGGTGGACTCCATCAAGAAGGCGTAGTTCTCGTTCTGCACCTTCTTCACCGCCTGATCGTTGTCGTCGAGCATCAGCTCCGGATGGTGCACCATGTAGCTCCAAATCTTCTTGTATTTGGTCAAATTCGAGTCCTGCAAACTCGACGAATTATTATCGATTTTACCCCGTTTACCGTGGCTGTTACCCTGAAATAATTCGCCGTGGCCCCCTTGTTCTTCGCCCCGAATTCGATCTCCTTCTGCTCGGCCAGCTCGTCGATGTCCTTGAACGGCGCCACCAGCGTCGTGACGGTGAGAAAGGCGGCCAAATTCGCCGTGTACGATGACACCATCGTCAGAATGAAAAACCACCAGAAACCCGACACCGTTCGAGTCGATATCGAGCTGAAATTCGACAATAGAGCAATCAGGAGAACGATGTGTGAAAAATAACGGTTATTTTGTAACGGTCGTTACTGCACCTCTATACCAAAAAATTCCTTCTCACCTCTATAATTCTGTCATACGAAATGTCGTTAATGTCAATTTTGATTTTGGATTGTTCTTCGTTTATATCATATGTCATCGAATGCATCAGAGTCATATTTATTCGCGTATAATGCGAGAAAATAGACACCCGACACCGTTCGAGTCGATATATCGAGCTACAATTCGGGAGTAGAGTATCAGGAGAACGATATGTGAAAAATAACGCTTATTTTGTAACAGTCGTTACTGCACCTCTATACCAAAAAATCGATGCACCTCTATTAAACTTCTGTCATACGAAATGTCATTAATGTCAATTTTGATTGTTCTTCGTTTAAATCATAATATTAAAGTCCCATTTATTCGCGTACAATGCGAAAAAAAAAGTAGTAAAGTGCCTATAAAGTATAGCAAGGTGTGGAATTGCCAAATGGTACGTTACAAATTCCCAATTTAATAAATAGATTTAATTACATGGGTGCTAGTTCGGAGCCTTGCTGCATGAGGGCGCCGATGGTGAACCAGAAGCTGTTCCTGATCGAGAACTGGTTGATCAGATGCTGGGGTTCCTCGATGCAGGGGTAGGGGTTCTGCCATTCGCTGGGCGACAGCCGGCCCATGATGAATATGGCTATGGAGACGATCAGGTAGGACACGCACAGCATGAACCACACGGTGAAGGAGAACGGCGAGACGAACATGAACAAACTGGGCGGTACCGGTTCGGGTTTCCTATATAAAATGCTGATACCTGCCGAATGCGAATCGTTAGCAGGAGGATTTCAATGGAGAGAACTCACCCAAGTTCATGAAGGGCTCGGAGAAGTCCACGGCGCTTTCCCGTTCGGACGTTATCGTTAAATCCGTGATCGCCAAATCGGCTTTCTTCAAACAAATATAACGCGAAATAAACCAGGTGATCAACTAAAAATTAATCCAAACTATACCCCGTCTATAATAGCACCCATCATTCCGTCCCATTTCCCCGTGGTCTTGTTCATCACACCATAGGACCCATCCTCCTGCTCTATTAGAGTGTAGTTGAAGCCCAGAAGCCTCGACAACTCGTCGATGACGTCGATGCCGAAGCCTTCGTACCGCTCGTTACCGGCCAGCTTCTCCGTGGTCTCTTTGAGCATTTGGTAGGGAGGATTCTGCAACGTTACACCCACCTGTCGCTTACTCTACTTCCTCTACGACTGCTACTTACAATGCTAATGAGTACGGTGAGGGTGGTGTTGAAAACGTCCGCTCGATCTTCGGGTTTGGATTGCTTCTGGGGCCTTTGGAAGCGGAGCTTCCTCGCCGTGGAATTCCATTCGGCGATCTTGATCAACCCGCCCAAGGAGAGCTCCAGCACGTCCACCGCGAAGTTCGTACGGAAGCCTTTCACGTCGAATTCGACGTCGCCCGTTAACCCCCGGATGCGCGTCTGCAAGACCAACGTTTCGGTTCGTTAATCCGTCATCAGCGATTTACGGTTAATGGTTATTGGGAATTTTATGGGCCGTAAAATCGATCGTAAAAATGAAAACATAATACCAACGGATTTCATCAGATTGATTATGGAGTATCCGTCGTTCCAGGCGGTGGGGCCGTCGCAGTCGATGCGACGGCTTCGGATTTTCTTCTTCCCGTCGACGGTGAGGTTGCGCAGGGTTTCGTGGAACAATTCCACGGCGTCGAAGAGCAGGACGGTTTCCAATTTGGTTTTCCAAGATTCCAACAGCACCGGCAGATCGGAGCCGGGAGCGTTCTGTTTTTGCAAACTCTCCGCCATCTCCATGATTTCGATTTGCTCCGGGTCCAACATGCGCACCTGAAATAGATCATTAAATTGGTCTGGGTGTTCTAAAAAAGCGTGCATTTTCGCAGGGAATTTTAACCCGTTTTCTTACTATAAAAACGAGAATTTCCTTACTGCTGTAATGTTGGTACCGGCGTACTGGAAAGCCGTCAGGTCTAAGGTTTGTGCGTTCAAATCGGTGATAATGTAACTGTACGATTCGGTCATCATGCCGACTTGTTGCAATTGCTTGAGAACTTCCTCGAGAACGTCAACGGAACAGGCCAGTACGAAGTTCGTTTCTCCCAAAGACTTCACCTCGCTGAGGAACGCCCTGTAGTTTCCCTTATCGACCGATTCGAGCTTCCTTAAAACTACTTTTCTACCTTCAAACAAACCACAATCCATCAAAAACATTCACATTAAACGTATCACCAAAAGCACCACCTTTGCGATTATTGAACTCCAACAGCGACCCGAGTTCCAACAAGCTCCTCTGGCCCTCGTAGAGCACCACCAGCCTGCGCCACTCGAACGCCCGCACCAGGTCCTTGAAGAGCCTGGCGAGGACGCCGGGGTGCGGGTGCACGTTCACCAGCGACTCGTTCCGTTCGGCGGCGAAGTCGGCGCGCGTCTCCACGTGGGGGATCTCCTTGGCGTCGCAGATGGCCTGCACGTAGGGCGAGGAGTGCGCGGAGCTCGGCCCGAAGAGGCCCACGATGCCGGTGCGCAGGAAATCGCAGGCGGTTTTGTAGGTTTCCAGGACGTCCGTGGGTGGCACTAAGACGGTGAGGGGTACCAGTTCGACGCCGGATTCGGGGTGCTTGCGGTTGATTTCGCTGGTGGATATTTTGAAGGCTGCTTCCTGGATTTCGTCGCTGAATATGCCGCCTGGAAAGTGGGAGATTTAGGGATTTTTGGTAGGTCTGGAAACGTTGCATTTTGTGTTTTGATTTTGCTACTTGCAATCGAAATTTTCTATTAACTGCACGTTATAATATAAACTATTCATCATACGAAATGAAATCGAATAAAATATAAATCACTGTCACTGGTTTTCGCATTAAATTTTCTCATTTTTCGCTCACCGATATTGAACTTTTCCCTGTTGGCACAGCGCGTAACGGAAACATCTCCGGCTAACCAGAACACCAAGACCACCTTCGAGATCATGGTTGCGATTTTCCGGCCATTTTTCATCGGGAAAATCGAATGTAACTAACTAATCGAACAAAAACGGGCGTGCGACGGCGATAAATTCATTGAACTTGCTGCATGTATATTTTTAGAAGTTGTAACACACGCGAATAGCGCTTCCTCTTGGCGACTTTTTTTATACCAGCACATTATATTGGTCGTTGCGAAATGAAACTCAGAGACACATAAACATTTTCCGTGCCAAAAAGCTTGTGTTCGGAAAACCGCATGTTTGTACAATAACAATAGAAAACTTTGTGGAAACTGGTGCCAGTATTAAGAAATTATTTTTAAAACATGATAATAATTACTTTTCGTTTACTTATATTGGAGGTTTTGAATAATACGAGCGCTTTATTAGTGTGTAATGATGGTTACATAACTACCAGGATAAAACTACCTACAAGAACTGTCACCTATTTCTCGTTAAGTAAGAGGCCACATTTTGATACCTCCCTTAATCATTAACGAAATCCAAGAAATTCTTCACAACTCTATAATCAAATTAATTAATAAACTATGCCTACAAAATTAATAACATTCCTAAACAATTAAATAGTAGGAATTATGCTCAGTAGGCACAAACGCAAACGTCAAATGTCACTGTAAATGACAGGTTAGGGTGGGTTCGGGATTTCGATCAAATCAAATTGTAAAATCCAAAACATGTAAAATGGCTTCCGATTTAACATTCGCTTTATAATCGGAATTAAATGAGTTAGAAGTGTGCCGATTTAAATGCTTTGAATTAAATCGCTGGAAAATCGCGATCGGGCCGTCGAGTGATCGCGAAACATATGCGCGAATGCGGATGGTTTTTCTTTAACGGAACCCTTCAATTAAGGGGTTTTTAATTAGAATCAATAAAGAAACTATGGTCTTTCGAAGGAAGCGAGTCTAGCTGGTAGGAAGATTACGCGAAGAATCGCTCATCGAATGCAAAACGAGCGGCAGTAAATGTGCGATAATACACCATAACCTCGAATAAAATGTAAACAATATTTCCGCGATACACGCTGGTACTGTACGATGAGGCATCTGGAGAAGAAACTTACAATGGACTCGTCGGACTCTCACGCTCTACACAACCTCGACGTTCTGCCGGACATTAAACTGGAATTCTCCAAATTCGAGCTCGACGATAATCTCATAAAAACCAACTTCCTAAGGTAACGCTCCTCGATTAATAGCAAACATCCAACTTAAAGTACTCTTTTTGTAGCGATGAAGACAGCTCGAGCGAGGCCAACTTGGTGTTCGATCTCAACAATGAAAGCGACAGCTCGGAGGAGCTGGACGCTCTCAGCAAAACGGTGCGGAAAAACCGAAGGAAAGCCTCGGCTCCCCAACGAGCGGTGCAAATCGAAAACTGCCAATCCGGCTCTATGGAGAACAGTTCCGAGTCCTCCCAGGACAACACCGACAACCTAACCTTCACCAACATCCAGAATTTAAGCTTGAAATTGAAGGAAGATTCCCTGCTGGATTTCGCAGAAACCGACGAGCTCTGCGACGATTTACTGCAGAATATCACCGAGGAGGACATTTTCAAGGATCTACAAGAGGAAGCTGGTTCGTGGTGTTTGTTATAGAGCAAACCAACGACTAATTACAATTTTCCAGGTGGTGAAACTATCGATGATGAAATGATAGTTAACGCGAAGGAAGAATGGCGGGTCCATTGGGGCGTGAAATGCAACATGTGCGAACAGGTCTTCCCGTTCAAAACCGAATTCGACAAACACTACATATCGAACTACAAACTGATACCGGTCTACACGTGCACGTTTTGCAACAAATCCGCCGAGAAGTATTCGACTTTTCGATCGCATTGTTACCGTCACATCACCGAGGGTCGTTACAAGTAAGCCTAGTTTTATGATTTTACGATTATTTGTGATTTATGATTGTTTAAGGTGCCAATATTGCCCGAAAGGCTTCAGCCTGCAGTCGATGTTGCACGTGCACATTTTGGCGAAGCACACCAAAGTGAAGCCGTACAAATGCGAAGAGTGCGGCAAGAGTTTCGTGACCAAACCCGGGCTGAAGATACACATCAAGAAGCACAAGACTGAGACCAAGGAGGATTATCCGTGCGTCGAGTGCGGGAAAGTGTACGTTTCTGAACTGATTCCTACACTTTGCGAAGTAGTTTAACGCGAGTAATGCTTTCAGGTTGCACACCAGAGGCGGCTTGACGTCCCACATGAACGTCCACAGGCTGGGCCGACGGTTCATGTGCGACGTGTGCGGGAAAACCTTCACGCAAAAGGTCAACATGCAGCAGCACGTCAAACAGCACACCGGAGACAAGCCGCACTGTTGCAATAAATGCGGTAAAACGTACGAGCGAGATAACTTCCGTCTTATTTCGAAGTATTTACGGGTTGGTTTGTTGCAGATTCGCCGAGAAATCGCACTTGGTCAGACACTACAGTTTTCACAGCAACATCAGACCGTTCAAATGCGACGTATGCCAAAAAATGTACAAGACCGAGAGGTGCCTGAAGGTGCACAGTTTAGTCCACGCGGCCGCCAGGCCGTTTGTGTGCGGCTACTGCAGCAAGGGATTCTTGAGCAGCACGAAACTTAAAGTACGTCGAACTATCTCACAACGCCAGTAACATAAATGGCCTCTTATGGTGGCTGTACACGATGCTAGACACCTAGAACTCGAATGCTATATTGGTGCTCGTCACGAGTACGTGTACAGCCAGCGTTTAGATAGCCTGTTTGTAGACTTATGCAATGCGTGTTGCCTAAACTTTAGGGCGAGTATATCACATTAGTTCTGTTTGTTTTTTAGCAACATTACAATATACACACGGGGGAGCGACCGTACAAATGCAAATATTGTGAACGGACGTTCACGAACTACCCGAATTGGTTGAAGCACACGCGCAGGAGGCACAAGGTGGACCATAAGACGGGCGAAGAGCTGCCGCCGAAGGAGGGGGCGCCGAAGGAGGAGCCGCCTCAAACCCCCTCGTCGGCTGTCGGTAACGCTTTACCGGGCGCTTCCACCGAAACCGTGGAATTGAATTTAACGGATGCTGCTGTGGAACCACAGCAGGATTTGGCTGAGAATTTGCTTTCGGTGGTGACACCGCAGGTAACTAGTCGATGTTATATGATAGATAGAAGGAATTAATTGTTGTGATTTTTAGATTATTCCGATTACATCAGTGGATAATCCGGGCGACATGGGGCCGGTTATATCGGACGCGAGTTTCAACAGGGCCGAAGAGATGTTGCTGCAGCAGGGTTTGTTCAATTTCCCTCTACTAGACGATAAAGTGTTGTTCGGACAACCGATAGACTTCCTCAATAGTAAGTAGCAAAGTTCGTTTGCGTTTCGTTCTAAAAGTAAGATATTTACAGCGAATTCCAATGCTTCCGTGGGTCTGTTGGTGCCGTACTTCCAAGCGCCCTTGTCGAATCATCAAACGATACTGCAGCATACGACTCAGGCGATTCTGCCCGTCCAGTTGAACGATCCGAGTATTTATCAATAAGTTAAGTAGCGTAAATTTTCTGGATTATCTTTAGTACTGTCAGTATTAGCTTTAATAACGGTTAAAGTCGGATAAGGATAAGGTGATTAGAATTTGTTGTTTGCGGCTCTCGAGTTGTGTGAAGTATTTGTAATTTCTTAGTCACCTTAAGTTCGGTACTGTTTTTTACCCGTAGTATGTATGTGTTACAGAGATAAATGTTCAAATATGGGGGTTTAAAGATGGCCATTTGCACCGTTTTGGCAGGGAATTTTTGCCCGTCAGGGTTGCTGTAATGTTTTTTTTTTCACGAAAAAATTTGTCAAGTAATTTAAAAATAACGAATTAGGTGCAAGGTGCAATAAAATCAAACAAATGGTACAATTATTTATTACGCCCGGTGCACATATACCATCTCTGATGAATTTTAAACTCTGCGAGTGAAGTGTTTTTTAATGTATATTATATTTTTGTAACTCTCAGACCAATCATACAAAAAAATGAGTCAATTGATGTTTTGTATATAGATAACGTGGTTTGTTCCCTTTGTACATACGCGTATATTTGTAATGTGAATCCATAAAATTTTTTCATTAAACATTCCTTTTTATCAGCTTCCTACTTTCGACTAGATTACCAACCTTTATCAACTATTAACAAAAAAACTAACATGTGAACGTGGCTATAAATTTGACGTAAATGACATATGTCAAAAAAATATTTACACGAAAAATGCTCTTTTAAAAAGTGCTCCAAATTCACTGAAACTGAAACACATCGATCATGTTCTATTTACCTAAGGCGTTTAAAATTATCTGTGAAAATGCCGGACAACACGTAACTAATTTAAGTTCAACAGCCAACAGCAACCATGTAAAAGTGACCGTCGTCGGAGCCGCAGGTATTTGTATTTGACTAGTAAATTAATCCGTTACTTTTCTAACGCTTAAATATCAGGTAAAATTGGAAGAGCTCTAGCGCTCATGCTAAAGCAATCCATTCTAATAGACGAACTGAGCCTGTACGACTTAAAAAACACAGCAGGCATAGCAGCTGAATTGAATTGCATTGATACCACTTGCAAAGTTACCGGTTTATGGGGGAGAAACCGTCTCGAAGACGCTCTAAAGGTAAGTTCTCCTTTGTAATTATGTAACACGGAGTAACGTTTATTTATTTATTAAAGGACTCGAATTTAGTTGTATCGTTGGCATCGTCCCACAAAGAAGTCAGTTCCTCCAGCAACTGGTACCCTAACGCGAAAATAATCGATGAAATAGTCGATAAAATGCGCTTGTGCGCACCAACGGTACGTATAGGGATTTTTTTCGAGAGATTGGCATTAGGTTGGTAACACTGATGCGATGTAAGCGAATTTAAAAATTCGAAATCGGGTTACCTTTGAATTGAAGATGGCCGCCAATATTTGGTTTCATTAAAGCTTGTATAAATGTTTAAGGCCTGGCTGGCGATCGGTACAAGTCCTATCAACAGTACCGTACCATTGGCGTGCAGATTATTAAAAAAGAAAGGAATATATAATCCGAACGGCGTGTTCGGCGTAACAACTTTAGACATTGTCAGAGCGAATACGTTCGCCGCTCAAGTACTGAACGTCGATCCGGAATCCATACTAGTACCGGTAATCGGTGGGGCTAGTAAAAAAACCGCGGTACCGATCCTCAGCCACATGAAACCGGCTTTTTATATACCCGATGTGAGTATTAAAATAATTTGTTAATCAAGTAGCTTTCTTACGTCAATTTCGACAAGTGACAAGCAGCTTTGAAACTCGTAGCTAACTTCGTTGTAAACCAAAAAAAAATGTTTCCGTTTAGGACGAAGCGAAAAAAATAGCGACGGACGTGCAGTGCGCCCGGGACGCGCTCCAATCGAGCGAGACGCCGCTGGCGAGCGCTTTCGCCTTCGCCCGCTTCATCGTATCGCTGGCGAAGGCGCTGAAGGGCTACAAGAACGTGGTCGAAACGGCCTACGTCCCTTCGGACGAGCACCCCGACGTGGAGTACCTGGCGACGCCGCTGTTGCTGAAGGAGGACGGCGTCGCCAAGAACCTGGGGGTGCCCGAATTGACGGAGGCCGAGTACGAGATGCTGGATAGCGCGGTGGACCAATTGGATAGGGACGTTCGGGCCGGCGAGAAGATGGCGCGCGCGATGTAAAGCAGGGAGGTTCAATGAAATTTTTGTAAGTAATAAATAAATATGTATATTATCAAACATTGCTACAGATATTTACATACATACATACATAAACGTTAAATGGCACATCTATATTTCTATGATAGTGCGAAGATGGTTCTTCGAAAAAAAAAATAAAAGTAACTATTTGTTTTTTTTTATATAATATTTACAATTTGAGATAATATTCACAGCCTCGAACACAATTCTGACTTTAAAATCTTGATGAATAACAATCATTATCGTCCTTAAGCTGTACACAATCACGCTGCTTTTATTATCTTTCTTTTTATTTTTTATTTTACGATAGGTTGTATTACGAAAAACGTGTGAAATTGAAAGTTCATTACGTTTAAGTAGAGAGGCTCACATTATTAGCACAAGATGTAGGTGAATTTTTTTTTCTGTTCTACAAACTATCGTAAAATTTGTTATAAAAAAATTACTACTGCAGCTGTAATAATATTACGCAATACAAAAATAATCACATTCATAGTTTGGATAAATTTTACACATTTCTAAATGGTAACATCCATATAAAGTTTGAATTCATCGATGAAGACATGCTTGAATTTGGGAAAAATCGATTTTACATGTCTTCAGAAGATCAAAGAACATTTTTTCAGCATAATAATAATGCATATATTACTGAAAAAAATTCCACGCGAGTGTTTTTTTTACAGACAATTACATTACAACGAATTTTTTACGACCATTTGGTCAAATAAAAATTGACCTAAACTTGTACAAAATATTGTAAAATTAGAAAATGAACTGTTCAACAGCAAACATTTAATTCTTTATATTTTTTACCTAAATATCTAGTTTATTTATATTCAATATTGCACTTAAATCGATATGCTTATCCTGCGGAACGTAAAAACGCAAAATCAAAGAAGTTAAAATATACATTCAAATTGCAACTCAACAATACTATAAATTAATTACAAACGGAAATCGATCACAATTATAAATGCACTTTCGAAACGAATCGAGGCGTTCATTCCATTTTGCTATTTTTTTTTCTATTAATTCAATCGACGTGCGGACGATGGAAAACCGGTAACTAAAAATTTTATCAAGTCAAATTTCATTTGTTATCGAACGTTTTACGTCTGACGAAAAGCCTTTTTAAATAAATTAAAATAAATCCAACAATACTTAGGTACTCGAATTACACCTATTATTTTAATCAATACTATTAACAAACAAAATTTGATCATAAAATCGATATTCGGTGTGTGTCTCTTACGCTACGAGTAACTTTTAGGGAACTATTACTATTAAAATACGAACACCGATTTTAATTAAAAAGAGATCGCGGCAAATCTAATAATTCCTCCGACAAACGAGGCGAACTTAAAAGGAACACTACGCTCGTTTTACATCCACAAAATTGACAAGATTTTCAACTATTTACAAAAAAAATATCACTGGTCGAGAAAAACTCCTATACTATACTTTCCTTTTCCACTTGCAAATTGTTGTATTCGTTCAGATTCCCCTTCCGCAACGACGTGCTGCTAGACTTGAACCCGTTGCCGCTGAACAGGCTCACCAGCCAGCTTTTCAGGGCGCTCTTCGACACCGATTTCTTGCTCGGCACGTCCGATAATTGCCCGCAAGACGTCGAAACCGCCTCCAGGGATCTCCATCTACGAGAAAACCAATCACCAAACATCACTTGGTGGTTTTAAAGTCGACTTACTTTTTGGAAAACTCGCTCTCGGGCAAATCGTCCACGGCGCTGCCGCCGCGCCTTCTAATATTACCCACGTTGTGCGAGAGGGCGCTCAACAGCGGCGCCTGCACGTCCTCCACGTAGTGGTGGATGTTGTCCTGCGGGAACGCCATGAGATTGCCGTTGGCGAAATTGTTGTTCGTCATCTTGTCCTCGGGCAGCGCGATTATCTGGATCTCGCCGCACTTGTCGCAGCTCTCCAGCGACCTGGTCGACTTGCGGCCGCCGTTGAGGAACTTCTCCATCAGCTCCGACGGCTTGTTGCCTTTGAAGAACGGCAGCGGGTCCAGCGATTTGGATTCGCGGATTTTGTTCAGCATACCCTTTGGGGACAGATTAAACGGATTGTTCGCTTCGAGGTTACGGTGGGTTAGTTACCTGGCTCTTTTGGTGCTCGTCGCAGCTGGACGCTATGCTGGATAGCATCCGGCGGGTGCGGGGTTTGCGATGGTCCTCGGACACCTCGATCAGCTGGCTACCGAAGGCTGTGTTGATGGTCAGTTTGGATCCAACGCTGTCTGGAACAGTCAACGTGTTGCGCGTTAGACGCTGATTTTGCGCCGGTACCGGTGAATTCTGTATAGTCGACGTACTTTCCACTTCTACGCTCGTACCTGACGGGACAATTTCCACAAGGTAATGGTTTGTGTCTGATTTTTTTCGGTAGAATAATCACACATTTAGTACCTCGAAGGTTCTAAATGTAGAATGCAAGAACACTTTGTATACACGTAGAGAACTTTTTACACATATCATGCAAATATACACAAGTACAATTTGAACGGAAATAACTAAACCATCACCAAATGAAAATAAAAGTACGAATAGTAGCGTAAAGTAAGTAAACTATTGTGAAGACATTCATGCAAATAAACTAAGTCGAGCGTTGTGGAATTAAAGCAAACATAGAACCTCTCACCTCTCGGCACGCTCGAATGCCGCCTGCTGTACATCCCGAAGCCCGTCACCGAGGCGTTCCTCGACTCCGACGTCAACTTGGGGCTCCTCCTCGGCCGGCAGAACAGCGGCGGCAGCTCCCCCAAGTCGACCTCCCTCCTCTGGATGGCCTGCTCGGTGGCGCCCTGCAACCAGTACGTCATCACCTCGCCCTTGCCCTTCAACGTCACGACGCCGCGCTCCTCGACGATGTAGCCGCCGAGCGCGTCCAGGGCGTCCTTGCACTGCTGGCTGATGTGGATCTTGAGCGGCTCGCCGTTGCTCTCCATGCGCGAGGCCGTGTTGACGGTGTCGCCGAACAGGCAGTAGCGCGGCATCGTCAGGCCCACGACGCCGGCGACGACGGGACCTGGATCGAAACGATTTGAAACTCGCGAAGTTATCTACGAGTGGAGATGTAGCTTACCTGTGTGGACGCCGATTCGTAATTTCAACGCTTCGTTGGGTCGGTGCGACACCGAGTGGTTTTTAACGGCGTTGAGGAGGTCGAGAGACATCGAAGCGATTTCGCCGGCGTGTTTGATGTTGTTTCTGATGGGCAAACCCGATACCTGAGCGAGTTAAAAGCGATATAACAACGTAGTAAAGTGGCGAGTGGTAGTACTTACCACCATGTAAGCATCCCCGATGGTTTCCACCTTGTACACGTCGTAGCCTTTGATGATGCTGTCGAAGACGGTGTAGAGGTCGTTGAGGAAGTTGACCACTTGCAATGGAGTGCTTTCGGCCGACATGGCGGTGAAGCCGACGATGTCGCTGAAGTAGATGGTCACTTGGTCGAAGGATTCCGGTTCCACTCCCATGCCTTTGGTGAGTTTCTCGGCGACGGGTCTGCGGAAGCGATCGGTAACGAGAGAATTACGCGGACAATCGTTTACTCACTTAGGTAACATTCTGTGTAGCAAATCTTCGGTTTTTTGTTTCTCCACTTCCAATAGCCTCGTTCGTTCGGTCACCAGTTCTTCCAAATTATTGGCGTATTTAACCATCATGTCCATCATTTGATCCATAATATTCTTGTTTCTGGAAACGATCGGTATAATAAAATTCCATAAATAAATGAATAATAATAAATATATCTCGTCGCGTATTATATATCGTACAAATTGGTTGTTACATATTAAAGAGACGACGTTAAAAAAAAAAGGTAGGTATAGTGCAAAACGAAAAACGACTAACTTTCCGTCCTTCATCCGCTTCAATCTCGTCCGCACGGCGACGAAGTCGGGCCGCTCGTCCGGATTCTCCGACCAGCAGTCTTTCATGCATTGCAAAACGTATTCATCACAGCCAATTTCGGAATCGTACAGCGCGTCGATGTCGGGCCGGAACGGATCGGCCTGTCCGTCCTTCTTCACGCATTCGATTATATCTGTCGGCAAAAAAATAAAACAAACTCCGAATTGCGATGGCCGCAAATCGCCCTACCTTTCGGCTCGTATTTGGTGACGCCGAACGGACCTCTCCTGCCCAGCACCTCGTACAAGATGATGGCGAAGCTGTACACGTCCGCCTTTTGCGTGCCTCGCTTGTACGCCGCCGGGTGGCGCAGAATCTCCGGCGCTTTCCACAACATACCTGCAAATAGAGACACCCGTGGAGTAACTCCAGATAGGATGCATCGAATTGTTTACTTGTATAATACTGGTATTCTCCTATACTGTCGTTCTCCGCGCATTGCCTCATCTCTGCCAAGCCGAAATCTGTTACTTGTAGTACCCATCTGCTGGTCACCACGCAATTCGAAGACTTCAAATTCCCATGGCACATCAACATGGAATTGTGGATGTATAACATGCCCTAATAAAAAGCGTTATAATTCCAATTGAACATCTGTATAGAGGTTACCTTAATGAGATCATGAACTAACGAAGCTACGAACATCTTATCCAGCTTAATATCCTCGTTCTCCACTATATCCTGCGAATAAAATCGAATTTATTAACTTTTGGTTTAAAGATTTATCTCCGGGCTTACGTATAAGCTCCCTTTGGCACAATAATCGGTGACCAGCAGTATGGAGGTGGGCTGTACGCACGCGCCGATGAACGAATTGACGTTGTCGTGGCGCAGCTCGCGCAACAGCCGCATCTCCTTCATCACGTCGCGCGAAATGTCCTTCTTGCGCGAGAAGTTCAGCTCTTTGATGCGCACCACGACGCCCCTGTACTGCGCCGTCGTCGCGAACACCTGCAGGCCGCCCCGCGACTCGTACGACGTCACGCTGGCGCTCACCAAGCTCAACTGAAAACCACCCCGTCCAGGTGAAGATCGCCGACGGCGAGCGAAACTTCCGGTACTCACCTTACTGGGACTGGCGACGACGTCGCCTTTGTCGAAGTAATTGTGGATTTCCTCGCGGTTGATCTTCCACAGCAGGCCCTCGATCTCCTGCTCGATCTTCCACTTCCTGTAGATGCTCATGGTGATGACGCCGAAGCAGAAGAGCATGATGGCGAGCACGCCGGCGGCGATGATGCTGTTCAGCTGGGTGTTGGGCTTGGGGCAGAGCTCGTTGTCGAAGCCGCAGCTCGGCTGGTCCTTGGGCCGGTTGTTGCCGTCCGGCCAGTAGATCTGGGTGTTGCTGTTCAACTCGTAGCGCTGCGAGCGTGCGGGGGGTGTTTAGCGATGGGGTCGAGGATAATAAGGGTTCGCGCTGGCTTACCGGGAACGAGTTGTTGAGGTCCGACGATTGGTAGAATTGGCCGACCGGTCGCAATTGGTAGTCGCACGTGAAGTTGTCTCTGACTATCTTGTTCTTCGGCAGCGAGAACGCTACCACCGAGTAGTTGCCTTCGGAGTCGCCGTTCTTGTCCAGGTTCATCATAGCGCCGGTTATACCTTGAATTACAATTGACTACATCGCGACGACTATTGACGAAACTAGAGGAAACGTACTTTTGTAAGTGCCGTTGATTTCTATGATGGTTTCGATGATTTTGGTGCCGTTCTTGGCGACCTCTCGTATGACGGTGTCGTTCAAAACCGGCTCTTGGTTGAGTAGATGATGCAAAGCGGAAGCGTACAATTTCACCGAATCGAACAGATACGCCGCGTAGATCGTGATGAACTGCAAAGGAACACGCGAGACAATTAACAGTGCAATCGAAGCGCGATATATGCGTTACCTTTTCGTAGCGGGCCGGCAGGATTTTGGATGTGGGGGGAAAATTGAACGGCGGATTCATATTGTACTCCTGGACTTTCTCCGTGAATTCCGAGTAGTTCTCGGTGGGCGCCGTCGGGGCGACTACGAAGAGCGACTTGGCGCGCTTTTGGGCACTTTCAAAGTCTCCCGTCTCCCTGCAGTTGCTGTATTTTATCAAGGTTCCCGGCACTGGAAGTTAGTTTAAAAAAAAAGTAGAATCTACTCGATTCGTTTCGCGATTTTACTCACTCCAGAGATACTGAAACGCCGATTCGTCCGAGTACGTATTCGTATCGACGTAAATCAGAAAGTACTCCCCTTTTTCGAACAATTTCGCGGTTTCCATGGCGTCCATCAGCTCCACCAGAGCATTAGCCTTTCCCATAAAAACGTAAACTGAAATCAAACACCGTCAATTCGTTCGTTTAAACCGCAGCTTACAGGCGTACTTCTCGTTCTGTTCTTCGTGTCCCTGATTATGTTGTACCAATTGACGTCCTGGCAACAGGGCAGGTTTTTCTGGCAACAGGCGTGCGAATCCATGGCTTCTTTCACGAAATTGATGGTCATGTTCCGTTCGAGCGCTTCTTTCTTCAACGAATTCGCCACCGTCGCGTAGTGGTAGTCGTAGATTATCGAAAACTTCTTCCATTTGTAGTAGGTCAATAGGGATATAACAGATTTGGTAACCTAGATAAGGGAATCGCAACACCGGTTAGCTCAACCGGAGTTGATGCTATCAAAGAAAATCGCTAACCTGCGTGTCAGTTGGTTCGGTCCTGGCGAACGTCGGTACATCGGAGGCCTTGTAATCGGAGCATTTCTGCAAAAAGAACCTCCGCAATTACCCGAATGGTTATTAACTACCGGATGCACTTACGTAATTGATCATGGGTATGTTCCTGGCTTGGGATATGATGGCCTCGACGTGACAGCTACCCTCCGGGCCGAAGAAGGCCGAGACGCCGTCGCAGATCATCTCCGTCATGGCCTTCGTCGCCAGCACGGTCTCGCCCCTGGTGTCGTTGTACTGCAGGTCCAGCACCACGTCGGGCAGTAGGTACGGATCGTTGTTGACCTGAACCGAGACATTTTTTTTCTCTAATATACGCGAGTAATTCGTTATTTATCGATTGTATAGGTCGGTTGAAGCCACGGTCGGGTATTTCTAAGGTCCGGAAACAGCCTATGCTTTAGCATTAGAGAATGTGTGATTGTTATTTGAAGACTTTTTGAGCTTCGCTTTTGCGCCGCACCGCGGCGAACGATCGGAGGACCAACTTATCTCGGCCAATCAGCGTCGAGCTATGTATAAATCGCGGTTGTGTGAAATGACAGTTCGAGCTGTCAAAACTACAAAAAATAATTGTTTGACATTTCGAGGAGAAAATGGAGGAATATATTAATCGAAGATACGTGAGGCATGATGTTAACAACAAAATCATCGCTGATGTAAGTATATTTTTATATTTTTTATCTATTTTTAGTTTGAATAAAACCTTTCTTAATGCTAATTCTATATAATTCGTACGCAAAAAACCGTGGTCCTTTACAACATCGCCTCCTAGCGGCCGATTTAGGAACCCTGTTTCATCCTCGAATAACGGGACACTTTTTCGACCTATATTTCCAGACCTCAGAAACGCCCGTGGTTGAAACGAAGCGCCTTATCAGTGTTTTACACACCCGAAATTAGTTAATTATATCCTAACGTAAACAGATATGGAGTGCTAATAATGCCGTAATGATGTATTTTTTTTCTGAAATCGATGAGTGCTTGGATACTAAAATTGAATTATTCGCGATAAAAAAAATCTATATAGATAATGGAAGAGAGTGGAAGAGAGAAGTATTGAATTGTAGAAAAAAATATTCGAATGAAGCAAATTTCAAGGAATATATCAACAATTACAGTACCTATTAGTCATGAACCACAATAGTCCATATTTATTATAAAACGAAGCATTTACTTTGAAGTAAAAGGTAGAAGGCAAAAGATAAGAGAAAAAGGTTTTAAAACCACAAAACCTTTTGCTTTAAACCAACAGCAGCATCCTCGAAGCAAAACCTCTCTTCATTCACATCTTTTTACGCATATACCTTGAAGCAATACCTTCATTTTTTGAAGGAAAAGTTTATGCTTAAAAACGATTTAAAAACGTCAATTACCTCGTCCAAAGCCATTTTGATGGCACCGGAAATGGCCAAGCCCTGTCTACCATTCATCGATCCCTTAATAGCTGCCAAATACCCCACCGTCAGCCTCGTCTTCTTCCCGCCGTCGGTCTTCAAATTCCTCACGGCCGGCAACAGATCGACGTCCGCCGCGCCGCCGGTCACCGCCTCCGCCTCCGCCTCGAGCCCGTTGTCGGCCACCGCCTCCAAGCCGCCGCCGCCGGCGTCGTCGTCGAGCCCGCCGGGCGGCGACGTCGATCTCTTCTTCGGCGTAACGGAATCGCGGCGCCCCGACGCCGCCATCACGGGCGCCTTGTAGCTCACCACCAGGCTGGTTTGGAAGCGCGCCCGCGGCGCCGGGACGCCGGCCGGGGGCGCGTCGTCGGGCGTCGCGCCGGCGGCGATGCCCAGCAAGGCGACCAGCAGAGAAGCCAGGCCCGGGCGCATGGCCAGGCTCCTCCCGCCTCACCTGTACCCCGGGCTCACCTGCAACAACCAATAGCGGGGTATTTTTTAATACCATTTTTCTCGGTGTATTAAATCATAATGCATAGTTGGCTTAGTGTAATTCGAAATTCGACGTTATCGATCAATCTTTCGGTCAATCCTACTTCTTTGTGTTTGTGCGTTACGCCATTATTAAAGTAACTTCTAGTTTGATAATGTCGTAATTTAGTTACACTAAGAAAAAGGTATCGTGCGATTTTGTGAGGATGAAAAGCCGTTTTTCCTTGATCATAAACTTCTTACATATAATCTAGCCCGATGAAATTGAACAATAAATTCCCCCGTTTCTCTACAACACCTCTAGCGTTTGTGCAGTTACTGATAAAAAATTAACGTACCTACCGAATGGAATGGGTTATAAAGCGCCATTCCGGTAATGAAATTTTTGCTATAAACTCGAAAAGTTTGCGCTATTAACGCCGCACCGGTTCGAGGATTAGCTCCTGAACATATACCGGCCGTCCACGATAGTATACGGGTCGTCCCGCGAGTATAATGGGTTATGCAAACCCGTCGATCACTATCGACGTTGATAGATCGTCGAGAGATGAAAAAAAAATCGAGAGTTGGAAAATAACGCCTTTGGCGGTTCGTAACCTTCGCCGTTTTTAACGTCTGAGGTTGATTTATTTTTAGAATATACGTTTACAGTTGCGGGCACCGGTGTTGCCGAACTACTCGAACAATGGACACTCGAAGAAATCGTCAATTTTTTTTATTAAAATTTCCCGCGATGCTGGTAATTGGCAGACGTGGCAACGCTGTAAAGCGTTTGTGAAATGTCATTATTGACGTTTGCACTTTAGTAGATTCTGCGCGTAGTAATCGAAACTAATATACAGTGTCTTCATAAATGATTGATTCCCACGTGACTTAAAAATGTATGCAACCAAAGTGCACAGTTATTATTTTCAAGAAATGTCCCTATTTTGAATACAAATCAACACAGTGGAGGAAGAACATTAATCCACTAGGTTCTTCATTAATTGTACCTATCATTAATTAAAGGTTATGTTAATACACAATTTTCTTCGGGAAAATTATTCCTTTGGTATATAGAGGTTTAAAATTGGCCAATCCCAGTAGGAATTCAAATCCACGAATGTATATTGGAGTGTTTCGAGAAATTGCGCGGATATTTCGGGACGCCCTGTATACGCATAGAGCGTTACAATGTTGCTAAGTGGTAAATGGGATTTGAAGATGGTCGATTGCATGCAATTACGCCGCGGTTATCGTGGTAATAGACAGGTGAAGATGCAACAACCCGATTTCGAATCGAATGTAGCAATCGATTGATTCTGCGGAAAAAAAGTTCGAGTATATCTAATGGATTTATGGAGTCGATGCCGGTGAAATAAGAGGTTCGAGCGAAAGATCGTTTCTGGGCGATCCCCGTCCGCTGTACATTCAATTTCGGAAACCGACGTTGCGCTGATAAAAAGTTTATCTGCGAATTAGAGGTGTACCAGTTTCTAAAAATAAACGCCGTATTTTGGTTGAAGTGCGATTGTGTGATTTAACCTCTGCGAATTTGAGGAAAATTGATATGCGACGTTTTCTTATCGCCTCGACGCGGATACCCGAAACAATCGGCGGTTTTTCGAGTACAGCCACTTCAATAAAACATATCTACTCGAACTAAAATATACTGCTCCACGAAAGTTAAGGAAGTTGACAGATATTGAGATTCATTTAAAGGTTAAGCAGGTTTTTTGATCTTGGGATTTTTTTGATTTTGGGAGCAAGTAGAGAACCTCAAAATATGTCAAAAACTTGAAGAGATATTTTTATTAATAATTTCATTAATAGCAAAGGTAAAATGATGAAATTTGGTACAAATACTAAGCAAATGAAATGTCTTACGACACTATTCAATCGGGTTAAAAAAGTTGTCCAGGGGTGGGTTGAAATGGGGGGTTCGTGGGGTAATTCTAACCTAACATTTTTATTTTTTGATTTGTTAAAAATAACTTTGAAAATCTGATACACAAAATTATTAAACTATTATCATCTTTAAAAAACTAGGAATGAATTCTTTCAAAAACTTGACATTTCGTTGAAATGACTCGATATTTTGAGGTTCTCTACTTGCTCCCAAAGTTTGTCTCTCTATTTCAGAAACACCCTGTATAAAAAACAGAATTCTCCACTCATCTCTTTTGCACCCAATATCGCCCTTTAATCAACATAAAAACCCCATTTTTTGGTACACACTGTACAATAAAAATAATCCTACGAGTTGTAGCATTTTCCCCCGCGGAAATTCTCCCCGTTCGCCATTTTTTTTTCCGACTCGAAAAACCGAGCTAAATAAATAAGCGCGCGTATATGGCAACCGTATGTGTGCCGTTGCGCTTCTAAAAAGGAAGTCGATTTACTACTTAAAGAGCGCTATTGTTCTATTCGTCTGGGCACTTACTATTAAAAACGAATGCTAAACGATAAGTCATGAAACGGGACTGACCTTTAAACTTCGACAGGCCGACCGGCCCCCGTTCAATTCGATTCATTCTGACAACTAAATAATCGAATCGACATCATCGGGTTATTTGCATAATCTAATAGAGGAGCGATTTACGTTCCCATAATCGAATTGATTTTTGTTTTGTACATAGCCGATCTCGCTTTATTGGATAAATTTATTCGTTTCACGCTAATCAGGTTAACCGAAAAAAACGTTTGAATATTACCCCGGTCGCGCAAGTGATGTCTCTAGCTTTTTATATCGCTCTGTAGGCGCATTTTCGCGCCTAATTAGAAGTGCAATCGAGGAATGCAATTAACGATATATTGCGATCCGTTTGTTTGGAATAAACTCGACTGGATTTAATTAAAATTGCGACATATTTTAGCTGTACGCGTATCTAACTGTATTAGAAATTAATCAATCAATTAAACGGTATTTTTTTCATCGTCTTCTCTCGATTATTACAATGTAGATGCGTAAATATTTCGATGTAAATTCGAACATGAGCGATGCAAAAACAAGCAAATAGCCGCGTATTTGTTTAAAAATTAACGCGACACCGCGATATAAAAGTCGATTTCACATAAACACCAAAACATACATAACTTCGAATAAACCAATAAAATTTAATTCGAAGCTTATGGTTATCAGAGCCCCGTTTCTATTTATATACAGCGCGATTACATAGATAATGGAAACGACTTCTAAATTTAGAAGCGTTTATGCATGTGTAATAAAAATCGTACGGAAAACAATGGACGGTTCGAATTTTAATATTCACTTACATCTCGTTTTTGTTACAGGAAACTCTTTGTATAATAATATCAATTTCTGCTGAATAAAATTATAATACTATCATCTCGAATATGTAACGCAAAATACTCGCGAAAATTTAGTATGCCGTGGAGCTACTACGTCACAAAAGCTTGTATAACATTGAGCAATCCTTGCCGTTTTAGATTTGTTTTCATTTTGCTTTTTTTAAGTTATTATTATTTACATTACCTAATTGAATTAGTATCGGTGTTTGAAAATCTAATTTAATATCGAAACATATGATATAATACCATTAAAATCGTATAAATTCGGATGATCGGCGTTAAAATAATATCGCCGAAAAGCTGAATAAACAAACCGATTTTCGGACGAAACAATGTTATTTTCATGTCGAGGCAATAAATTTGTTTGTCGAGCGGACTTTCGAAAAATCCGATCCGTTTAAAAAAAAAAGGAACGTTTTCTTTGTTTACTTAACCGGGAAGATAAAACGGCGCTTATCTAATCAATTGGAGCGTTTGTTAATAATTAAAGCCGATCGCGTTATTCCGCGTCGCGTTAATTTATTCCCTCTCGTTTCGAGTCCCGAGGAGAAATTGAAAGATAAAAAAAAGCGGGCATTAATCACGAAGAAGAAGAAGAAGAAGCCGAAGAGGACGAAAATAGCTTCGAGCCTTCAAGAATAACCACTCGAAAACCTGATCGACGCGCATACAAGAGGAAGACAATATAAGTCGAGCGCTATTTTTAGAGCCCGGCTTTTCGTCTTCGCAGTTTGAAGCCTTTAAGGCCGACTCGAACCTCCGAATTACCTATATCTTCATTCTTCCTTTACAAAAATTGCATAATAATTTTATAATAATTGTAAATACGGCCAGATGTTTTGTATAAGCGACCCAACCATCGAGTTTTTTGGGAAGATTTTGTTTATTATTTTGGCTTGAAGATGGTCATTTAGTCCGAAACTGGTTGATTTTACGAATCAATTGTTTTTTAAGATGTCTTATGCCCAGTTGCACCAAAGCATCCTGTGATGAATTCCTATCCTAAGTCAGACTTAGATAAAATATAACCTTAGATATATTGGTGCAACCGGGCATTAGGTTATTATTTAGAACCTTTTAGTTCATTAATGAGGCCTGAAGATGGTCAATTAATCCGAAACTGGTTGACTCAGGTAGTTTTTCGGACTTTCAAGTTGATTTTAGGCCTCAATTTGGTTAAATTATTCAAAACTGGACTCTTTCAAGTTCACCTTTCAATCCTGAAGATGATCTTCCAGTCAACAAGTCGCGCTTAAAGGAGCACCATTAAACCTTAATGCACCTGGAGACCTCCCGAGGCCTCGCACATGCACATACCACCCCGATATACCGGTCGGCATTTTTGTGCGCTTTTTTTCCAAATCTAAAAATAACATCACAAGCATTTCTATTTATAGCTCATCGTGTACATATGACATAACCTGTTCCTCAATGGAGCGGGTTTCGCACGTACAATCAAATCGACGGAGGTATATACAGAGCGTTCATTATATCTCGTACGCATGTTTTTTACCGAGAAAATCGAAGCACTTAGAACGAGCGTTCGGCGAAAGGTGTAATTAATGCGCGTTTAATGTGCTTAAATTACTTAAAATACCGCCAAATTGGTTCGGTTTTTTTCATTACGTATATGTGTATAATTTCACCTGTATATAAACCAGAAATTCTTACAACGAATTGGTTTAAAC